AGCAGGACCACCCGGCGGTGCTTGCGGGGGGGGAGTTTGGGGAGGGGTCTGAGGGGGAGGGGTCGGATTGCCGGGGTTTCCGGGAAATGGAGGAGGGGACCCTGTGCCCGGCCCAACCGGAGGGACAGGCTGGGGTGGGGTGACGATTGCTGAAATACCTAGGCCTCCTGCATTCGCAGAGACAGGGCGTGAATGCCTAAGCAAGGGCGTATTTGGAACCTGAATGGTGGACACAGAGAGAAGGCTAACAGGTGAACCTGTCCGTCCAGAACGATCAGCGGAGGCACTAGCACCCTTCAATTGAGGTGATGGGGTCACGTTCGGCATCGGTGTGATTGGGGGAGAGCCGGGTGGCCGCAGGGGTTTTGCTTGGGGGGGCGGGGTGGCTGGCGGTTTGCCAGAAGGGGGTAGTGGCTCAGCTCCTGGGGGAGGAGAGGGCTTTGGTTGTTGGGGGTTTGGACTAGGGATGGGTGCGCCAGGAGCAGGGGAGTCAGGGTCTGGCTTTGAAGGTCCAGGAGGCCGCAACTCTGGCGGGGGTAGCTTTTCAACATCGCCAGGGAAGGGGCTCTCAGGTGCTTGGAATGGGGCCTTTTCCGGGACAGGGGGCCGTGTTGGGGGTGGCACAACGGCAATGTTGTCGTCGCTAGGTGTGTCAGAAGGTGGGGTGATGGCAATCCCCGGATCATTTGGTGTTGCCCCTGGCGGCAGACTCGGGTTTGCTTGAGGGGGCTGAATCAGAGGGGGTGCCATAGAGGGGGCATCGGGCAGGACTCCAGGGGTTTGGGGACTGCTTGGCGGAGCTGGGCGCACTTCAGCGGGCGGAACTGGAGGCTTGACACCATACGGAAAGCCCAAAGACAACATCACCCGGCTGTCACGATGCTGCTCTACCCTCCCTGTAACCCCTTCTAGGACCCTGGGCACCTTCCGCATCCTAAGAGCCTGATGAAAGGGCTCAACCTGCCCAAATCCCTCCACTGCACCCTGGCCAGCACGCCACTCACCAATGATGGGGCCAGGTGAAGTTCCAGGGGATGGGCTGGGGCCAGGGATGGTCGGGCCGGGGACCTCAATTCCAGGAAGCCCTCCCGGGAACTCAGGAGGAGTGGTGGTGGGAGTGTCTGGCTGCCTGCGCGTGGGGATGGGAACCTCCGGCCCTGAGGGTCTCTCCGGAAAGTCAGGAGGCGAGATGACAGGCGTCTCCGGTCCTGCAAAAGGAAGGACTCATCAATCAAGACTCTGCTTCTGAGCATTTCTCTGACGAAATGTATCGAGGGTGTTGCCTCACAATGTCAAGGGTGCATATGGCTTGCAAAAGCAGAGAACCAGAAGAAACGCTACTGCGCTGGTCCATCTTGGAACTCAGCGCGTCATGATCCTGACTTGCAGTTCAATGTGTCATACATTGTCCTGGAACTCTTATCAACAAGTAGGGAAGAACAATGCTGACAAGATAGAAGCAGATATGAAGAAGCGTCCATGCTTCCAACTCATTCCAGAATAGTTGGTTCTAAATTTCAGCTCAAGAAGCACCTTCCCTTGGCTTGCGTGGGAATCTATGCAAAGACAAAGGAAAGAAGTCACAGGCTCGCAGTATTTGAAGGCAAGGACCACTGAGCCTCACCACGGCCTGGATCAGGCAGTATTTCTGGCACTGGTGTGCTAGGAACCTCCGGACCACTGGGCTGTCCAGGCACCTCTGTTGTGTCCGGCTCAGGAGGGCTAATCAGAGGGGGCACTTCCGGAGGTGTGCTGGGGGCAGGGTTTGGGGGCGTGCTGGGACTAACTTCTGGTGCACCAGGCACACTTGGCTCCGGGTTGGGGAATGGTTGCACATCAGGTTGAGGAAACTCAGTGGGGATGGGGCCAATGCCAAGAATGGGGCCTGCAGGGGGCTCACCTGCCCTGCCTGACTGTTCCCCCCTGAGCTCTTCCACAAGCGCTGTCGCTGAAGCCAGCTGCAACCAACTCCCCGTTCTCCTTCCAACCAGAGGAGCAGCAGGGGACGCCGATGCAGCGGAGACAGGGCGCTGTGTTCTGACGACCTTCTGAACGACCCCTCTACTCCTCAAGAAGAGGCTGGAGCACGGCTGCATGCTTTGCATACCCTCTTTACTGCTGCATGCATTCAGAAAAGAGCAAACAGGATGCGTACCGGTGTGAGTCAGGGCAGACATTGCAGAGGTCATCATGGCGTCCTACCAAACGAGAGTCAAACGCCCCCAGATTGCAGTACTAAGCGCTCCGCGTTGGCGAAGCAGAGGGAAGGAGGTGTTTCCTACTTTCAAGTTTCCAAGCTTTCCCTCTTCAGAGAAGGAAATTGAAAGACTGGAAAGAATGACCCCTGCAGCCGCTGCGAGTCTGGACCGTCCATGTGCGAGGACAATTGTCATACACGAGTTCGAGACACAATTGGTCGGCAAGGGTGACATCAGCAGTTGGAAACAACGAGCAGCAGGAGCCGTCCAACTTCAATACCATCCAGATTGGACGGTTCGATATGCTCTTGTAATTTTCAGCGTGATCTTAGGCTGCCACTTGGCAGAGTTCAGCGCAGCGAGCGAGTCGCCGCCATGCTGGAACATGGGCCCTTTCGAGTTCGCTTGCCATGGCCGCTGCTGTGGAAGACGAGTCGAGTCATGGTCAACCTTCCAGCAGACTGCACAAGCTGTGAAGGAATGCTGGCGGTGGCACTCGGTCTCTTGAAAGGCTAGAGTTTTCTGAACGCTCAGGGAGAGACGATCGAAAGAGAGCTTGAGTTTCAGTGCGTCGGGTGCCTAAAAGCTGTTTGGAAGCCTTCACATTCTCAGGACACCTGCCAAAAGCTGAAAACCGCCGAACAGGCTCTTCCTTCGCATGCAGCAAACCAGAGACGGCAGAGGTCCGACGAATTGCTGACTAGGTGAGTGCCTGAGCTGCACAACTCTGGAACCGCGATGTGGAGCCCCTGCAGGACCGTGACACTTAGACAAAACATGTTCTACAGCATTTGTGAAGTTTTTCGTTATTTGAAGGCAGACTCCCAAAGGCTGCAAGTCCATTGGAACCTGGGTCTGGAAGTGTATTGAAATGGTTGTGGACGAGGACAAGGTAGACAACGTGCATGCTATGAAGCAGGATGACAGGGTCGTTTTTCAAGCCTCGCAAGGGGCTGGGAATACTGGTGCGGGCAGATTGGCCTTTCTCAGTTCCTGTGTTTTTCCCAGTCTGTACTCTGGCATGTTGTATTTTCTACGCCCGCAGTGAGCTGGAAGCTTGTTCCGTTGGTGGTGAGCTGCCAGCAATCACCAGCTGCCTCTCAAGCATAAGTCTAAAGCTCTCAGAGCTGCCCATCTTTGGCACATCTGTTGCAAGCATTCCAGCAGGTTTGCGGCATCAGTTTGTAGAATTTCGCTTTAGAATCTGCTTGCCTTTGTTGTGATGTCAAACTTCCACCAGGCCATATCAAGGGCGGTTGCGTATTCACAGCTCATGTAGAGTTGCTGGTTGTAGCAATGCACTTTGCCCCTTCGCAGGTCCTCACCTCTCTCCGAGCTTCAAACTGCCGCCTGGACGCATAGGGATGGCGCCCTCCTTAGCGGCCAGGCCAAGGTTCGAGCGCTCCTGGTCAAGCCGGATGCGGGATTCGGTGTCCAGCCACCGCAACGACATCCTACTGGTTCTGCACCGCCTCAAAGGAATCAAGACGCCGGTCCTGTTGCAGCATGATTTCCAGGAAGCCCTAAAGAAGGCCTCTGAATTCACCCCAGAGGTGCTAGGCAAGTCACCGTGCACCACTGCAAATGATTGGAGTCTGCCTGAGTTTTGGCCTGTGGAAGTTGCGAGAGAATATGGGCCCGCTGGATAGTAGGAGTGCACTGCCTTTTTGGCAAACATCTGCGTGGTTGCAAGATCCAGATGAGAATGCCAGGGCAACCAATCTTTGAGACCAAGCAAAGACAGGGAGAGGTGAGTTTTAAGCCTGACAGATCAGGCTTGCGTGGGCTAACTCACGGTATTGTTTCTCTTACATCCCCTGTCTAAGGGATACTCCCGGTGAATCGTGCTCTGACTGCTGGGTGTATTATCTGCAGAGTCCCACTTTGCCAAAATGCTGGCAGTAGCGCAAGAGGGGGTGGTAGTGGACCCTATCATTGCCCTCGCCCTGCGCCCCAGGGTTGCAGAGTGGCAATATATTAAGTGAGTAAACCCCTGCCCTTGAAGATTTTGCGAGCCTTTGCAGATGTGCAAAGCTGAAAGGCTGGCCTACTTTTCTCGACAAAGTGACGTGCTTCGCTTGAGTATGCTCCTTCGCACAATCTTTGGGCGTTACTAAACATGTACAAAAAGGTTGGTCTGTCCATCAATTCTGAAGTATCAGACAGTCAGCCTGGTTGGAAGCTTAGTCTGATCCTGTTGAATTGGCAACATCTGAGCGGTATTCGTATAACCAGTCCAGTCGCTTGTTGCGCTGATCGACTTTTGACCGAATGCTGTTCTTCGAACTTGTGCCAGGGTGAACATGGACGAGCTGTCCCTTGAGGAGATGTCCGGTACTGAGTATCTGACATTCAAGGAGCGCCTGGTCATGGGGGGCTCTAGTGGCGAGCACAGCACCATCGACCAGCTCATGGAGCCGTATGCAGTCCTGGAACTGGATTTCGAGCCGTTCAACAGGGCCTTTCCCAAGATGAACAGGTGCAAACCTGACGCCCCAAAAGAATGTACTATCCACTGTGTCCAATGATATGCTCAGCCGCGTAGGCTTGGGGGGCGTTTGTCGTCAACGGGCTTGAGGCAGGAGTGTCCAAAAGTGGCCTTCTATGAACGACTGTGGCATCAGCAGCAGTGAAAATCAGTATCTTGTCTACCGACTCCCTTGTTTAGGTGCGATATTGAAGTAAGTCGTCAAAGATCCTAGTTTAACTTACAAACATCGAACGTATCTTGGGTCCAGCAAGGTCCTCATTTTGCAGATGTCCATCCGTTATTCGTTGAATGCAGAGACCATCCAAGGCTGACCTTTTCGTTTATGGATTTTAACATACGGTGGAATGCCCGACTCAAGTTCCAGGCCTGGGGGTCAGGGCCGACCGTCCTTACAAACCTCCTTCGAGAACGCAATTGAAACAATACCTTGATTCATAAGTGATGGATTATGTCTATACGTCGTTCTGCGGTCGTACATCCTGTCTTTGTCCTCTGACACTGCTCTCCGTCTTCAGGGCGGCCTCGATTGGGCAGGGCGTGCAGTTCATGAACAAGCACCTGTCGTCCCAGATCATGTCGGAGCGCAAGGTGGGCATGGCGCCCCTGTTTGAGTTCCTGCGCATGCACAAGTACCGGGGGGAGTCGCTCATGATCAACAACGGACGCATCCAGAGCCTGGACGACCTCAAGTGAGTCGCCTCAACCTGGATCCGGGGGCAAGCGAAGGCTGCCCTCCTGTTATCGTGCGACAGCTTCTTTGCTTGAGCAGGCGGATGCCGAGATAAGTCTTTTTCAGAGACGAACCAGGCCGTAGCCGCCAAGTGATCACGTTGGTGTACTGCCAGGTTGGGAGAACCACCTTGTACGTGTCGGGCAGGAAATTTGCTGCAGGGGAAAGCGGGGCATGTCTTGGCTGGCGAGGGAGTCCATGTACAATCGGCTTAAACTTCAAGTGAACTCGTGAAACCCGACAAGGAGGATGGAATTTGACTGACAGATTGACTTTCAATCCCGTTGACGACCCTCCTACAAAGAAATGTTTCAGATAGGGCTTCGACGGGGCTCCTCCCCTGCTAATTCTACTTCGTATGCCCCCAGGCGCTCTCTGACGGCCGCTGAGGAATACTTGGAAACGGTCCCCAGGGACGCCCCTTTCTCTGCGCTGGAGCAAAAGCTGGATGACCTTGGCCTCCAGCGAGGCTGGGGGGCCAACGCTGAGGTCATCCAGCAGAGCCTCCAATTGCTGTTAGACCTGCTGCAGGTAACGGCTGTTGCTCGAGGAGAACACTTTCGGAGGGAAATTATGTAACAACCTTATTCTGGACTACATTGGAAGCTTCCTTTGGTTTTCCAACTTTTTATGCACTTTTCCTGTGGAAAGAACTGCAGGGGGTCAACATGAAGTCAGCACAGGTAGGTTCATCCTCGAAACGGTTCGAAGTTACTAGTCGACGTCATGCTGAGCGACTCGCCCCACGTCGTCGCTGTCAGGTCCGCGCTAGCATCGGCTGAGGAGTTGGTGTCAAAGGAAGAGCCTACGACACCCGTGGCAGAGCTGAGTAGCAGGCTGCTGCATTGTGGGTTTGAGAAGGGCTGGGGCTGCGACGCCGCCACCATTCTCGCCAGCATGCGCCTCCTGCAAGACCTCATCCAGGTGAGGGAGCTCGTAGTAGGAGGAAGCATCTCGCGTCGGGTTCCGTTACGGAGAGGGGCTGAGAGAGTGTTCACGTCAACCAGCACTAACACGACACTTTGGTTTTGCGTTTTCCGGGGGTCTGCTCATCGATTTTCCCAAATCGCTTTCCTTTGTGCGTTGCATGAAGTGACCGGCCTCCTAAGGCCAGGTGAGCTCTTGCACGTTTGAAACGGGAGAGCTTACCGTGAGGCCCAGTGCAGAGAAAGCACTTGAAACGTTACAACGTTACAAACGTTACAGACCCTTCGAACGGTTATTTTGAGAGAGTCACTCGATTGTATCGGACTCTTGCATTGAATGGTAGAGCGTTTCTGGGCCAGATGCGTGTGGTGCGATTCGCACTTGCTGTGCAGACCGCAGCCAGGGCTCTTTCCAGGCATCGCCGTAAGAATCGGATGGTAGATGATCCAGTCAACATATTTTGCCTGCTTCCACTGCTGCTATGCCAAACGGTGCTGGTACGTGACACGTGTCCGTGTTTGCAGGCCCCGGACCCCGACACCCTGGAAAAGTTTCTGGCGCGAGTACCCATGGTGTTCAACGTGGTCATCGTCTCCCCCCACGGCTATTTTGGCCAAGCCAATGTCCTAGGGATGCCGGACACCGGCGGACAGGTAAGCGCGCTGCTTGCCCCGATCAAAGCTGGCCCCGAAGTGCTACTGCGACGAGAAGCAACTTCGAAGCTGCTTGACAAGTTCCGCCCAAATTGGCGCCGTTACTTCCGCGTCAAAACTTCGAGGAGTCGGTCACGTGCTTCGAATCCTTCCGTGCACAGCATGGCAAAGATTGAGCTTGAAGTGCAAATGACATACTTGTAGTTTTTAGTCTGCTAGACCAGAGGGCTCAGAGCGAGGAACTATTTGCCAAGAAACGAATTTGTCTCGAGCGTGACCCGTTTGGAAAAATGAACCCCCTCGTCGCTAACGAGGCTTGGAACGGACGTGCATCCGGTTCACCCTTCCTGGTGTACTGACGATTTTTCTCGTTTGTCCGCCTCACCCTTTGAAGTCCGCGTCCGCAGGTGGTGTACATATTGGACCAGGTGCGCGCGATGGAGCAGGAGATGCTCGCGCGCAACAAGCAGCAGGGGCTGGACTTCATCACGCCGCAGATCGTGGTGCTGACGCGCCTCATCCCCGACGCCAAGGGCACCACGTGCAACCAGCGCATCGAGCGCATCAGCGGCACCGAGCACGCGCGCATCCTGCGCGTGCCCTTCCGCGACGCGCGCGGAATCCTGCCGCAGTGGATCTCGCGCTTCGAGGTCTGGCCCTATCTTGAGGAGTTTACACGGTGAGGGCGGTGCGCCTGCAGAGGCGGAGATCGTGAAACGAAGTGCAGTCTCGAAACGGCCGGGACAAAGTCGACATTGCGAAGGAGTATCTCGATACGGGTTTATGGGCGGGCGCATGCTTTGAAGCTCGACGGATTTTTGCGCAGAAATCAGGGCTTCGGCTCGCTACCTTGTGCATTCAAGGTATATTGGCACAAACTGAGAGCTTAGGGCGTGAGTAGGATTATTAGGCTGGCTGGATGCCTTACTCCGCCGCGGATCGCTCTGAAAAGGCTTCAGTAGCTGCCATTAATCAAATAGAACCCTCTTAGATGCTCAAACGCGCGCCTTGTCGTTTTGCCTTCCTGGTCGCCGGTTTGCGGCCAGAAGGAAGGTTACAGAGAGCTTGCGAAGCTTCCGCTCACAGCTTTGTGTTGCTGCGTGCAGCGAGTCCGCGTTCGAGATCAAGGCGGAGCTGGGCGGCCAGCCGGACCTCATCATCGGCAACTACAGCGACGGCAACCTCGTGGCGTCCCTTCTGTCGCACCGCATGCACGTGAGGCACCCCCGTGCCCGTGCGCACTCTTGAATCTCACCCGCCGATTTTCGTAATGCCAAATTTGACTGGCATCGCTCCTCTTGCTTGATCTGCCGTGGGACCTTGGTTGCGGTCTCTACGTCAGGACAGCCTGCAAATTATGGCGCGGCCTGGAACGCGTTTGTTAGTCACAGATGTGAACGTGCGTGTCTTCTGAAATCCCTTTTCAACGGGATCCAGAGTCGCCCTGTTCTTGGACTTGATGCCTATTACGGCAATCTGGTTTCTTGACATCGCGTGTTTGTGTCGTGCCATTTTTCAGGTGACGCAGTGCAACATCGCGCACGCGCTGGAGAAGACCAAGTACCCGGACAGCGACATTTACTGGCAGACGTTCGACGACAAGTACCACTTCTCGGCGCAGTTCACCGCCGACCTCATCGCCATGAACCACGCCGACTTCATCATCACCTCCACCTACCAGGTATCCATGCACCGCCGACCAGACCCTGCTTTTGCGCTCACTTGCTATCTGCCCATCCAACTCGGGTACTCGCTTCTTACGGAAAGCTTTGTCAGCAGGCCACGCAAGGGTGCTCGTGGATACCGCAAGAATAATGAGAACCGGCAGTCCGATCGAGTTGTCCCGGTCGATCGGCTGCTACAGGTTGCAAATATTACCAAGGGTCTGGGTCTCCTCATGCCTTCTGCTAGCTCTCTTAGGCAACTTCCGCGCTTCTCAAGCACCATAAAACTCCGAGGCCTGTCTCCCTGTATCTTAGCCGCGTCCCTGCTCACTTTCTCCGTGACTTTGGCAGGAGATCGCGGGGCAGGCCTCCACGGTGGGCCAGTACGAGAGCCACTCCGCGTTCACGATGCCCGGTCTGTACCGCGTGGTGAACGGCATCGACGTGTACGACCCCAAGTTCAACATCGTGTCCCCCGGCGCCGACGAGGACATCTACTTCCCCTACTTCGACCAGGACCGCCGACTCACCAGCCTGCACGAGGACATTGAGGACCTGCTCTACGGCACGGGTACGCGCGGCTTCTTAACATTTGTTTGAATTGGCAGTTCAAAAGGTGCAAGGATCAAAGTTATGATGATTTTCTGTTTCGTTCTCATCTGCTCGAGAGAAGTTCACGGAATATCAGCACCTCGACAGGCGGAATGCACACACATACTGAACTTGTCCTTAACGAGGTGGAGAGTCCGTTCAAGGACCTGCTCTTCGGCACAGGTCCGCGCGCCGTGCAGCACGCCCGTTACTCCAAAAAGCCTCTGGTTGACTTTGCGCTTAAGATAGCGCAGGAGTTGTAATGCTCTGGTAACCTGTTGGTTTAGCATGCGGATTGCACCCTCATGCTTCGAAGTAAAAAGGTGTTTTGCCGTGTTTTGAAGGCTCTGCTTTTGATCTTAAGTGATTTTTTAAGAAGGTTGCAAAACCGAGAAGAGCAGAGGACAAGTGAATTGCACAAGCTCCAATTGACTTGCTGACGTGCGGTGGTGCGCGCGCAGACGAGGAGCCGCTGGCCAAATGCACGATCACGGACCGCAACAAGCCGATCGTGTTCAGCATGGCGCGCCTCGATCGCGTCAAGAACCTCACCGGCCTCGTCGAATGGTGAGCGGCCGGTTACCACCAGCAGCGCTTTCCTTTTGCCATACTCTTCCTGGCAGCATAAATTGCCATTGACTCGGACATCTCCGCAGAAGAGGGGACCCCCAATCTGCATGAAGGAGACAGTTACCTCTTATTGAGCACCTTGAGCTGCAGTTACTGTAGCTCCAATATCAGGCTTGAGCGAAGCGTCAGCCTAGGACTTTTAGAATCTGTACCTCGCGGATCTCCACACAAGTCGGTGGCTTTGCTCGGAGGGGCTTCCGTTTCTGCTCACGAGCGAGTTCAGACTGTCCACTTTACACTAATCGAGTGACCGGTATCAGCCCGTACATTTGGACCTGAACCGTTGGCATAAAACGATTAACCATCTTGATGCCTTGGATTTCATATTGCACGTTGTGAGATGAAGTCTGAAGCGCTTGGCTGTGCGGTGGTGCAGGTACGCCAAGAACGAGCGGCTGCGCGGGCTGGTGAACCTGGTGATCGTGGGCGGGAACGTGGACGTGTCGCAGAGCAAGGACAACGAGGAGATCGAGCAGATCAACAAGATGCACGCGCTCATCAAGGAGCACAACCTGAACGGCAGCCTCCGCTGGATCTGCGCGCAAAAGAACCGCGTGCGCAACGGTGAGCCGCTCAGCGCCGCGCTAAATTTTGAAAACTCGCGCCGTAGAATGATAATTCGTGTTAGTCGGCATGAAAGCTGACCGTTGGGAGTTGATTATCTAATAAGCGCTTCTGGCTTCCCCGTTCGATCTTGGCGCGTGTTTTTGCAATCGTCTGATGCTGACGATTTTTGTCGCACGGGATGTCTTCGCAAGCGAAGATTTTAGCGCACATTGGAAAATAAGTCACCGCTCCGCCTGGTTGCCTGCCCTCCAGCAGTTTCTTATTTTCCCCTCTTTCGTATTGTGCATTCCCGAGGCGTCACTTAGTTCTTTTCCAACAAACGGGCCTTGTTTCCAGGCGAGCTGTACCGTTACATCGCCGACACCCGGGGCGCTTTCGTTCAGCCCGCGCTGTACGAGGCCTTTGGGCTGACGGTAATCGAGGCGATGACGTGCGGCTTACCCACGTTCGCCACGAGCAAGGGCGGGCCGGGCGAGATCATCAAGGAGGGCATCTCTGGTTTCCAGATTGATCCCTACAACGGAACGGAAGCCGCCGACAAGCTCGCGGACTTCTTCGAGCGGTGCGCGCAGGAGCCCAAGCACTGGGAGGAGATCTCCAAGGTGGGCGGAGGACATCATCTTCGTCTGCATGATGTCAGCGGTTGCGAGGACTTACTATCCGTGGATGCCAGCCACGCCAAATCGTTTTCTGGCTCTGCTGACGGAGAAGTCTGAGCGGCTTTGGCCCCTTCCTGGCAAGCGGGCAATGGGAGCCGCTCGGCATAGAGGCGGTCAGAAAGAGCACAAGACTTGCTTGCCCGGGTCGTTGCTCATCTGTGGTGTCTTCTTTCAAGGAGATTCCTAGGTTTGTGTTTGCTTGCATTGACCTGAGTATGTCCGCGATTACGTAGGGCGGCCTGGAGCGCATCTACAGCCGGTACACCTGGAAGATCTACGCCGAGCGGCTCATGACCCTGAGCAGGGTCTACAGGTCAGCCTCATGTCCGTTCGCACGTTAGGATATCGTCCTGCGTGATTCAGGATAGTTTTCCAAATCCTTTTTTGAATCAGTTCCGTGAATAGGTAGAACGCTCTATGGTCCTGCCAGCCGTCAAAGGTTTGCCGGGCCAAGCCCCTCCCCTCGGGGCTCGGACTCGTGGACCCCGCCAAATTCTTTGCATACCGCCATTCCGCATGAATGCCAAGTCCTTTGAAAGTTTACTTGAAGTGGCACCAAGTCATTGTCAATTCTTGTCGTGAGAACGGTCGATGCCGCTTTGCTTCTCGTCGGCTCCCGTCCGATCAGACTTCTGGAACGCTCGAATGGTTCTCTTCCCCGTCCCAGCCAGCTTTTGACCACCGCACCCTGCGATCCCGCTCTGCCAGCCATTTCCCGGAAGCCTGCTGACGTTCCGTGTATGTTGCGTGGTGCAGCTTCTGGAAGTACGTGTCCAACCTGGAGCGCGACGAGTCTCGGCGCTACCTCGAGATGTTCTACATCCTCAAGTTCCGCGAGCTCATCCGCCGGGTGAGCGCTCTCTTCAAAACCTGCACTTTCGGACAGGTTCTTAGTTTCTTGCCCACCAAGAACCGGGTGCTTGCTTGGCAAGTAGCCGTCGTAGAGCTACACCGTCTGAGGTATGGCGACCAAATTGCAATGGAAGAAGCGAACGTCAAGAGCGTGCAGTCGCTTGAAGTGGTTCAAGTGCTTGCAATCAATTGGAGTGGGGAAGAGCTTGCAATTGGACTGTAGTCAAGAGGCCTTTGCAGTTGTAGTCGAAGTTGCTTTAACGTCTGAACAAAGACCGGAAAATATATCATGTCTTCCTATCACATCGGCGCTCTCTTAAAGAAGGCCGGCGGTGGCAACCCCGACGCGCGAGCGGACTTTACTACTCATCACCTAGTTTGCCCTCCTTGACTACGTTGCTCACTCGGGCGGCCCACCGCAGGTGCCGCTGGCCCGCAATGAGCACCCGCTGGGCCCGAGCGCGAGCCAAAGCCAGCTGGACCTCTTCGCGGTGGACGAAAGCAAGGAGCTCAATTTCTCCCTCCCCGTCTCGCCGCGCATGCCGCCCCGCTCTCCTAGGGGATCCCCCCGGTCGCCCCTGCTGATCGACGGCACCACGAGCTCTCCACCCGGGAAGGTGTTCCTGCCCCCGATCGCTCATCATATGTAGGGGACAAGGACGTGGGGGGTAGAGAGGTGGGATAGGCATGCTGCCATGGATGAGCGCATGTGACCATGCATGCAACGGTTGTCACTGTCGGTTGAAAGGGCAGGGGATACATTAGAACAGTCATTGACAATGATATCGAGGTGAAAAGTGCCGGGGGGTTTAATGGACTGCCAAGTTCGATTCGAGAGTGAGGAATTTCGAGTCCCTTGCAATTTGGAATCTGTGTAACGCCAACATTTTTACAGCATTCTGTACGCTAGAACATTTTTGCAGTGTCACAATAGGTTACGGCCATTGTATGAATATAAGAACCGTTTACATTTGAAGGGAGCGCAGCTTTGTAATTGTAGACATATAATGACCGGAGAAGTTTCTCACGCACAATTCTTGTACGTCTATTGGAAAGACCGTTCTTGTACGAGTCGCTCTGTCTGAATTGGTTACTGTTAGCAGTTTTCAAAATCTGCACTGACGAGGATGCTAGAATTTAATTACTGTTTGCATGTTTTGCAAACGCGTGAGTTTGATTCTGGTTTTGCGCAAGCATGATATGATATTTGATTCGTCAACGAACTAGTCAGGGCCGCCTTCACATCAAAGCAAGACCAGTAGGGCCCGCTGTCTAATTGCACAATCGATCGGACAATGTGCATACTCCCGGCACTTGTGGCAGAATTATCCTCGCAATACTCAAAATGAAATGGCGCGTCATGACGTCGACGCGGGGGAGTGACCTCGTTTGACCCCGCGTGTGTCACGGTAATCTCTCCACTCCTTTACAGATATCCCATTTCAATTCGTACGTACTAGAATCACGAAATTTCACATGAAAGTAGATCATTGTGCGATCCGCATGCGGAATGCAATTATACGGACCAAATAAATCTGTATACTATAGGTCTGGTGCGTTGCGAACCACATCCGTTGGACCTTCATTATGCGGCGTCACGGTACGACTTCCGTTCAGTGCTTGCATTCAGGAGTCGCGACCTTATAAGTCCCTATAGGTCCCAGAGATCAGAGGAAATGCCTGTCGGATATCTGCACGCATGCCAGTCGTGATAGGCCGCCACCACTTAGATCGGGTATCTGGAGTCCGACACCACCTTGATTGAGAGGCAACAATATCAGAGGAACGGGAAAGCGCGTGCAGAAAACATCCATGCAAGTACTCAACTTTCGAGCCAAAAACGTAGCCCAGCGCGACAGCATAGTAACCCCTGAAGAGTTGTTGTGTCTAAGTCTGTCGACCTCCTGCGGGTTGCGCGCTGAGATTGTTCCTTGAGCAGAAGGTCCATGGCACATTACTTGACAGGATAGATCGCAGCATTTGGGTCCTGTCAATCCACAAAGGAATCATGATAGTAAGGACACTGTTAACGAACGGGTGAACTGTACAGCAATGAAAAATAGGTGCGGCACTGGCATCAGCCGCCACAGGATGAAAATGCTTCAGCGAAATCGTCCCAGCAGTTACTCTTCAACTCGGCTCCACAGAAGCACCGTTATGAAGTTTTTGCTCTCCCTCTGCCTGTTGCTTTCGCAGTAACCTTGCCTCTCTGGGCCGCAACTCTCGTTTATTTCGTGGAGGCATCTCAAACTTCCACAGCTCAAGACCCTCGTATGTGTGCTCCTCGTCAGGAAAGATCCGAAGCTTTCTCATCCGGTCCTGAAGGAAGAACCGATGAAATCAGACGCTGGACGTCCGAATACAAAGATGCAAGTCGCTATGATCTGACAGCGGAAAATGCTCAACAAGGCTTTGTAACGGGCCATTTTCCATCGTGATTGAGTCAGAAATGAGCCTTAGGTTTTCGGCTTCTGCTTGACTACTATTCATATCATCAGAGTCAATGCAGATGACGAGCCTATCTGGACGAGCGCCAGTAGATGAGTTTCGAGACCCCATAAAATGTCTTCTCTCCATTCAAAGGCTCAGACCCCATCATCTCTTCGTACAAAGGCTCAGAATGTTCAGCAGATCGCTTGTACAAGGACAGGGTGACTGTTTCGAACTCTGGCAAAAATCAAATGCATCTGAAGCCTCTCCAAACGTTTTGCAGAAACCGACTGCACAGCGTGAGCATACAAGGATTGTCGAAAACTTGAAGAGGACGTTGTCCATGACAAGCTCACATCTCGTAATCTGTTCTTTGGCAGCATCCTCTCCACCGCTTTCCGCAGCACCTCAGTCGGCTCCCGCTCAAATTGCTCCTCCACCGTTCTTTCTTTCAGGCCACCTACATACCTGGCAAGAGAGTCCAGGAAAGAATGAATCTACCGTGTTTAGAACGTCAGGATGCACGCCTTTAGTACGGTGTCTCCATCCTTCCACACAGTCTCTAATCTGGCAGTAAACGGCCGCTTCTTCGTCCATGTTCTAGTATGCTCAGATTCATACTGTGCACTATTTGAACCGCTGCAGGTCGAAAAGAGTCCCAAGGGAGCAGTCAGTAAGACTGGCAACACAAGCTACGAGCTCCACCAGGCATCCATCAAGCCCGAGCCAGCTGCTTCTTTCATCATCTGGTTAGAAATACCTGTCTCGCAAGTTTAGCTCTTTGCTATCTCTTTAAGGAGTCTGAAAATAGATTCCAAAACACATAGCAGGTGCTCAAAAAGACATGGAGTCCCAGATGATCAAACTCACCCTGTGTACCACTTGTACACCTTCTCCTTGACCTTCTTCCCCGTCAGCTCCACATGGCGCGCATTCTTGACTACCACCACATCGCCCTCGTCCCAGTGGGGCGTGTACGTCGGCTTGTCTTTGCCCATCAGAATCATGGAGACCTGCGAGGCCAGGCGGCCCAGCACCTCCCCTTTGGCGTCAACGAGCCGCCACCGCAGCCCAACCGTCGCAACATTCTGCAAGATGGATAGGAAGCGTAAGGAGGCCTTGCTCGCAGGTATGAACAGATGGTCGTCATGCGTTGAGAGATGATTCAGGGAGCTTGCCTTTCAGCAAGTGAAATGCGCTCGAAAGCTCACCGATCCTGCATCGTGTCTGGAGAAACATGTGACGGTAGACTCTGCTGTACACCTTCTACTTTTACACAATCACTAATCACGGCATTGAGTGAGACATCCAGGTTGCTGTTGGCTGGAATTGCACATCCGCTAAATGGCGATTCAGGACTTTGCAGCTCAACGGGATCCGATAAGCAAAGCACCCCATTGGACACAATCAATTTAAATGCAAGAGGCCCCAATTCCTATGTGTCGAAAAGGGGCATGAGACAGCTCGCTAAACACGCAGGTAAAGTGACTTACCTTGAGGTGATTTGACATCACCTCAGCTGGTTGTCAATCTGTTGGCGAAAATCGGTCAAAACAGGAGACCTCTCATCAACACGAGCAACTTTAGAAAATGTGCAAACACGTCGTTGTTTCTATTATGTCACCGCAACCTATGTATCTTGTCCAGCTGCAAATCGAGTTCTGGCGCGGACAAGGCGCAACATTGACAACTGCAACGTGATCTTTCAGGATGTTTCTCAGTCTGCTGCGCAAACTTCAGAAGTAACCTTGGCGCTCTGAAAACGCGACGCGCTCACAGTCAGAGTTGCAAAGAGAACGGTAACGGGGTTTACAATTTGTGAGATTGATGTGGTAAAGGTCCGCCGCCTTTCGTCATGCATATCATTGCAAACGGTAACGTCCCGTTATGTCACCGTTCACCCAAGGCACTTGCACCGGCTCCCACATCCAGCGACCTCAAAACTGAACGCTTGCTGGCTGTGTCGCTCAAAAGGATAATCGGCACAATGCCGGCGGCCGGTCACGGTACCACCGACGTCGCTGCGCATCCCCGATCTGAATTCTCCTTGCCAATCCTCGCGCCGCCAGCTGAGCATGCTGGCACTAGTGCAATCTGCAATCTGCAACAACGCTGCTGCAACGTTGACCGGAGACAATTTGTTCAGCACAGTTCAAGGGCGGAAGGCTGCGGAAGAAGGGTTCAAACCTAGTAGGCTCAGACAATTAAAAGCTAAGAGCATTTTAATTTTTTCAGAGTACAGCTAGGGCCCCGGGTACGCTTGCTCCCTGCTTAGCCTGCCTTGCGTCAAATCGGAGGCGACAAAGCGTTTTCCAAGAGCAGCAGCATGGCGACACGTGAGTCGGAAACGTTGCTCTTGCATGTCCTCCTTCTGGCTTCCGGATTGGCCAACACCGTTGCAAGCTCTGCCTAGCATCTTACCATGCAGGTCAATATGACCCGCTTTGCAACTCTTGGCTTTGGCTTAATAGGTAATGGAAGTTGGACCACCAGATAACGTGCAAGTATTCATGTCTCACAAGTTTCTTTGTTCTCTATTCTGCCCTCAGGTACTCAATTTGAGAACAGTAGTGAGATTGGTGTCTTTTCGAAGCTGACAAATGCATACTGTCTGACGGCCATTGGTGGCTCGGAGAACTTTTACAGGTATGTGTGTTAAGCTGATTGATTGCATGGATTGGTCTGTTGTGAATTTTACAGAGTGGTGGTGGGAGTTGCGTCTTGGTGACCCTTAAGACCTACGTTGACTAAAAGACGGAGTGATTCTTTTCGACGAGTTTCTGTGGTGCCCATGCCCTCAATGTCGCAGTCAATGCTGGTATCAACGTGGTTTTGTCAAACTCTGTTCTTTTGTTGTTAAGGCTACATTACCAGAGCTCTGCGGCTTATCGTTGCAATCAAGTGGTGTCGCGCATATCTTCCTGCTTGACTACAGTTATTAGTGGGTGGATGTCGACGATGTTTATCCAGTGGTTTCCCTGATGCATCTTGTTGATGTATCCACACGCGGGTTCAACACTTCTAGCTTTGGTTTTTGGTCAAGTCTTGAAAGCAGCTCTTGAGTATAGCTTGATGCTCTCTGCTTTTCTTTGGTGCAGCACATTTGAAGCAGAGCTGGCGGATGTTATACCTGTCGTCAAAGTGTCCATTGCGGGCACTCGGGTGATCGGTCGGATGTGCGTAGGTAGGGATATTCGCGAACTCAGCATGACTGGTTGAAAGTTGTGCTGGTGCTATTCATACACTATTCCTCTGACTATTCCTCTGGCACTTTTAAGGTTCAGCAGCCCCCGAGCATAAGGATTCTTTTCTCGATGATGTTATCATGCAGTGACGGTGGACAGTGAAGTTCATCTCGGGTCGTTCCTTGTGAGTTGCTGATTCAAAATTTGAGTTGGAAGCTTTGCAAGCAGCGGCCCTTCTGGCAGGTGTCTTGTGCTGCTATTGAGCGCATTTTCTTCCTTTTACAGGCAACAAGAACGGCTTGCTTCTACCAAACTCAACAACAGATCAGGGTAAGTTGACTTACATGTAGAGGCAAACCAATGTTGGATTGGCTCTTGATCAGATGTGTTCTGCGAGTGTAGGGTGTTATGGTTGTGGCAGAGAGCTGTCCTCAGGGTTCGTTCCTTCTATGCTGTCACTTTCTTAAGTTCATACCTCATCTCCTATCAATCCAGAGACATCTTTGAGAGAGAGGTTGATCAGCACCAAGATTTGAGAAGGCGAAATCGCCACTCCTCAATATCATTCTTTTTCATGTCGTTTCCTGATCCTGCTCTCGTGCCCCCTGTCTGCAGAGCTACTACACATTCGGAATTCTCTGCCCGATTCGGTGGTGGTGCAGAGAGTGGACGAGAGGCTGTCGGCTTTGGGAAACTGCATATCCTGCAATGATTATGTGGGATTGATCCATACGGATCTGGATAGAGTAAGTTTCTGGTCTGGATACCAACCTGCTTTTGTTTCCTCTGGATACAGCGTTTGTTCAATCATAATCGCTCACCTGTGGGTTTGGTTTCAAATTTGGGCATCATCACGAAACAAGTGCGGTTGGCTTCATGTATGCTTTTGATTGTGTGCACTTGCTTCGAAGCAAAGCGCACCTTTGTCGTCGGGTCGATCATTATGTAACTATGTTCTAAGCTAGGTTGCTTGCGTGGAAGAGTAGACAAAACTGGCCCGACATGGCTGCTGTAGTCCGCTCTTCCGTTCTTGTATCAAGCCTCGTCGTCTGCCTCGCTCCCGAAATTCCTCCTGTAGGACATGACACTCTGACCAGCGCGGTGATGAGAGAAACGTACCTAGATTTGATGGGCATGTCCGTCAATGATAGTACAGTTTGTATTCCCTGAGCGCTTGGAACTCAAAGCTAGGCAGCTTCATGTGGGCCGCAGGCATCCTTTGGACCGTTTTGGGAGATTGATCCTTGGGTGGTGCCTGTGCCGAGTCAATTGCTGGACGTCCTGTTGTGTCCCTGTATTCTCATGATGGTAACGAACCAAGAATGCTTCCATCTGAGGACATGCGAGCCTGAACCCAGTGATCCCTTTGCTTGGAATCCTTAGACGTCAGCATTTTCTTCATGGCCGAAGGTTGCCACACTTGATGCAAGTTCATCATCTTTAGTCGCGGATCTGGTGTTCTGGCGTGGTGTTCTCTGGCATCTTATGGTGTTTCTTTGCTTTGACGACGATCTGTGACGTTTCGTAGTTTGAACTGATTGTTGAGCTTGCATATTCTTGGTCGAGGTCCCTTCTTTCTGCTTGTGCTTTTTATGCTCAACGACAATGCGTCTGCCTCTCGAAGCTCGGGTTTTCCTTTTTGCCGACTGAGTGGCCCAACAGGAGCAATTCTGTACTCCCACATCCTGTGGTTATGGTGCCTTTGCACTTGTTCCGGTATTGCTTCTCCTTCGAGGAGTGCACACCTCATCACGTCAATGTTTGTCTTTAAAGTGGTTGCCGCTGAATTACAGGAAACGGAGGAGCTGGTGGCAGACGTGCTGGGGGTGGAGGTGTTCCGGCAAACGATTGCCGGCAACATCTTGGTCGGCAGCTACGCCGTCTTCTCGAATAGAGGGGGACTGGTGAGTACACGTGTCGATCGACCTGAAGTGACGGTACTCAGATTCAATTGTCTGAACGTGTCTCCGCTAAACAGCGGTTTCGCCCGCCTGTTCTGACAACATCTGGTTCGATCGATTGTCGCTTCCAGTTGCTCTATGAAGAGCCTGAAGACGCACGTTTTGGATGTGTTGCAGGTTCATCCGCAGACATCAGTCGAGGACTTAGACGAGCTGAGTTCCTTGTTACAAGTCCCCCTGGTCGCAGGCACGGTGAATCGTGGAAGCGAGGTGGTTGGGGCGGGTCTTGTCGCAAACGACTGGACGGCGTTCACAGGCTTCGATACAACAGCAACGGAGCTGTCGGTAATAGAGAGCGTCTTCAAGCTACGAGACGCCCAACCTAGTGCCATCGTTAATGAGATGAGGGCATCTCTTATCGACAGCATGGCTTGAGCATCCCGAAATGTGTCGTCCTCTTATACTGTTTGTAAAGATTCTGATGATTTCAGCTTTGTCTGGTCATGGCGCTTCAGACTGGTCTTTTTCTTATCCAGCTTGTGTGAAATGGATGGCCAATCTAGTGGCTTGGCAGGCCCCTTGATATTCGAGTTCCTATGACGGCGGTGTTGCTGGACGCTTGAACGTTCACATATTGCAAAAGAAAGAGATTCATGATAGCACGCAGCTACCGTCAGGTGGCTATTCTAGATGCATATGGAGTTACGATCCTGATTTATGCAAAAGTTTACTTTATCGCTTTTTTCTATATTGATAGCCAGCTAAGTGAATGATGGTCTAAGAGACACGATTCTGGAACCGCATGTAACTCTCATTCAGAGTGTTGAGTCGAATGATTGCAAGCCAAAAGACAATCTCTTCGATATACCAGGGCTCCAGAAACGAGCCGGGTCCATGATTCAAATTGGATGGCGACAAAACCTTTTTTTGAGGACAGCATGTAATTGCAGTACTAATACCTCATGTTTCTGGTGGACGGCATCCGACATGGCTTTGGACGCGTCCCACTTGATGCATGTACATGTGCGCGCATGAACCATTCAAGTTTCTAAATTTTGTGTGTCAGAATTCGGCTTGCATAGGGGCCCTGCGGATGTCAAGAACGTCGCCTGCATCACATACGGATAGACACAATCCGTATACCATGTAACATGAATGCGGCTGTTACAAACATACACACCGGATATACTTGAGCAACAACCTCAAAGCGAAACTTTGACCACCGTCAATCACGGCCTGTGTTCAAGTTATGCCATCACCGAGATTTCCATGCAAGTGCGATCCAATAAATTCATGAATAACAAAAAAGAGTCCATGACTAATCGCCATCTTCGATCTTCACAAACCAAAACTAGCCTATACCTTGCCACAAATGTTGACCTCACTTCGATGACCACTGTTCAGGATTTTCTGAGCATCTGCTCACAAAGTACTTGCAAAAGGTAAGGTTGTCAAGAAAGTGTTTCGAAGCAACCTTCAAGAAGCAGGAGGTTCTAAGTGTGCGCCAAACGAACTGTCCACCTGCACATGACATCCATAAGTAACTCAGTAAGAAGCTGCCACTTCGATTAGGTAGGTTGATGTGCCGACCCCAGTACTCAAGAGACCAGTTTGCAACAAGTCGATCCCTCTATATCTAAGGCTGTGAAGTGCTGGGGGACATAAGCAGGAGAAGGCAAAGCTGCAATAAGTGGGGGCCAGAATTCTGGACAAGAGAGGTGATCCCCTGCAGGGTTTCAGATATTTACCTTGTGCATTGGTTGCTGAAGGCGATGGTGGTGGTGGTAAATCTTTGAAGGCTTGGGATGTCAAAATCTAAGAATCATCACCACAACTGCACGCCAGTCTTGACCAGACTTTTAGGTGCTACTTGTGGTTGCAGCTATCTAAAGCCAGGGGCGCCAGTCCATCCCTACTTGAAGTTTCACCGGTGCATCCACAGTATGCAGACAATTGAATGGCTGCAGGTTGCCCTCCCGAACCCTGTACATGTAACTGAACTGGAAAATGCTGTCAAACAAAGAAGACTGCTGGGCAAGTGAACTGCTTTCAAGACTGTTCATGATTGTTATGCGAGATCTTGGCCACCGAAAACCCGTTGGTACTCCGCAACACCTCAAGCTGTTTCTTTCCTTTTCGAAGAAGATGCTCAATCAGCAGGTAGTTTTTCCTATCGATGCGGCGTGCATCCTTTCGAAACTCTGCGTTGATGTACTCTTCAAGTGGTCTCCGAACGTCCTGAGGTTTACTGCGAGCACACCGGAGGAATGATCTGTGGAGGGCCAAAACCTGCTTCTGAATGCCAGATAGGCGGCCTACCATTCTTAGATGGCAAGCGTCTCCCACCCTCACCTTCCTGCCGTCTGTGATGCCAACTTGTAGTCCCAGCTTGAGTCTGAGATCTCACGGAGTCACGCCCAAGTTCGACCTACCTACTACGCCGTCTACGGTACGGCCAATGCGCCGCGCCGCGCCGGCGGGAGTCTTGGAAGGTGTCCAGAGATCAGTGATCACAATTCTGCCACGTCGAGCTAGGACTACAGCTACGGTCTCCGACTGTGGACGGTAAAGGTGGTCATGTCAACGGGCTTGATCAAGTTAAATACACCCGGCAACGGTGGTAACGGTGAAGCCGCAAATCTGCGGATCCTGCTCAGGATAAATGGATATCAAGGCCCTCGGGAGATGTTCGGGCCAGTGTCCGGTTGCCCGCCGGTTACATAACCAACCTGCCAAAGAGGCGGGACAGAGCAACATGTGCCCGGGGGAGAAAGCATGGACCTTCCCAAACACGTGGCGCACAGATCTTTCCTCCGACTCGTGCAACAGGCGCCAGCAAAATCGGCCTCAGGGCCCTGACTCACTCCTGACGAGGCGGCTCGAGGAGCCTGGGACCTGGAGGGCTTCCTTCTTGCTCAATGCTACGGTGTCGGCAGCCTTCACATTCGAGGAAAGAGGAAGCCATTGACCGCGTTCTGGATCTGTCACGGTCAGAAGGGCGAGGCTTTGGCGGGGTTGGACTTTCATTCACCACTTTGCTGTCGAGCACCTTTTGGGCCCAACATGGGTTACATTTGAGGTCCTGCTGGTCGATTATTGGTTCATTAGTTGGTTGATAGGTCGGTTGCTTTTCAGCAGCCTTTCCCAGCACCGACTGTTGCGGTTCTTGCCGCCCGCCATGTCGCCCGCCATGGCTGCTTCAGCACGGAGGCTGTCACTATCGGTTGTCTTGCCTGGTTGCCCATGCGAGACTTCTACTCGAACCCCATCTCCCCTCCCTCAAGCACTTCTTCCATCCCCATGGAGTAACTCTGCCAACGCAAGCCCCCTCATGAGATCTAGACAGCGGCGGTTTTCTCTGCCGGACAGCAATTCCGGACCGGGCATAAGATGTGGGCTTGGCAGCGGAAGGTCGCGCAGACCGAGTCTGAGTGGGCTGGCTGGGCAAGCGGCGGTGAGCAGCCCCTTACAAGCACACACTAGACAAGGAAATCCAAGGGAGCCAAAGAACAAGTCGGCAGAGCCGGAGGTATCAAAAGGGAAGGTTGGCGTTGTGAAGGAGGCACTCCGCTCGGCTGTCTTGTCCAGGGAGGAGGAACTGGAATGGTGGGATGAGTTCACACCCGAGGAGCAGGCGGAGATGCGGCAGGTGGCATTGAATGCCTTGGAGGAGTGGGTGGAGTCTAATCAGCCGCAGGCGGAGAAGTGGTTGGACTCAAGTGAGGCGCAGAATTGGTTGAGTGGCAGAAGGAGCAAGTCCCGGGACGGGGAGGGGTCAGGAGAGGACGAGGAAGCTGCATGCAGTTCAATACAGCAGTCTCAAGCTTTGGCATTGTACAGGGCCATCAAGGCTGATGAGCCAGAGCGGAGCAGCAGCGAGAAGCAAGAAGAGGCTGAGACCTCTGGCAGAAGCTCGCACTTTGGGTTTGCCTTTGCTTCTGACAGTCAAAAAAACGGAAAGCGGGAGGAGCAGGAAGTTGTGCCAGATGAGGAGAGACGACGAGAGCAAGAGGCAAACGAGGGCAAGCAGGAAGCGGAGGGAGGCGGGAATTGGTTTTCTAGAATCACGGGCAAATTCGATGCGCGGATGAAGGGCCTCATGCTTCTTAACTTGTTGACATTCTTGTATGGTGAGTCAAGAGCTTCTGATCTGCTCTTCCCAGGTCTTTGAATTTGAACATTGCATGCTGTACTACCAAATTCGTTTGCAAGACTATTTCTTGATTATTTGCAGCATTGAAACCCCAATTTGTCACTTCTTATCGCTGGATGGTCGCTCTGCCTCCACCACTCTTTGAGGCCCAAATACAGGCACGCATGCCTTTATGACAATTTTCCCTAGTGTTGCATGTGCGTCTGTTTGTTGTCTTGGGGTTGAACCTAAAGCCACTCTGTTTCGATCAGCCGGGCATCGGATGGCTAGTGAAAGGAGGAGTCACTTTTGACTTCCTTTTTGATGTTTATTACTGACTTTTCCCCAACCAGGGGGCAGAAACATTGACTACTTCAGGTTCAGTGCCGTCTGTTTTGCTTAAAACCCCTTTTCTTGATTGTTGTTTGCAGGCAGCAATGTTTCCGTGTTGAAGAATTCTGCGACATTGTTGGACCCAGCCACCTTTGCAGCGGGGAGGTTTGGCATTGGGTCAATTGCGTTTGGTCCATGGTTGTGGAAGGCCCTGAGAGACCCCAGGATACGCAAAGCCGGCGGAGAGCTGGGGCTCTGGGCCAGCATTGCGTATCTCACTCAGGTATGGCCCAGCCCTGTAGAACAATAGCGAGGGCTGGTGCAGCCTTTTTGACGCGATCCCCTTGATGTGGCTGGCGAGCACCGTATCTATATTCCATTGGGACATGAGCTTGTTCGTCAAATAGATTTCAAGGAACCAGTGCTGAAGTATGAAGTGCCTCCCCTCTGCAGGCGCTTGCCCTCCAGACCAGCGACGCTGGGCGCGTCTCATTCATTTCCACGTTTACGGTAAGCCTGTGCTTGAGTGGAGCGAAGTGGCCAGACCTTGTTGGCTCAGCGTGTGTCAGCTATGCCAGTGTCAACAGAGTTGCTTGTGACACGCTTGACTTTGTTTTAATGGCGAGGCCTCTCATTCCTCGTGGGGTGTCCAATCGACAGAACTGGGGGTCACGCTTTTCGATAGCTGTGTCTCCTTTGACGCCGGTCTGGTGAGGTGTCCGCTTGGTGACTCATCATTATTCGTCCGCATTAAGATTCCTGACCCGGAGGTCTTTCCAGGTCATTGTGGTGCCCCTGCTTGCTGGCCTCTTTGGCAAGAAGATCTCTCCCCTCACGTGGGTGTCAGCAGCGGCAGCCCTCGCTGGGGTCGGGCTTCTTGAGTCGAGCGGAGCGCCACCAGCGGTGAGTGAACGCCGCAATGAACCAGCTTTTGTGCAAGAATTCTCACCCTTTTGCACATGGTCGCGGAAGTGTTCTCTTTCCCACCGCTGTGTGCCCCCCTTGAACGCTGCGTTGCGTTGCCTAAATTAATCCGGAAAGTGCTCTTGCAGGGGAATCTGGATCAAGTAAACCCCAGAAATTGCTGCTTTTTGCACAAATCTTAACAGCCAATTTGTGTTTTGGTTTGTGCAGTGCGGCTGACCTAAGGTATCTTTGTTTGCAGATCGGCGACGTGTGGGCGTTGTTGAGCGCTGTGCTGTTTGGCGTTCAGATGTTGCGGACCGAGCACCACTCAAGGTCGCTCCGCAAGGAGGACTCCATGGCACTGATTGGCCTTCAGGTACGTTCACCGCTGTTCCTGTCTGGACGTTCGAAGATGAGTTTTGGAGCTTTTCTTCAGGATAAATGTTAACCTGAAATGACTTGCTTGGGTGCGTTGCCTCATCACTTTAGTAGTTTCAATCTGCTTCCTACAAGTCAGTTGATTCAATTTGTTTCAAACAGGGCCGGATGATTGGGTTCCTTAACGTCGGTAAAGTGCAGGGTTGCACTGGAATTTTTGCAGTTGGCACGCTTTTGTTGCTTGTGAACCATGTCCCAAGCAGTTCTTACCTTTTTGGGACAGATGACAGTGACTGCTGCAGCTTCCGCCGCCTGGGCGCTCATTGGCCACTTGCATAGCGGCGACTTGACGGTGTTGAACGCGCTGTTTGCGGGAGACGTGGGCACGCTGGCGCAAGGGTTACAGGGAGTGCCCTGGTGGCCCATGCTCTACACCGGGGTTTTCACCACTGCCCTGTGCCTTTGGATTGAGGTAAGCTTCTTGTGGCTATCTTTTTAGAAGCAATTCCTGATCTTACCGGATTGAAGACGTTTCCTATTCGCATGAGACAGGATGTTCGAATCAGGGGGTACGTGGTCCTTTTTCTCCTCCTAACAAGGTGGAGAACTTTTCTGTCGCATGGGAGAAAGTCGACCGTCAGCCAGTTGCAGCTCAACCTTTTGTAAAGTCGGTCAGTTCCCTATGCTGGCTCATGCATGAAGTCTGTCTCACGTCCCTCTGCAGGCTGAAGCATCTCAAGACTGACTGGTTTGCTGACTCACACAGCATGCGACTGGCTTGTGCAGGTCGTTTCCCTGCATGACGTCTCAGCCACGGAGGCCGCTCTTGTGTACACGATCGAGCCGCTGTGGGGTGCTGGGTTTGCGTGGCTTTTGCTAGGCGAGCGGTGGGGTCCTATGGGGTGGTTGGGGGCGGCCCTCATCCTAGGTGAGCCATCAAAGTATTTGGCAGAACATTATCGATTGGCTTGGGTTCCAAGTTTGCGTGGTTTTGTCTGTTGCGCGAAATTGATTCCTGCAGGGAAGACGTCGAGTCCCTGGAAGTAGGTTAGGCTGGTTTTGAACTGGGAAGGACGTCTGCCCTCAGCAGCTTACGCAAGTCACTGTTGGCGTTCACCATTGAGGGGCTCCTTCCTCATAATTGGTTTCCAATGTTTGATGAAGGGCTGCCTGAGATGCCTCTAATACCATCCTCTAAAGATAAGTCACAGAGACCGTGTCTGATTCTAGCTTCCCTGTTTTCTGCCACGGGACTGTTTGCTCTGGTTGTCGGTTGGGGCGTTGGTTTGAGACAGACTGAACAGGGTTTCGCGTGTTCGTTGGGGACAAACTTTCGGCGAAGCGAATTTTCGATTTCACCAGAATATACGAGGCTTTAGGGCAAGTGCTTGTTGAGGTGACAGAGAGAGACGCAGCAGACGATCCTTTGGGAACACATCAAGTCATCCTGACGAATGACCGACTCGAATCGATCAGGCCGTTCTTAATTCTGGCCAAAACTGTGCCAACAACAGCAAGCCTCCGTTTTTGTGTATGCAGGTGGCAGTATGACAACACAACTGTTTGGGGAGGAAGAGACAGAAAGCAAACCCGCCGTAGCAGGTGTACATGATAGCCCTTCAAAATCTGTAAAAGAGATTCTTACAAAGACAGACACAGATAGTTTTGACCTCGACAGTTTCACACGAGCTCTTAGTTTGTTCGCGCTTTCGGAAATGGCAGACAAGGCTGACCGGGCAACGGCGGCAAAAGCAGAAAAGAACATAGAGCGTTCCGAAGAGCGGGTTGTAGTTAGTAGTCGGACTTCTAGGGCAGGTATCACGAGAAGGGTTGGGCACAAATAATTGAGATGCTTGTTCTTCTAGCATCGTAGTTGTCGCCCATTGATTCAGGTCACCAGAATCCAGATACCTTTATTTGTGAGTAGGCACAAGTAGCGCGCCAGACATAGCAAGACACAACACATTGTTCACGATTCTGACACTGCAAGGAGACACGTAATTGATCTGGAACACGCGAGAAGACAAAGTTGATCGCAAGATATCTTGCAACCAAGTACAACATACCCTGGTCTACTCTGCGAGAAGACAGAGATGAACGCCAGATATCTCGCTACCAGATAACTATACCCTGGTTAAACAGCGTGGCTGTCAGAATGTGCATCCTAAGCATAGGATGATAACAGTGGCAGCAATATTTAGCTATGGGATTAAGGTTTGTTGCGAGCCGTCTGGAGATCAAGTCAAATTTGTCAATTCACGGCGTGGTGATTGTAATTTCCGAGCTCAGATTCACACAAATCGTGAATATTCACTGGCAAAACCTGGCCGCGCTGACTCCTTGTATACAATAACGCATGTGACAGCGACCGGATTGTCCACTACACACACGTGTGCTCAAAAGTGCGCGGCTTGTGCATTGAAGTCCATTGTTGGTATATGTAGCCACGTATTGCCATGACACGTGATCAGATCATTGTATATGGAATTGATCACCGAAGTCCAGCACATGCTTGCAGACACAGATCAGTGACGGCCTGGACACGCCCGGCTGGGCCTGATGCACATGACTGGATCTGCAGTTTGACTGTTGCCCAAAATGTCAGCGTGCTCACAAGAGATCGTTAATACCATGTCACTACGACGCATCATCTGGACCCGGAGTGTTCGTCCCATCAAGAGTGACTGAAAGAAAGGCTGCACCCAGCCATGCTATGATACTGCTGCATGTCGAAAGTGCTTTAGTTTGTGACATCCATCAAACCATGCGCCCGCAAAGAGTCTGACGAACGATTGCACGGCAAGCAGTCGCTTGTCCAACCGCAAGTTTCGGTTGCTGGCACGTGACGTGCATAAGTGGATTGATGAGGAAGGGCGCTTTGGTTGATTGGCTCGTTGCGATAGTATGTCTAGATCGTCCTCCTCATTCTCCCAATCCGGCAAGCGCCCAATTGCACGCAGCCAACATCGAAAAGATGTGAATTTTCGCTCCAAGCTCCACTTGAAGCTGACGAAAGGCCGGTATGAACGTAACAAAATTATCTTCACATCTTCTGGTTTGTTCAGTGGTCGATACTTTTAGAAGTTACCCGATATCTTCTGAGGGGCGTAGTGCACTGCCAGAGAACTCAATCTGTACTTTCATTCAAGATCTTAGGCACCCGAATGAATGGGCCTTCTTTGGACGGAACTGCATCCCATAGGGCGTCCCTGCAGAACAGCAGTTGGACCAGCCATCAAGGGCAGAAGTATGACCGCAGATTCTGTGGGAGGCATGTTCCTGAGGAGACTTCTGAGATCCAAAGCAATTGTAAATGTGTTGTGACAACCAGAGAGTCTGGTCGTTATACACCAAGGGCACTTTTTGGGGAACAGGCCTCTGCAAAACCACCGCAGTTCAGTATTGCACCATTGACCTCATATGACGCTGGTATCAAAAGTCATCTGATGCCCTTTCGTGTTCCACAAACTTCCAGCAACTGAAGCTAAAGATCCATCACTCAAAGGGTGCACCTTGGCAGACCCAAAATGGTTTGTGTTATATGCACAACGCTCAGGCAGAGATACTGATTGAAGGGACCCCATCAGTAATTGGAAGGAGGACTCACCGATTCCCAAACGCTCGGGGCTCGTCCTTTTGCACTGTGTTTCCCGTCCGATCACCGCCTGCGCGAAGAGCTGGCGGTACCCCCTCAACGTCTATTTCTTGAAGTTGGCCAAACCTGTGGAATAGGCTGTCAACCGTCAATCACCAGCGAGAGTCACAATCTGAATCGTGTGAGCACCGGACACAGAAACAGAACCTGAACATGGAAGAAAGTTGGGACGGAGGAGTACAGCAAGAAACTGATGAGGTGCTTGGATTCTTGAAAAGCTTAACAGCGTGGGCCCCAACTTACCAATCTATGATTTTGCCAATCTTTGGCGTCCAGTCCTCAATCTGTGAGCACAAACAGAATGTTCTTGTCAGGGACGATGGTTGTTAAATTGAAATCTTGAAGTCAGACACTGCAGTATTTTGGCCTTGTAATGAATTCTGAAGGTGCTCAGACCTTACCACCACAGGCATCGGCGCCATTTTGTCTTGGAAGTGGAGATACAAGATAAGAGCCGACGCACACAATTGGCAGGGGCCCCCACCACAAGTTTCGAAAGGCCTCGACAGCTTTCTTTCTCTGGTTGGGAAGGCGGTTCATAGCGACAAGAGTTGATAACTAGAAAAGAGATTCCTCTGGTCACACTTACTTCTTCTGAGGAAACCTCAAGCCTTGCTCGAACTGCCAAGTCTGCTACATCCGGCGGGTCAACGCGCCTGGATTCACCCGCAGAACACGAAACTTTTCGATGTTGTCGAATGGCACCCAATGAGTGGCTGCTGTGATGCGCCACTCTGCAATGCTGTGCTATACCAAGTTTCTGAAGAAGTTTATTTGAATTAGCAGCGTCCGTTTGCCAGATCTTCCCTGCACCCGTCAAGTGCTGCAATGCCCGTCCATGGTGGAGGGCGCGAGCAGCGACAGTCATTTGTGAAAGAAATTTCTCTCAAGCGCCTGATTATAATCTGTCTGCGTCTTCCGTCAGCTCCTGAAGTCCTGAAAAAGGGAAGAGAGACTCATACACTAGGACTTTACACAGTATATCAGAGATGCATTTCAAAAATCACTTCAAAAGTACAGAAAATGGAGCGGCTCATGCTCGGCCAACGCAACGTTTCGCCATTGCAAAGCAAATGCAGCAGGCCTAGGCCCAAGACAATGATGGCCGGGCGGGGCCACCCGGGCCAGCTAGAGCCGGGCACCTGGCCCAGGGCCGCGGCTGTAGCCGCGCCGGGGTCATTTTGAAACGCCCGGGGCCCCAGGACTTTGAAGTCGACCATGTGACCACTGGCACAGGTTGTTCACCGTGCGATAGGCAAAGAACCCGGCCTTGAGGTCCATCCAACGCTGCAGAATTTCCTGGCGCTTTTATCTGGCTGCTTTCCAGCCGTGTATTCGTGGAGGATCTCACGTAGAATCTGCTCACGCTTCATCGACGGCGCAAGACCTCCTCCCAAGATTTTACCCAGCGGCTGTCTGGACTCTGCGCAGTGCGGTTTCTGTCGATGAGGCTTTTGCAGAGTCAATTAGGACGTCTCTGAAGAGAAGTTGAACGAAGCACCAAGTCCTACATGGTAGCTAGAGGGGAATGGAGATGGCTCCCTCCATCGTGTGCCGCAGGCGTTCTGCCGCACGTTGTCAGCATGACAGGTCAATTTAGAGTTTTGGGATTAAATCTAACTTGCACCTGGAAGAAAGGTGCAGCTGTTGAGTTGAGCGACCCGCATTTGCTTTGTCTCCATGCTGTTGACAATGCACCGACTGTGAGATTCAACTTTTAGAAAACTTACCCAGGGGATCCCACTTTCAACTCTCGTTGGTTTTTTCCCAGTCTCCAGCATACTTTCTTCAGCCAATCCTAGCCCGTAGCTGTAACCATCGGTATTGAAGGGTGCGGGTCTTGGAAACCCATGAAATTGAGCTCTACGGGCAAGCTGTATGTCTCGGTCTGATTGCATGCGATAGCAAGCAGAGCTGCTTCGTCAAGAGCAAATGTTACCTTACGAGAGCCGGGTTGGATTTTGTCTGCGGAGCTAGCTAGAAGGGAGCGATGTAGGCACACAGTATAGGATTTTTTGTCGAGTGGAATGACAGGACAGCTTGACAGAGCAACGTCCCGCACCAGCGACTGCAACACGATTGCTCCTAGAATGTTCTTCATCCCAGGCCTCACATGCATCCAAGAATTTGCGGCTCTTGGGAGTGCCGGCTTGACTGACGCCGTCCCCAAGGCATGAGCTTAACAGCAGGCTCGCAGAAGTCGCTGCAGATGGTTGGCCTGGGGATGGCTAATCTGATGTACGGACATCAGATGCCCAATGGACAGTTGCCTTCCGGCCGAAATGGAACGGCCGTGGCAATGCTGAAGCAGGGGCCATATCTAAAAGGAGTGGGGGCACGACCATCTGGGTCTGAGCAGCAGACCGCGGGGGTCCTCGCAGGAGCGCCGAATGGCCAAGCCGGTGGCAGCAAGCTGTTGAGCGGCGAGTGGCCATCTCGCAGCTTTCCTTTTGACCAGGCGCAGGAGGAGCAGCTGACAACGATCCACAGGCTGCTCCATTCTGCAATCAACAACGTTGATCAAAATGCGGCGGGCATCGTCCTAGACGGCACCTTCTTCCCCTTTTCCGCACAGTGCACCCCCTTCCAGCCAGGGCGGGGCTTCCTCCTGCCGCCGGAAGTGGAAGTCAGATGGGACGATTCTCTGCCCTTCCCACAGAAGCCCGTGGAGCAGAGGGTGCTGGTATATTACCCCGCGGAGAAGCGAGTGAGGTGGGAAGCGCAGACCAACGGCAGGAAGCAGGTGGAAGGGACAGCGCTGTTGGTGGAGAGCAGGACGTACACGCTGCAGCTGGAGAAAGAGCTGTGCATCAAGTACGAAATGCGGCTCAGCCAGGACGTGCTCAACTTCATGCAGGTGAGCTTATACATACGCGTATTGTGAATATTGTTTGCACAACTTTCTGAACGTTCATTTCAATATGATGGAGGGCGAAAGGGTGCATAACCATAGTATATCTAACATGCACTGCAAAGTGCTGAGAGTGGTTGTTTGATCAGATATTGTGGTCCTGTGAAGAGCCTATTGAGGCTTCAATTGGTCTTATCTGCTGGTAAATACCTGAAGCAGCTGTGAATAATAGATCTTACCAAGATGCAAAGCGCCTGGACTTTACCCCACAGCAGAGACGTGCTGGTTGCTCTATCATGAATCCTGGCTTGTGATTTGAAGAGACTGTCTGGAGTATGAAGAACCTGTGTCAGTTGCATCTTAGCTAGATCCTTGAAGGTTTGTGGAGCAGGGACATGCCATGGACATGTTAGTGGGAGTTGATCACTTTGGTGGTCAATGTTTTAAATGCATACGGAAACTTTGACAGTATGTTGGGGCATTTAGGAGCCTTCACTTGCAGCTCGGTCCTGGAACATTGGTTGCATTAAGGGCCTAGAGCAGTCAAGGAGCGATCTAAGATATCTTTCCTTCAGTGTTGAGTTGGCACTTTTTCTGTTTGTATCTTCACACATTCTCACTTGCTGATTTGGCTACTGCTTGCATCAAGCCTATTTGAGCACTACCCAAACTTTCTTTGGATTGTAGAAAGTTTTTTCGAAAGCGGCCAGCTTACTCAATACTCAATGTGTGAAGAGACTTTGTGTTTTGGCCCCTCCACTGGTTTGTTTTGTTTGTTTGTCTGCATTGTTATCTACTATCTGAAATTCCTGATCTCACAGCTTCTTGCTTGTGGTTTACGAGTGTTTGTTTTGATTAGTCTCCAATCTGTGCTCCTTCCTTCTCAGATTGGAATCTTTAAGCAGGATTTTAAGAACCAGTCAGCCTAGACTTGATTACGCCCCTTTTTTTTGGACAGATTCACAGGGAATGAAAGTAAACCATCTGCATTGCTTGAGAGGCCCTTCGACATACTATTAAGTGTCACTCGTACAGAGGGGTTTCTCAATTGAGCAGTTTAATGCTACAAGCAGAGTTCAAAGAAGTCCACTCCCTGCAGGCCAAGTCAAGTCCTACGCTGATCAGCCATGCAGTCCGGCCCTTCCGCATGAGGGCAAGCACGTTCCAGTCTCCGGAGATTGCGCTCTCCGTGTCATCAGCAGGCGCTCTGCATCCTGACAGGTATGCGAAACACCGTTGAGTTGTCATCTTTTCGTCGAGAAGGTTACCTTATGCTGGCCATATTCACGGGCTCTCAGGTCACATCAATGTTTCTTCCACTGCATTGAGGAGCTTGAGATCTGCGAAGTCATCTAAGAGAGTTTCAATCTGGGGGCCAATCAGGTAATGAGTACCATAGGCAAGAACAGATGTCTGTTTCCCCTTCCTTCTCCCCCCTTTCTGTTTGTTTCACTTCCTTCCTTCTTTCCTTCTCCCCTTCCTTCAACTCGTCCTGTTGCGCTGCAGTACCTGGCAATCTAGAAGCGGCGCCTCGTCCGACACCCGTCTCAGCCGGCTGAGCGGGACCCCCCCAATGGAACCGAGCAATGCCAAGGCCATCTCCAACCTGTTCCTCTTCCACCGCAAGCTTCATTTCCCGGAAAGAGCCCCACCCGAGTCAAGCCTCCAGAGCGCGCGCTTCGCAAAGCAGGCTGTCAGGGATGTCAAGCCGCCCCACTTGAACGGGGTGTCTTTGCCTGCCCCCGGCCTTAACACCAAGCCAGCCATCACAGCCGCCATGCTGGCGCGGGGCCGCACGCCGGCCGTCCCCATGAGCCAGACCCTCTCCAGGCTCCAGAACGGGGGCGCTGCCCTGCAGCAGGCGCAGGTGATCCTGCAGCCGGGGCTAACCGGCACACGGGGTGAGAATGGTGCGGAAGCAAATGGGGCGCGGCCAGGGAGCGGGGGAATGGGGCGTCCGCCGAGCTCGCACAGCCAGCGGTCGGGGTCGGAGAACGGGCAGGCAATGCGGGGGCTCAACGGGTTGGCAAATATGCGGTATAGCGCGTCGCAGGAGCTCAACAGCTGGGCGCCGGCGCTGGCTAAGATGGCGGAGGGGGCCCGGATGGGCGTGCCGGAGAAGCCCCGGGGTGCGCCCCTGCAGCAGCAGAATGTGCCTGCCCCAGTTGCGGGTCTGAGTAGAGCCCCGCCGCTGGGGTACACTATGGATAAAATCAGCCGGCTGTCTGCACAGCAGCAGAGCCTGCTCCTACAGCAAGCGCAGCTGTTGCAGCAGCAGCGCCAGATGCAGCAGCCGCCGCCACCCAAGCCCATGCCCGGGCTGAGTAACATGATCCCCACCCCCGGATACGTGCCCCAGCCTCAGCCTGAGCCGCAACCACAGCCGCAGCCGCAGCCAGCGCCGCCAGTTAGTCAAACGGAGCAGGTTAAGAAGCAGGTCAAAAAGAGCCGGGGCAAGAAGGTGGCCCCCGGAAAGCAGGGAGCCAGCTCAGGGTCCCGCCAGCTGTCGCCCGCGAGCTCGGCCGCCAACTCGTCGGCCGGCTCCCCGCCGCTGTCGCCCGCCACTGCGGCCCGAAACCCCTCCCCCATGACGCTGCCCCCGTCCACGTACGACCAGAACATCCCCATTGCGCAGCTCCTGAAAGCCAATCGGAAGAAGCACAAGAGCGAGATCGCGAGCGGCGGCTCGTCCCCCACTGCTAGCCGAGACTCTTTGAAGCAGCCCCAGCGTCCGCTGCAGCGCACCACATCCTCCTTGTCCGGAGGGTCGTTCCTTTCCAACCCCGGCCCCAACCATGGCTCGCCGTCCGTCCCGGAGGCCGCCTCGCCCAGGGGAGGGGCGACCATGATCCCCACCCCCGGGCTCTCCCTCCTGGGGCCGAACCGGGGCCACCCCGCTGCGGGGGTGCTTCCTTTCCTCCCTACCGACGCTACAAGCACTGGATCGCTCTTGGACTCCCCCCGCTTCAGCAACGCCCTCACTGGGCGGGGCCAAAACGGGTCGTTCGCGGCTGCTGCGCGCAGCAGCGACAGTCTGCAGGGTCTGGGGGGGGTGGGGGTGGCGGGCCACGGCGGCACACCCCTCCCGCCGGACATGGCGTCCTTTGGGATGATACCCACACCGGGGATGATCCCCACACCGGGGATAATCCCAACGCCCGGGATGGCCGCGGGGGGGCGCTCCTGGGAGCCAAGCGCGGACCTGCTGTCGGACCTGCAGAGCTCGGGCACGAACGGGGGGGAGCAGCTGCTGGAACAGTGGCCGCAGCAGCCCGGCAGCTTCATGGACATGCTGACGGACGACGCGGGAGGGGGGGCGCCCGACACGGATGGGGCAGCTGCGGGGGCCGCGGCCGCCGATGCGTCGGCGGACCCTTTCAAGGAGGTGCTGGATTCGCTGGACTTGGACTTGTTCCAGGAAGATGGGGGGCTGACGCCAAGAGAACAGGGGGGGGTGGCGCCGGGGTTGGTGCAAAGTGGTCAGAATGGTGCGGGAGGGTTGGCGAACTACAGGGACAGCCGGGCGGGGATGGAGCTGGAGATGCAGGGCGGGGGACAGCCAGGTGCATCAGGGAATCTGTGGCAGGGTAAGTGCAGAATTCGTGGATCGGTTGCTCAGAGCCAATTATGTAAGGGACTGGAGCTGATTAGGAGTTGAGCACCAAACAGCAAATGCTCGCTTCATTCTGGAGCTTCTGACGTCCTCTGTCTTAACTGTGCGTTGTATTCCTCGCTGGTCCTTGATCTTGGTGCTCGTGCTGGGAAAGTAGGCAATCTGCAAAACCAATACGACCAATCACAGCGCTGGTCGGCTGCCAACTTTTGGTCAAGACAGTGGGCAGACATGCCCGAATGTTGAAAGTGGGATGGGGATCTGAGACCTACTCTCATCTCTGCAGCGCACCTTCCAGGGTCTGGCTTTGCCGGCGCCCAAATTGGGTTCGGGAATGGTTACCCGCAGGCAAGCTCGGGCCTCGATCATCGAGTGAAGGAGCTGCCCATTGGCGGGGACAGCGGTATGGTACCACCCTATATGCAGTTGCCGCTGGATCAGAGCGTCCAGCAGGCTCACGCCAACACGAGTTACATCAGCTGGGACCCCGGGACAAGCCAGGAGGCTCCTGGTACCGAGAGGAGTGCCACGTTCGCTCACGACATGGCAAGTCCGGCCCCGAGTCAAGCTCAAGTTGACCCGATGGGCTTGGACGCCAACGGGGACCCCGGTCTGACTGGGGCGCTAGATGAGCTCATGGAGCTGGATGCTGACTTCCTAGATATAAACCTAGACGACGGCACGCTTTTCGACGGAGGCATTGGAGAGGGCGATTGGTCCATAGGAGGGTTCTAAGCGTTTTGCATAACGAGCCAGAGCTCAGATCTTAAAGGCGCATCTAGGCGCCTTCAGAGACCTGTTCTTGAGTACTATATCCATCATAGGGCAAAGCTAGCAAGACCAAAATGTTAGGCATCTTGTTTGAACTGGCCATCTTTTCGTCGAAATGAGGTTGGGTGCTTTGGCATCCGATTCAGTCTTAAGTCACTTGGTTAAACCTTCTTTTAGCATTAAAGTCGTCAGATCAGATTCGTACTTGGAGAGTTAAATGAGGAGATTATACTAGATACTATTTGTGCGTTTTCCCCCTTGGAATGTCTCACAATTCTGAACTGTCTCTTATATATAGATTGAGTTCGAGCTCAAGCTCTACCAAAGGCGACTCGAGAGAATCTGTTTTTGGTGGAATCAGTCCACCAAATAATCCAGAACTTCGCACATGGCCGGCTCGGGTTGCAATCTTGGCCACATACCGCCGGACGTCATGCTTGACTGTCCAGGGATTGCAAAGCATGCTGGCTAGAAACGTTTGTACTCTGATCGGAGAAGCAAGTGGCCTCCGGGCATGCCGGTAAAGCTAACGAGGGAATTCGTGAGCTAGTGCATGATCATTGCAAGTGCATGTTTGCATGGCTTTTGCGGGATTGCGGGGCTGTGTATGTCAATGATGCATTTTCAATGTTGAGCAGGCCCTAGAGCTGGTCAGAAAGTATAGGTACTCTAAGATCTAATGATTGACAATAACCACCGAGCACACGGAGAATGCTCTGCAGCACACCCGTGCCGAGGCTGCGGAAGCTGCGGCAGCACTACTAGCATCTCCCGAGGACGCGGCCGAGCCAGGCGACAAGGCCCGTGACCAGATCGACACCATTGTGGACCTGCTCTACAAATCACCAAGGGCAAAAATGCCGAGTAGTAGAATCGTTGCAGTTGGTCATCAATAAAGGGCAAATTTAAGCCACTTGTCGCGTAACTGAACAGACCTATAGCCAGTTTCGGGAGTTAGCTAATCTGCCGTAGGAATCGAGTCGGGCATTGAACGTACCAATGCATGGTACCACAGGTCGCTTATGCGCATATGTTCATTGGAGGACTCTAGCTTTGTTTTTCGTAGGGTCAGATTGAGTCCGGACATGACTTACAGCCGTACTAAGCAAGCTGTAGAGTCAACAAACTATCCCGGGTCTGCCGGAGACCGTGCTTCATGGCTCTGATGTGGCTAAGGGCGTAAATAACTGAGAAGTTACCATTGACAGGGCGCTTATATGGATACGACCCGGCAATGTCTTGTAAAGCTCAGCTGCAAAGAACCATGGTGTGAATACCGTCACCTCGTCACGGGCCATTGAATATCCTAGTATACTAAGCCTGCAAAGCATCAAAGCAATTATCATCCGAGTCTGCATTGCAGGTACGTTACCAAGGTTCTGCAGTCACGTACCACTGTGCACGCCCGGCGGCCGCGCGGCGCGCAAACGTGACAACACCGTCGGCAAGCGATGACGTGGCATGAAGCACGCGCAGCAAGAAACCGTCGAAATCTGCACACAGATCGCGGCTACTTTGAGCCGTCCGTCTCTGACACATTTAAGTGCAACCGACGGGTTCGATGGCCTCAGATGTTGAAGAAGAATCCCTTTGATGCGCGTAAAAGTGAAAAGTGCTAGGCTGCAAAAATATCTGAAGGTCCTTTTTGAGAGATCTTTTTGAGGCCAGCAAAAAGGGCGTGGAGAAAAGCGCACATGGCTGTCAGAGCCAATCGCTTTTCAAGAGGGTAGGTATCTACTTTGAAGAGAAGATGAGGACGCACTGCAGGACTCCAGTGAAGTCTCCGTAAGTCCCACGGTCGTTTGCTGGTTCGTGTAGCGCAGCCCTAAGTCGGACCGGTCCACTGGCACAAGAGGGGCGTGTGCAACCTTGCTGAAGCAAGCGAGCAGGTTCATGTTGCATCTTACGTAGACGGCGTGAGTCAACTAGTTCTGAAGATTAAAAGAATACCTGTATGACTTCTCCGACAAAAGATCTGATGCAGGGTTGAATCACAGCTGGCGGCGTAATATTGTCCATCTTGTACTGGCCAAGGTTGCAAATGGAAGTACGAAATTGATTGGAACTAGTGCAGCATCCACCGAGCACTCAGTGGTTTTTGCAATGGCAAGTCTTATGCCGTGCCAGGACCTGCCCTGGCAGAAAGGTTACTCAGAAAATGAGCCAAGCACAGCACCAGAGGCCCTAGGCATCTCTAAGGAGTGGCCGGGCGCTGCAAACTTTGACAAAGTGCAAATGATCCTGGACCAGAACAGGCTGCTCATCAAGGAGATCAACCAGAACCACTGTGCAAGGAGGACCGAAGGGCTTTCTAGAAACGTGCTTCTCATTAGAGAGCTGCACAGCAATGTTGCTAAGGTGAGGTTGCTTGGCAGGCTGCCTTCAGTGGCTGTTGCTGGGACACAGTTTGGGTTTATTTGTTAGTCTGTGAAGTTGAGAGAGAGTCCCATATCTGATGGTTTTGCTGTATCTGGAAATTCCATTCTGGACTCCTGCAGACCCACTGTAGACATGTCTGCTCCTATGAACCTGTCTGATTTCTTTTTGCTGAGGCAAGTCAACGTCATGAAAGGAGGGAGCATGATCTCCTTGCTGAAGCAGAAGCACTGCTGTTGTGGCCTGAAGTCAGAGCACAAGCAATGCTTGAAGATGCTGGAAAAATCATCCTTCAAAGATGTATTTGAAGCTCTAGGGTACGTGTCGTGCAGCAGTGTTGCTGACCAGAATAGAGTCTGGTAGTCTTTACTCTGGCAGAACTCCCTTGTCTTAGAGCATCGTCCCTTTTCCTTGGGATCCTGCAATCCGCTTGGTTTTTCGCAATCCGGTTGGTTGTCCAAGTTGCTGACATTCATGGCATGCTTTGGGCAGGTGGTGGAGCTGTACCGAGAGATTTCAGAATCATTTGTCGTGGTCTTTGGAAATCACCAGGTGCAGCGTTAGCCGCTAGCTTGTTTCTCTACGAAAGATCAGGACAACACCTGGAGATGCATAAGGTGGTCCAGGGGGCCATCTGCGTCATGACTCATCTTTCTTTCAAGTCTGAATCACTAGTAGGTTCGTGTCCTTGGTGCACGTCCCTGAGTGCGTGCCTTGTACAGAAATGAGTCGAGGTTATCAGAGAGCTTAGAAGTGCTACTAAATCTGCACTTCAACCGATTGTTTGGTGATTTATACAAGGGTCCTTTTCTCGAAGAACAAGAGTGTCCTTGTGAGCAGAGCATTGCTTCAGAGCCCATTGCTATATATGTCAAGTTGCATAAGCAGCTAAACTGCTTCATGTCACCAGATCCAAAAGAGGTCGTGAGGCTTAGGTATTGCTCAGCTTGAGTTCGATTGGACAGCTTTAATACTATTCAATATTAGTCAAACCTGACGAACATTGAAACCTTGTAAGTATTTCGAATGTCTGATTGTGGATACCAACAGCTATACACCATGCACTCAACTTGAGGGCGCACACAACATCCAGCCGTGAACATGCACAAACTGTGCTAGGAACAATTGTTGCGTGGTTGTACTGCAGCAGACTATATAATAAGCACAAAGCATTCACTAGCTCAGGACAGGCTGGCGGCCCTACATTCAGGCTATATCCAACATGTGTATTGCAACTAAGAAACGCGATCAGCTAGAATTCCAGGTTGCACATGACAGCTGCGCGCAAGATTGCGTGCGAACGCACTGTATTCGACTCAGCGCGAGTTGAACCGCTTGTTAACTTGTAAGCCAGCCGGCGATCTCTCAGTCGATACGCGAGAGATCATCGATCGTAGCTAATGAGACAGACGATCACTATAGCTACTCCACACATTTATTTCGAGCAGTGTCATATAGCATGGATTTACATATACATTATAGGCTTTGAGTATACTGCCAGCTATGCAGCGTGACTCATCAAATCGGCTGCGCCTATGCGAGGGCCTTGATGTATGTCCTAATGATCATCACTGAACGCACATGCTTCATATCGTTGACTAGCCTAAGACTTTTTCAACAACGTTAGCTTACATCGTGTGAGCTCGGCCAGTTGCTTGAGTTGCCACCTTTTTGTGAGGAAGAATCTGTTCATGAAAGGTCCAGTGGATATCCTCGAACATGAGAAAGGCAGAGCTCATGCCATAAAACCTCAAGGCCCCCTTGGTGGTTTGCAAAGCGATATGAGCAGTTTGGTCTCACCCAGCATGAAAACGCCAAGGAAGGGCACCCACGTTAGACGAATCTGCTCCTATAGCCTCGTGACATACGAGTTGGCATGCGTCACATACCGAACCCAGCGGTATGGATTGTAAGCTTTGCTCTTTTTGAGTATCTGCAAATATCGAACCTGCAAACAAAGAAACACCAGGACTTAGGTACAATTTCTCGCAGTAGAGATGGATCCTACTACTGTATCTAGGCAGACCTTTACGTGTTTGGTTGCTAGGGACAGTCGTGATGACAATTTGAGAAGCTTGCAATCACGAAATGCTTGCAATTAGGACAGAGGGCAAAGCAGGGAGCCAGACCCACGGTCACACTTGCAACGCCGAGGGCAACTGTGAGCGCTTGTTTCATGACTGGTCGTGAGAAGTGACTGAACTTTACCTACAACTGGTAAGAAGGACATTAGGATAGAATGGCCGGCGACAAACTCACCTGTAGCCGAGATGCATTGTACATGGGTATCGTGAAGGTCATGTTGATAGGCCCCGTCTCCTTTTTCAGATTCGCTGCACAGCGGGCCAATGGCAGTCAGTTCCATTTGGGGGGACTTGCGGAGCCCCCCGTCAGCAGAAAACTACCAGGTAAAGCTCTCCTCCTTCCGCACTGCAAAAGTCTGAGCAGACCCGCTGATCCTACAGCAGTTCGAACAAACATCAGCGCACTCAGCATCAGTACTTGCAGTCAGACTCACTCTGACGACCCTCGTCTGAAGCTGTTCGACGTTGGCTCCTTATTTGAACAAACGGTCTTCGATCCCAGAACTTAATAACACAGGGTAGAAGAGAAAGCTACCCAAAACAGCATTCTGGTAACAGGTCAACAGTGCAGGCACCGATCGCCAATAATCAAATCAGGAGCCTACTAATGAGCACCGCGAGCTTGACGGCTCACCGTTCCGTTCCTGTGCTAACGTCAGCTTTACACGCAACACGTGCTCCGAGTTGCCCGGGAACTACAAGAAACGATACGAGCTGTGCGTCAGCCTTTGAACGTTGAAGAAGCAACCACAGCCATGGGGCCAAAAGCTTCCGTGTTGATCTGGGCAAGGCGACGGTCCTACCGTCTGTAACTTAAGAGAGCTGTCTGCGAGATCTCGAGGTAGATCCAATAACGGCACTGAAGATTGTGCGATAGGAGAGGTTGACAAGAAGCAACTTCGATCCTGGCGTGACGAAGGTGCGGACTGCGACTACACACAGCAGACCTCCCTTGGGCGCCTCCGTCGTGACACCCTAACTTCCACCTTTGGCGTGCATCTTTCCTTCGCTGGACTCGTACTTTTCTTCTTCTTCCTACCATTCAAGCGGATCCCTGCTGAGAGAAACCAGCAGTGCCTAAGAAACATCAGCGCTGCTCTAGAAACGGTTACAATGGGAATAGAGTCTCGAAACCTTGACAGCTTCCAGCAGTGACTTAAGACCGCTACTTCTTCCAGCTTATGGCTTGAGGAAAAAGGCCGCACCGGCTCCCAGTTTAAGCACTCTCTCAGAAAGCTTCAAAACGTTCTCGCCTAAGCGCCGGTCCGCCCACCTTTTTGACGGTCCACTCGACGAGCTTGGTGGCCTCCTTGAAGTCGGTGCTCTGCCCCACCGCCCCCGGCTCCTGCTCGCAGCTGACGCGCTGCGTGCCCTTGGGCAGCGGAATGCGTACGACCACATTGTTGGCCACGCTGTTGGACGGAAACTCCCCCCGCACGCGCACCACCACCTCCGCCTGAAGACGAGGGTGAAACCCAAGGTTAGCGGCTGGTTAATGGTTCGTTTGAAGGTGGGTTGCACAAAGGTGGGAGGTCATAACCACTCTGGAGCATTCCATCCAATCGGGGCCGGCGTTCTAGCTTAACGGTCGTTGAGCGTTGGGGGTTAATAAACATGGAGCATTACAGCATTGTTGCCGTGTGCTCTGGTTTGCACAGAACCACGAGAAAGGCCTCGGGCATGGACCCTCGAGCCGGTGAGCGGTGTGTTCCGAGGTGGGCTTTCTGATTGAGCCAGAAGAAATGACACGACACGCAGCGACGGCAAGTTGAGACGATTTCCAACCAAACCAACCTCGAAAAGGCCTCCCTCAAGACCTAACCACATACGCCTGCGTTAAGCATCTCGCCTTCCTCTATACTTGAATGATAGAAGCAGGTTCAGACAAGAAATCACGGACCAAGGACAAAAAATTGGAGACGTGCCACGAAAGTTTCGTGTGGCTTAAGTAAAAGCCAAGCAGCGAGCCAGCCTCATTCGTGCGGGTCAGAGAGAATGTGATAGGTGAACATACAGAAACTCGCTTCTTGCACGATGCAGACCAACACACGACAACTCAGGAGAGACGAAAGCCTCACCTTGAACGGCCCCGCTTCTTCGACGTGTGGGAACACTCGGAACGGTGGTTTGAACTCCTGCGTCATCCGGTAGTTCATGACCGGGAACTCCCCGTCCGGAGGCGCCTACATTCAATCAACAGTGTGAAGTGTGTCATCCAACCCGGTCAGAAGAAATTCTGACATCTGACATCTGTCCTCCAGTTTTCAGGCTTTTTTCAGGATTTAACGGGGAATTCAGTAGTTGCGCAGCCCGCTTCGACTGCTTCACGCGAAGCCCGCCTTGTCGAGGTTCTGCCAGAAGAAACAATGAGAGACAATCGCCAAAGAGCGCCCAATCCACCGCAGAGTAAACGGTTTTGACTGCACGAAGCGACGTTTTCACAGCCCGTAAGTATCACGGAATCACTCAACCCCAGGCTTGCTAATGCCTTCCTAGATGACAACCGCCCCTCGGGAAAATCTGTCAAGCGCCGCAGTTGGAAGCACTATACTCACCAGCACGAGCGTTCGGTCCACGTCAAACGAATCAAGGCGCACGCTTTCGTGGAAATTGCAGTCGTCTAACAGCACCATGCCCAGATCGCCCGTTCCTCCGAACTCCTTTCCAATGGCCAGGTCCTCGTTCAGGGCCAGCCGGATCTCGGGCGTCCCGGACAGGTAGCTCTTCATTTGTATTGTACCGTCGATCTCCGAGTTCTGGATGTACCCCTGAAGACACAATGGCGGAGGATTGAAATGCAAGTGGCTTGCGGACTTCTGAGTAGAGTGCGGATGGCAGGGACAGCGGGTCCTCAACGATCTTTGACATACAGGGTGGCCAAGGATTGACAATCCTCTTCAATTTAAATACATGCAATTTCGAGATATGTCGGTTGAGAAGATAGACAAAACGCCCCCAAACGCCGAGAATATCAAAATGATTGGGTTTCTACAATGGACCAGACACGACTGCACCCACCCAATCAACCTCGAAACGAGTTCATATTCGTTCGTTCGTGCAAGATACTGGTGACCGAGTGGAGCACTCACGCTGGCGTTGAAGGTGACGCTGACTCGCTCGATGATGTCCACGAAGACCTCCTCCCGCTTCTTGCCGGACGGATCGTTCGACACCACCGATTTGGTGACGGCCGTGCCGGGCACGCGCTTGCCCGGGTTCATGAAGATGGAGGCGGCGCCCAGATTGGGCAGCTTCTGAACGTCCAGCTGAATGGGCTCGTTGAAAACATACGCCTTGAGGGACTCGGTTGACGTGGATTGGGCATACCCCATGTCCTGCCAGAAGATTGAATCGTTAATTTGCTGTATCTTTTGGAGTAGAACTCGAGAAGAGGCGTCTCTGCAAGATAGGCGCTGGTTTGAATAACCGTAACATGTAACGTGATGAACCAGGACCATGAGCATTTTTGATGTAACCTGCAGTAACCAGAGTTCTCTTTAGATGCGGATTGAAAGACTGAGCTTGAAGATTATAGAAGTAACAAAAAGGGTCTCACTATATCCATCGTAACCAAGTAGATAAGCCTTGGCGAAGAATTGCCTCTACACAACTTCCCAGATGATCAAGGGTTTACATACTCAAAGATCAGCGCTGACCGGCGCTGACCGTGTTGTACTCGAAAGTTTGCCAGTCAAAAGAGCAAGGGACGTTCAGCAACTTACGATGATCTCATCCAGCAACTCGTAGACTAGCACAAAGTTTTTCCGCATGGAGTCCTCGCTCAGGATGCCGCAGTAGTCCTTGATGATCCTGGCGATCCGCTGTAACAACTCCAGGATAAGGGCCGGGGACACATTGGCCCGGGTTGTTGCGACGAACAGTAGCCCATTGACCTTGACATGGAGGTAGTTGACCCCATCTATGTTCTGCGAGCAGGCGTATCAGTAGTCAGAAGCGGAACTAGCAAGGATAGATACATAAGTCACCAGCTTGTATCTTAAACCACCAGTTGGTCGCCAGCCAGTTGCATAGGGTCACTGAAGTTACGACAGGATCCGGCCATATGCGTTGTGGGGAAGCCCTGTTCATCAGGAATTTCTACAATTTTCCTCAGTTTCAAAAATTTCCCAAAGCATACCCTCTGACTGAAAGTGCCCAGTTGCAACCATCACCACAGAGACGCTTGCTGGAATCAGGCTCAAAGTCTTATGCGCGCTGAATCCAGCCCACTCACAAAGACTGGGGGTGCATCCTCTTGCCCGCCCTTCCAGAACTTGACCTGACGGAAGAAGATCTCTGCAGTGCCCCGAGGTACGTCCCCCCGATCTGTGAAGAACACAAACCATCAGCCTCTTTGCCACCAGCAACCTGGAGCAGGAGCTTGGGGTTTGATGCAGCATTCTTAGATCTCAGCAATCGGGGCGTCCTCCCGAATGAGGAGGTGCAGCTCCGCTGAGAAAGTGCATATCACCCCATCTTTTCTTTCTTTTGTAACCACCAGCACACAAGAAAGCTCCGCTGAATATCCATGCACAATCGACTTTTCTTGTGGGCATGCGAGACTCCTTGGCCAAGCAAAAGTATTGGTGGTGCCCCTCAGAAAACCTCGATGGGTCCAAGATCATCTATCCCCAATTTACATGAGTCATGGAAGACTGGCAAGCACACAAAAAGGATTTAACCAGAGTTCATTAAAATCTTACAATCCCTGGAAATGATTGTATCTCCCCTTGGTGACAGCACAAAGAATTGGGATATCATCCTTGTTGACCAGGCGGATGCTCCAGAAGTTAGGAGGATTACAAGGACGCTGTAAGAAAAGTTTTTCTGACGTGCCAATCAATTCCTCTGAGCCGCTTGAATTCCTGCGCCAGCTCTTGCGCAAGCTAGGCTATTAGTAGTATCTGCTCTCATGAGCCAAATTGAGACTGGAGTGTGTGCTTGCCACTTGGTAAGCAGATTAGGGTTCCAACTTCCAGCCATAGGTAAATCTGTCCAACTTGATATAATAGGCCGAGATCCTGCTCCGTTTATCCTAGGCAAGACGACGTCGTATGCACCTGAGTGGCTATAGTCTAATACGCCCACACAGGATTTTTTTGATCAAGCTGCTCCGTGAACGACGAAAACTCAAGCAAGTAAGACAAGCATCGTTTCATTTTGCACGGGTACTCAAATTCAGATATATCAATTTGGTTTCTAAACCATAAGCCTGTAGCTTGCCAAGTTAGGTACAAAGGCGATTTGTCTTCTCTAACCGGGGATTGCCCGAATTTTCAGCTCATTCTAGGCAGCAAATTCTATGAAAGGATCGGCTGGCCCGTTCAACCCCAAGTTCAACTGGCGCAACTCTCAAACTGAAACAGTGAAACTTCAACCAGGGAGGCGCAAGCGCCGCTGAAGCGGGCAGTGGCGCAAGCAGTGGGAGGCAATATAGCTTGGAAAAGCTTGCTTTTATTGCATGATCGTCAGCATCTTGAGAGAGCCTTCTGGTTGGCAGTGGTTGCCCAAGAAGGCAGCCTTCTGCGGGTTCGCAAAGAGGCTGAGCTGAGGACTTCTGCACTTTTTTGGCGATCAGTCTGGCAACATGTATAATGGGATCGGGCTACAGACGGCTCGGGGCTCAGGAACAAACGGATATGTGCAGGCAAACAAGTTCCTGGTGCGGCACAGGCAAACCAAGATTGAGCGCAGGGATTTTGCGGATGGTCAGGGGCAAGGTGGTGTCTTGAGGAAGGCCAACAAGGACATTCTGGACCATGAAAAGAAAAGGCAGATTGAGCTCAAGATTTTAATGCTTCAGGTATGCTTCCACAACCTGACCTAACTGGCACCTTCACATGTCTGGATAGGAAAGTTTAGGCTGTCCTGCATGTGCGGCTGATTGGAAACATTGTCTTTGGTAATGGTCGAAAAGTTTGGTTGATTTTCTTGGTACTTCAATTTGATTCTGCGCGGTAAAATGCTGCAATTTTTGAAGGCTCCAGCTCTTGGTATATCTCTGCACATGCATAGGATGCTACTCCTTTGGCGGCTCCTTGAAGTGCTTGATTTATGCATCCTCGCAAGAAGGCCTTTGCCTGAATTGCCAGCCTCTTTTTACTGCTATGCACCTCTTGTTCCTTGCAATCTTGGAATGAGTATATGATGCTAATTGACCAACGATTTTTTGTTCAGGAATCTTTGGAGGAGGAGGGTTATGACGAAGAAGAGATCGAGAAGAAGGTGGATGAGTTGCGGCAGGAGCTCGAAGCTGCCAATGCTGAAGTGGTTGTGGAAGATGCGGCGTTCATGGCCCAGGAGACGCATCAGATTGCCATGAGGAAAGAGAAGAAGATGGAGGTTTTCAAGGTAATCTACTGACTTTAAAACGAGACTGATTTGTCATTGCATATAAAATTTTGAACCTGGCTGTGCAAAGTTGCTTTGAAGAGCGAACGCCCTCAGCGATGAAAGTTCCCTATTGTTGCGAGGTTATGTACGATCAGGATCAATTGCATGAGCCCTTGGTGATGTTGTACTGATTGGTTCAGCGAGTTCAGAAGATTACCCGGATCAAGGAAAATCAATCACGGGTTTGGAACTTATCGTGATTCGTGTGGGAGACTAGGGCCGGCAGCAGTTTAAAATGGTTCCGATATGTATTACTGGAGTGTTTTGGCTAAAGTGGGTGAATCCTCCTTTCTCCCTTTGCTTTAGTATGCCGCAGCAGCAGGTTGTTTAGTGGCGTGCCTTAAGTACCATACTTTTGGTATTTTAGAGTTGGAGGGTAGAGCAAGCTTTGGTGTTTGACAAAAGTAGCAGCAAAAGATTGAAATCTGGTCAACTGCTTGTTATTGCAAAGATTTGAGGTTGTCTTGTTGGAGGCTGGTGAAAGGATTACATGTGGAGCGGGAATAGGCATGTCTTAATGAATTGCGGATCTTCTGCTGCGTCCTGCCTACTGGCTGAACCGCTTTTGGCATGTTTTTGACTTGGATCCTGATTCATCTCCTTCCCTGCAGAATGCGCTGGGGCTTGAGAATGTGCGGGAGGGTGAGGCGTTTGACCGGGATCTTCAGGAGCAGAAGAAGCTCGAGAGGATTGCAGAGCGAGAAGCGAAGAAGGAAGAGGAGAGGATACTGAAGGAGGCTGAGGAGAAGGCGAAGAAAGATGCAGAGAAGGCGGCCAAGCGGAAGGTGAGCACGCCTCAAGGGAATCTGGCCCTCTATCGGCCACGTTTGCCTGCGTATGCCGTGAACGAGAGCTTCTTGCTCATTCTGTTTGTCAAGCTGCTGTTGACTGTCTAGATTTGCAGTCTGCTGGGTTGCGTCCAGGGCACTCTATATGGTTGGAGAAGGTATTGGGTGATTTTCTTGGAAGCTTTTTTTTGCGCTGCGGACATTGCAGGTAGTCTTGCAAGGCTGCTTTTCGACTCGTGGGGCCTGCATCAGTCCATGCATAGACTTCAAAGCTCAAGACTGGGCTTAACATTTATTCCTCGTTTTCTTGCAGGCAAAGGAGGAAAAGAAGGAGAAGAAGCGCTTGGCTCGCGAGCTGGAGCGGCAGAAGGAGAGGGAAGAGCGGAGGCTGAGGAAGGAGAAGAAAGCCGCGGCAAAGCGGGCTGCTGAGGAAGAGGCGGAGCGGCTGGCCCTTGAAGCAAAGAAGGCGGAAGAGGCAGCAAAACAACTCAGGGGGGAAGACAGGTGGCAGCTTGAGGATGAGCCGAAGAATGGCAGAGCGGGGACGGACAAAAGACGAAGGTACGACAGCGAAGAAGAGGAAGTGGGGGAAAGGAGTGGCAAGGCTAGATCGGGACGGAAGGATGATGATGAGATTGCAAGGAGCAAAAAGGGGAGGGGCAGAAAGGAGAGCAAGGGGCGAAAAGAAGACGCTCGCTCAGCAGCCAAGTCGGGAGAGAAGTCACGTGGGAGGGACGAACGAAGGAAGACGGGCCGCTACGACAGCGAGTCAGAGAGCGAGTCAGAGCTCTCCTCGAGCGAGAGCGAGCTGAGCGAGAGCGACCCTGAGAGCGAAAGAGAGGCTCTGCGGAAGAAGAAGCGAGCGGCGGCGCCGACAGCGCCAATCAACGGGAAGAAAGTGAGGCACGACAGTCCCTCCGAAATTGAACCTGAGGGGTCCAGGGGTAAGAACACTGAGGAGAGGGCAGTTGCAAGGCCCCAAGTCCGAAGCCCAGAAGATCTGCCAAAGAGGGGGAGGTCAGCTGAGCGCGGGCGCAGAGCAGACACACCCCCCAGAAGGAAAGAAGCCTCGCCAGTCGTTTCGCCCGAGCGCTCCGTGAGCCCACCCCCAAGAAGAGAAGTGGAGAGGAGGCCTTCTCCAGCCGTTCATCCGAGGGTGACCCGTTCCCCGCCACCGAGAAGGGATCGGTCTCTGAGCAGAGACATCCCTCCTCCGCCGAGAAGAGACATTCGCAGGGAGTCCGGATCGCCCCGCAGGAGCGTCAGCCCCCCGCCCAGGCGCAGGTTGTCTCCAGACAGGCGTGGCCGGTCCCCACCTAGGCGGGCTGCATCGCCGTACCGCGGGGGCAGGCTCAGGCGGGAGAGTCCGCCCCCTCCCCGGGGGGGGAGGTTCCGCCACGACAGCCCCCCTGGACGTGGACGGAGGCCCTCTCCTTTCCGTGCAAGGTCCCCCCCCCGGAGGCGCTCGCCAGTGCCTAGGGGTTACGATGAGCGTAGGAGGGGAGCGCGTGATGAGTCCCCGGCCCGCGGCAGGAATGGCCGGGAGGGGGGAAGGAGGGAGCGCTCCCCTCCTCGTAGGCGGAGCCCTTCGAGCTCCAGGTCGCCCGCGCCTCTGGGCCGGTCGCCGATAGCGCCTGCGGGAGACTCGCCGGTCGTGCCCAGCAGGAGGCCAAAGGCTCTGTCTCCAGACGAACGGGACAGGTCTAGGTCCCCTGGACGGGCGGGCAAGTCAGTGGGGGAGGGGGCCAAGAAGCCGCCAGCAAAGAGAGCGGTTTCGGAGTCTTCAGATAGTTACAGCGACTCGCTGAGCGGGTCGTCGTCAGAGGACGAGTCGCCGGTCCGCAAGCGAGCTGCGCCGGAGGGGGCGAGAGGGAGGGCTGCGCCTGACGACCTTTTGCATGAGGGCCTTGAGGCGGCGCCTGGCGTGCCCAAGGGGCGGCCGGTGTCCGACTCCGAAGAGGAGGCGCGGGTCAAAAGGGTGCGCCGTGACGAGGAGGAAGATCAGGCTGCGGTCGAGCGAGCAGTGGCGCCCGTTGTGGCGGCTGCAAAGCGGCGCGCCGACAGCCCTCCAGTCCGGGACGTGCCAGAGAGGGGGGTGAGCAAGAGACAGAAGCCCAACGAGTCGGACTTGGAAGACGAGGAGCGCTTCGAGAGAGCGAGGGGCAAAGGGGTTCCGGCCAAGAGGCCGCTCAGTGAGAGCGAGTCGGATGACGAGCCTGCGAGGAAGAAGGGTAGGCCCGGGGCCGAAGCGAAGTCTGCAAAGGCAGCCGAAAAGGGAGACGACCTTTTGAAGAAGGTGACGAAGGAAGCTCCGAAGGCGCAGCGGGCTAGCAAGCGTCGTGCAAGTTCTGAGAGCGACTATTCTAATTCGGGGAGTGGTAGCTCGTTCTCGGGTAGTTCCTACTCGGACAGCGAGAGTGACAGCGAGAGCGAAAGGCGGCCAAAAAAATCCGCTCGAAAGTAGACACGAAAGGGTCTCTACACGATACGGGTTCAGTGGACAAATCGAGTAAAGGTCAGCCTGTGTGCACGAGGTGCAGGTTCCAGCGTTATAGCATGGACTTGAAAAAGATCCTCTGTGGGGTTCAAATAGCGTTGTCTCATGAAGGTGTCTTGGTGGTGACCTCTCTTTAATTTGGCTCTCGGAATTGCCTTGCGGCTGGGCACAGGGTCTGCATTCTTGCTCATTTTGCACTGCGACGGCGCCCACATGTATCTGCCAGAAAGGCCGCTCACAGGGTTCTGCTGCCTGACCTCGATGATAGGCATGACATCATATCTTTGTCACAGATAGCATGCTTGATATGTAGACGTAAACCTGCATCCACCACTGTCTTGGCCGGGCTCCGATATGCCTACTGCACGAGTTCTGTTCACTTGAACTGATCATGCCGGCCACCACACTTCCGTAAGCATCAAACGTGCATGGGCATGCTCGTTGTCGGCCGCCAAACGATCGGTCCAGAGAAAAGGCCCCAATGGGAATCCTATTGTGACATGCCCGCCAATAGTGAGCACACGACATGGTTTGTGCATGACTAGCTATCAGTTCGATCTTTGGGACCATCGAAGGTAAACGTACTTCGCCTCCACCATGGCTCCATGGTCGGCAGCATACGTTCATCTGCGCAACCTTTTGCCTGCTCTAGAAATTCAGTCCGTTAAAAGTCCGACTTTTCTTATATTGAAGGATGTATGCTTCTTTTGCTTACACGACAGCAGGATGTGTTGGGTATGCATTTGCGGCAGCTAGAGGCGTAAGTTCCGGATCCGGTCGGACGCATCACAGGGCAGTGATACCGACTAGGGCCTGACGTAGCGCCTTCATTTCGCGTGCACCCTGCAACAAATTGTGAGGCGTAAATGCGCAGCGCTGAGCAGCGCAACTCACAGGATATCTGCGTTGAGTGCTATTTTCCTCCTGCTTCCAGCAAGACAACATCGTGACTTTTGTGTTGCACTATTTGAAGATCATACCGTGAATTATCGATAGTTGAAGGAGAAAGAGAAGCGGTCTACGTACCTTGTTAATGGACTGCAGCTTCTTCTCTGTCTGTTGAAGGATCTCGGTGGCGCTCTCCTGAGCTTGCTCGAACAACTTCTTGTGAGCAGCTTCTGCAGAAAGTTCGCCCACTGTAAGTCGCTGAGAGGGAGTCGACCTTTCGGGAAAGACAGGCGAGACTCTGCATAGGACCAAGCTATAATTGATCGTTGCTAGACCGGGACCACTTACTCGTCTTGTCGATCGCTTCTTTCATGTCCACCTTGGCGTCGTCCATATGCGCAAACGTGTTCTCGTACTCGTCCAATTGTTGCTTGAAGTCTGCCTGGAACTTGTCATGAAGCATCTTCATCTTTTTGCTGTGGGCTGCAAGACATTTCAGCATTTTTACGTCAACGGCCGGGAACTTCTGTCTTTCTTCTTGTTATCCTGCTCCCTATGGAATTCTGACAAGTCAGGAAGAACGGCGTAGGTTCAACGCCACCCGCATCACGTGGAGCCCGCGGTGAAAAAGGTCACTGATGCATCACGCGGAGCCCACAGCGTATGATTGCATGGTGCGTTTGGCTCCTTACATACCTTGCAATTGGGCCTCAATTGTGCCGAACTTGCGTTTGCAGACGCGGATGCACTCGTCACTGCAAAAGAGAGATGCTAACTGAGTTATAAAGGTACTCAAGGAATCTTTAAAAACGTCCGCCTACATGAAAAGGAGACATAGACGAGATCTCAACAGGACATCAGGTAAGAGATTGTTAACGGGATAAGAAGTCACCTGTCTTTCTTGACCTTCTTCTGGACTTTGAGCATCTCCGCCTGCATGGCTTCCTTAGCATCCTCCACGATGCTGGACGCTTTCCTCTTGGACTGTAGCTTCATCTTGCCTTTCAGCTGCGTCACCATCTTGGCAATCATCTTGACCGCTCTGCATACAACATGAACCAGTGAGAACGCTTGGCCAGAGGAACGAGAACAAGCTATCGAAGACAAAATTCATCTTCCTCGATAGCAAGTCTGGATCCGTGAGAAGACTTGCCGAGGTCCAAAAGCCACCCAAGAAGAGCTTACCCTCCGAGTCCACCCTCGTCGGTCCCTCCTTCCGTATCCAGAAGACCTTCGTCTGCATGAATAGACAGTGTCTGTTTTAGTAATTAGGCTCCAATCCACCGCCCGCTGTAAGCGTATGCTCGTCGGATCACATTCGGGTGCAACTACCAGCCTTTGAAAATTGGATCAAGAATCACATGTTTTTACGAGAGACACGTATCAAACGTGTTAAATTTGTGGACGAATCTATTACTTACCAGGCGTTCCCAACAGCTCTTCCTCGACTGCAGCTGTTTCCAGTAGAAGAGTGTCAATTGGGGCAGGGGCACTTTTGCGTGCAGGCTTTTCTTTCTCAGAAGGCTTGGCGCTCTTGACCTCGGTGCCGACTCCATTTCGGCGGGCGTTTCTCAAATGACGCTCTGACTTTGGGAGGTCGGCGAGAAGCCTGAGAGGCGCTTCTTCTGCATGTGGAACGTCGACGTTTCTTTCATTTCGAAAGCATAACAATCAGGCAGCCACACAGATGAGTGGTTGTGTCGATCACGGACGAGCTTTACCGAGCCAAGCTGATCCAGGCTACTCACCTTCTGGAGTAAGAGCTGGAGAAAGCGGGGGGTCTTCCAGTGCGTCGAAGCCGGCATCAGGAAGGTCTTCGTTCCAGGCAGACAACTGTACACAGTCTGGTTGAAGCGTCAGAAAAGATGAATCTTTGCAGTGAAGTTGATGGTCGGAATCAGATCATTGAACTTTTCATTAGACCACGCACATGTTATGTTACCCTTCTCGGAGGGAAAAGAACCTGCGCGCCCATCTTCATCGCCTAGAATATTCTTAGAGCTACCGTCCAGGAGTGCAAATGTAAAACAATTTCTACCTCGCAACGTGATCGCTATACGAAAGACCCCTTCGTTGTAGAAATAGGGGAAGATCATAGAGCAGATGACACAGGCAAGCCCACCTCCAAATTTGCGGGCTTCTTGTCTTCACTTTCGTCTTGCCGCTTCCCGGTCTTCAGCTTCAGGGGCTTTCTGCGTGCAGGATTCAAGTCCAGCTTCGCCTCTGGAGCTCCCGCTGTTGTGTCATCTCCCGACTTCCAGGTGGAGTTCCCTTTCGTCTGATCAGGGTCCTCCTCCTCAAGCAGATAAGCCAGGGCTTCTTCAACTTGTTGTTGCTCATCCTGGTACATGCTGTCGCGCCTAAGCTGAGGCGCCGGAGACTCTGAGCGCTGCTGAACCCCCCGAAGCGGGGTACGTGGACTATCACCCTGCAGGGTCCGAGAAGTTCTATGATTTCGATGTGATTGTTCTTCTTTAGTTGCCTGGGAGTCTCGTCAGATAATTGCAAATAGTACAATTAGCAGGCGTCGCTTACAGAGAAATGCTAAGCGACTTTCTCACCATCATGAGTACAATCTTCTCGACGTGATTTTCAGCAGTCAAAACTCACTTTTTCTGGATCACACGCAGCAGCTTTCGGTAGGATGTCGAAGGCATCTCCTTCTGCGGAACACAGGCGGTTGATCAATCCGTTGAATCACTATTGTTACGGACAGTGGCATCGCACACGATCTAGGCAAGCATTTTTTGATCGCATGGGTGAAGCAACTTTGTGTACTAAAGATTGTTCTTTGTACGAAAGCCGTCAGCCAGCACTTCAGGAAGTCAGACCCTAGCAAGCTGCAAGCTCGGTAAAAAACCCTCCTACGGCCGTCATTGGAACTAGCAGAAGTTCGATCACAGGATTGTACAGTTCGACGCCGCTTACCGGAGTCGGGTTGATTTGTTCTACTTTGTCGCCTTTGCAAAGCGCGGACAGCAACACTCTTTTGATTGACGGCACCATCCAATTTCTTATCTTTGTCCTCCTGCAGGTTGATGATGGTAATGATTACGCATTCTTACTGTAGTTGAAGCCTTGAGTTCAAGAACAATCAACCTTCCGGCTGTTAGTGAGTTTAACGTGCTTAGGGATAACATCGGAATCTTCATGATTCAAAGCAGGATTCATTTGAAAGTTGTTGTGAAAGCTTTCTCAGAACCTTTGCCTCAGAGATTAGTCAGCAGACTAAAAATGCTAGTAGATTCTGATCACCTTTTGATGCATTCACTCGTTGGGATCAGGTCGTGAGCTCGTGGTGGCTTTTAGAGTGAAGTTCTTACGTTTTTGCCCTCCTCAGATTGAGATGCTCTCGATTTCTGCGCATTTGACGGGCGGGCCTTCTGCTTGTCATTGGTTTTCTTCGCGGACCGCCACCCTCTTTTTGCTCCGCGTTTGACAGCTTTGGGTTGTGCTTCAAATCCACGCGCCTCGCTGTCCGTCTCGATCGGGTCGGATCCCAATGTAGGTCTGTAGGATTTACCATGGTCGATCTGCAGTTCGAAATCATAAACAAAATTTCACATCTTGTCCCGCTTCGGAATAAGAAGAGTTTGATACATTTTGACTCCCTTTACTATCGCACATTTGGATGCCCAATTACAAAGCCTGAGGAATCTTACCTGATCCTTTTCTTCATCATCAGGCTGTCCGTTGGCATTTCCGTCATTCCGGACTGCCTCCTTTTCGTTTGCGCCTCGTTTAGCTGGTCCGCCCTGCTTTTTGGAGGGCAGTCTGCCTTCTTTCTCCGCTTCTATTTTGTCTTTGCCTTCATCAGCTTTGAACTCGAAAGCGCCATGATTGTTTTCCTTCGTTCTGTCAACTTTTCTCCCTTCTGATTTGCCCTTAGCAATGTATTTCTGGTTAACAGATTCCTTAGGAACTTTTGCCGCTTGCATCTCTCTTGCGGCCACGTCCTTTCCTCCGCCTTTTGCGCCGATATTGTGCGGGCTCCCAGTATCAGCTTCCTTCTCTGGCTTCTTCCCACCCTCGGGGCTAGAAGATTCGACTTTGTTCTGCTTTGGAGGAATCCTAAGAGCCCTGTGGCTCTTGATTGCAACACCGGCATCCTTGCCGATATTTACAGCTCTCGTACTGTCGTCATCGTCAGCGGAGGATTTATCCCTTTCTGAGAGCTCTTTGTTTGCCTCATCTGCTTTTTCCCCACCTTCGCCCCTCCTTTTCGCACCTCCCTTTTTGCCTCGGCCATCCGCATCCTCTGTAATACGAGCATGTTCTTTGGTTTAGAAAGCTTGACTGGATTCTCCTCTTGCAAGCTTCGCCTGTTTTTAGATAACCTGGCTCAATTCTTCCAGAAAGCAGAAGTATGGTATACGCCTCCGAAAAGCTCTGGACAGTAAAGGTTAGTTAGAACTATGAAGAAAAGGTTCCAAGATCAGGAAGAAACCCGCAACGATGCCCGAAAGAAGGGGTGTATCGTCATTCTCACCTGCTGCTGGTCTGCACTTATCCTTCTCTTGAAGCCCTCGGACTTGCTGTCGCAACATCTCGATCGGCATATCGCTTCTGTCACCGCAAGAGTGTTCTTGATGCGTCAGCTCTTTCCGGTCGTTTCTTGTTTCTTGGAAAGCCGTACAGTGAGTCTCTGCAAAAAAGATTCTTCAAATTTTCAGCTTATCAGAGAGGTTAAAATCTACCTGTAGAGTGCAACTTCTGCTACCAAGGCACCTCAGCGTTGCACGTGACGCACTACCTGAACGATCTTGAAGTAAGTTCGAAGATAAGGTTATATCAGTTGGACAGGCGCGAAGCTAGCTCGAGCGATCAGACGCTCAATCTTATTAAGAACAACGTATCAACGTATCATAGACCAAACTTTCGAGATGCAAAGGCTCCAGTGCAAACACGCGCCGCTTCTTGTTCGACGCACCTCTGTGGTCTTCAGGTCCTTGAGGCTGTCTGAATACATCTTCCCAATTATGTAGCTCGGGGTCCAGTCTGGTCGTCATTTTGCCTCCTTCTTTCCGTGGTGAGGATAAAGCATTATTATTGTTTGGAGGAAGATTTTCTTTGTTGTTGTCAGCACGTTCGGGTGTTCGTGTGCTGACAAGGTGGAGCGGCCCCTTGACGAGCTCTTGAGGTAAATCCTGCAAAATGGAGAACTGTTAGTATGCTGTCACTGAGCTGGCTCTTTCGTCCTTTCAATTGTGAACACTGCACAAAATCGACCGGAGGATGAGAAAACCGTATGACGATACCACATACGGATATCTTGTGATCTGCAAGGCAAAAGCTCTTGAAACTCACGAGGTACTGGATTTAAACTTCTATCAGTCTGCTAACCTTCGACGCAGACCTCCCGGGTAGGATGCCGATCGAAGCTTTCCTTATGCTGCCCTGATTTCTTGAGCCTACGATGCTTCCACTGTTGAGAGGTGCCCTTGATGATGATGCAGAGTTTTCTCGACCGAGTCCTTTTGATTGCAGCGAAGGGAAGGCCTGCAAAGTACTACATCTCGGGCAATGCGCAATGAGAGCAGCCGTCTCAAGAAGAAGTTGGACCAAGTTTGTACTATGTTAACATGCACAGCCGAGCCACAAGAGGCAGGCAGTCTAATCTCCTTCAGGTGCAAGACTTAAGCATTTTATAGTTTGCAAATCTACCTCCAGCAAGTGTTTGCTCTTAAAGGGAAAACCATAGCACGCTGTGATAGGGGACATTTTCCGGCTCTGTTCGGCGGCGTTGAGGTTACAACAGGAGCTAGCCGCGTCTCATGAGGTGAAACGCCTCTTCCGAAGCTGCTCAATAAGCCGAAAGGATGTCACTTTTGCAGGTCAAGATTGACCTACCTGCTTGTTTTTGCTGTTCAGCCATGGCAAGATGACTCGCTCGACGGTGACCATCTCTGCGCAGCCAGTACGAATGAAATCGTTAACGAGTGTCGCAACTCTTCTCTGTAGTAAAGATGTCTTTCGCAAGTTTTTGTACGTTCTTTCTGAACACGGTACTCGCAGAGTACACGCTGCAAAATTGACGGCAAGGGTACCCAAAGACAATGGAGCATGTACTTACTCACCTTTGTCCTTCATCTCGATACTAACTTCCTTCGTAGACTGGGCGTTTTGCGAGAACTGCATGATATGAAGGATGTGTCGTGAAAACGAGAAGGAAAGCCGTACTGCTGTGTAGGGGATGAGAAAAACATGTATCTCTGCTTGCAAAGTCCTCCTAAACGAAGGAAAAGCATTTTCACTTCCAAAGCAGATGACGGAATTGGATACGGATAGTACCTGCGCGCTTGCGAGCCCGGCCGCCGCCGACTTTGCCACCAGGCTGAGAGTTGTTGCAGAAGAACCTGCAGACAAGTCTCGCGTATTTCCGGGAAGAGTGGAGTGAAGGTCTATCAGTATCCTCTCGAGAGACCTCAGAAGAAAGCAGTGTGTTCAATGAAGACGTTTGAAGTTTTCTCTCACTGATAATCATATTCCAACTCTCAAAAATCTCATTGATTGTAAATCAAAAGTTCACGAACGTTTTAGGTCCAGTATTCTCCCGTAAGGAAGGTCGACAAGCGCTGCCCCCTCCTCGTCTGCTTCCAGCCGTTTGTCCTGCAGAACGGATGAAATATTTCTTCGTGCGCGTCTATGCTTTCTGTGTTTATCAAGTAAGCCATGCAGACGTCGAGACCCTTGTCTCCGCATCAAAAATCAGTCAATTTAGGTCTGACACAGGCTTGCGAAATTGAAAATTATGCCGCACAATCCAAACATGCAGTGCCTGAGAACCTGATTATCTGATTCCTTTGAAAGATTGCAAATCGCACCTCTTCATTTAAAGCGTAGAAGGAGACGTGATTGGAACCAAAATCCAGCCATCTGTCCGTCACCGCCGTCGCTTCATTTCCGTCTATGACGATCCTCTCGAACTCGACCGAAAAGACGCTGTGAGGAGGATAAACCCGTTGGTCTGAAAATCCTGGGATGGATTCACAACCATTGCCCTAAAACAGCATGAGACATCACTTGCCAAGCCCTGGAGAATGATGAACAGGCAAGAATGTGTTGGATCTGAACAACGATATCAGGCTAAGCACTCGATATTGGTCCTACTGCTTCACACTCACCTGCGAGCTGCTCCTAGTGAAGCGTTGTACGAGAGTAGGAAGGCTCTAATTTCCTTGTAAAGCTCTGGATCCCGCTTCTTCGCAATCATCAAGAACTCTTCTTTTAGAGACTTTCTCCATTTTTCCACTCCGCAGAAACCGGTTTGAAGCAAAGAGGACTGCTTCCGCACGATCCGGTACAGTATTTCTGCAGAAAGGATGATTTGATGGTAAACATGCCAACTTTGCAATCACCTTGATCCGTATGTAAGATGGAATAGCGGACCAGCTTGAGATGACAGATGAGAACGGATTATCACACCCCAAGTCTTGATACTTGTACCTTTCACAGGAAGCTGGAAAACTAAAAGCTCGCTTTTCAGTACAACGGTTTTCGCGTTCAAGTCAGAATGCTCAGATCCTCTAGACCAAAGGTTAATAGGACTCACCAAGTATGCTTGCTTGGGTCAGGAAATCCCCACAGCTCGGAAGTGTTTGAGTGAAGAGAATGGTGCTGCAGAAATCACAAATCTATGTCAGTGGCACTATCTTGAGACGTGAAAAGTCCAGTCGAATCTAGAAGCGGTCTTTTATCCTTCCCGCAGCTCTTTCAGTCCATTTTTGAGCTCATCTAATGCAGGTGTCTTCAAATTGGTATTGCATATGGTAGGACCTTACCAATCTTTCTCGAGCTTCAGGAGCTCCTTCAGATTGGCAGCACTTCCTTCTGTGATGGCTGATAAGCTCTCAATAGCCGCCCGTCGTACTTTGAAAGGAAGCCTACCATATTGCAGTCTGACCAGTCTGGGGATGAAGCATGGACCGCACTTCTCCCTGCCTGCAGAATGTAAGCGTCCACTTTAAGCTGGATGGAACAAGAAGCATCGCACCTCAAGTTTTCAATGATACGTGCTTCCATCAGCAAATTTTAACCCAGAACGTACCAGTGAGTCTAGCAGTACGTCATATCTTTCCTCCTCCACAATATTGCCATTCGCAGATTCTCCTTTGAAGCATGCGAATCTCCCAAGCACAGCCTAGTCTTTGTATTTCGATGTACCTTCTTTCGTATCACAAAGATCCTCCACAGTGTATAGAACGTCCCCCAAGACAGCAAAGGTCGTTCCGGTCTGCTTCTCTGGCCTGAAAAGAGCATCAAAGATGTCTCCGAGCTTTTCGACCGTCTCTTCTTCAAGAACTTCTCTAAGGCTGGAGGGAAGAAGGGCTCGAATCACTTTCAACACTCTTTTGGCTAGGCTTGCGTCGATACTCCTCTTGCGCAGTACAGCACCTTCAAGAACTATGTGCACTTTCTTAACAAGGTCCCTGCTTGCCCGTGGAAGTTCTTCGTCCGCCTCAGCAGCTGCTATCAGCTCAACAACATCCTCATAGCCGCCAGTTTCAACATCCTCTCCGCTGCTTTCCATCGGGCCGCTCTTTCTGATCGTTCCCGTTACCGTGGCTTGTCAAGATGTAGTATGCCAAGTTTGCTGCTATCTCCTCGCTTGCGCGGCTTGTCAAGCCAGAATCCAAGCGGGCCCTGATTACTTTTTTGTTCTAGTTCTAAACAAGAGGAAAGCACATCCTCGCGGGGGACGTTCTGGCACTGAAGCTTTCATTTCGTACCTCAGTCAACTGCGTTGCACTAGGAATGCGTTGCGGGGATCTAAAATGCTCTCAAAACTCGTGAGGTTACATTTTCCTACTCGATCGCGTTGGATTTTTCTAAGATTCTTGTTCTCTTTTTTTAAACACTTCAGGCTTGACCTGAATTCGAAAGCTCACAACTTAACGGACTAAGCTGACCATACAGGGTCTAAAATAACGAGTACGAGTACCTATCATATTTGCAATAAGTCCGTTACTCTATTCTGTATCACACAAATCAACTAGATTTTCGAAAGCACCCGGTACAGAGGCCTGGCTTATGAAACCCCAACCAAAATTTTGCGCGCTCCGCACCGAACCCACCCTAACCACGTCCTAGCTAACCCTACCACTTCCCCGGGCATAAGTTCTGTATGAATGTTATATGATAACCAACCGTGGCACTATTATCTTCGTATCGTTCCAGGTGGGCATGGGTGGGCATCGAAGCCTAGGGAAACGCTGAGGGGCTCTCATTTCTTTTCCTGGATGAGAACCGAGAACGAGAGCTCTTGAGATTAAAGAAACGCAAGTACAGCTGAGGACAGCGCTACACCAAGAAGCCTTCAACTGCCACGACGTCGCGGCCATGGATATGATCTTGGGAATGCTCTGCAAGTCCCACTTTGATCGACTCGAAGGTTTCGTCCACGGCCGCATGCCATCGCCTGGCATGGCCCGGCATTGCCCTTGAGCCCGATCATCTTACAACTTCATCTTCTTCAGGTTCGGCCCCCTGAATCTACGCGTGCAGGTCGCCTTCCTGCAATTTATGCAGAGCTGCCAAGTCGTTTGCCAAAGAATAACTAGGCCTGGAAAATGGTAAAGCGAGGTTCATCACTGGTATGAACTCCTCCTCTGCGGCTGCTGCTCAAATTTTCATTTCAATGTAAAACTGACAAAGCCTATCAGAGTAGCCGGCGCTTTGCTTCAAGCGAAGCGCTACGTATGGTAAAACTTAAAAGACACAGATAAGGATGAGACGCCGCTGCTGAACCAGAACGAACCTTCTGGCTCATTGAGTGAGCGGGGACGATAGTAGCAATGTCGAAAGCTGATGCAGCGCGGATAGATAGACGATTTTCGAGGGTTGCACGGCGGCACAGACTTCTAAAAGCGATGGAAGGCAAAGATGTCTTGATGGAAGACAACGAAAGCAATCATGAAGAGGCAGACAGGCAGTCACCACGCCATTCACGCAGGCAACAATTGGACGGAGAAGAGACACCAGAAAATCCTGTGAGCGAAAATGAAAAGGAGGAGCAAAAGAAGTACGTGATGGATAGACGCAGCCACAAGAGTGTACCAGGTAACTCGACTTAAGTTCTTGCTTGTCTTCAGGTGCAAGAGCGTGTGTGAAGATCTACCATAGGAAACTTCTTTCAATGGCTTTTGAGTCGGTTTAGGTACGTTAGGTCTCCAATCTGGTCTTGTAGGCTACACATGTCACTGAGCTCCACTCCGACTTGCAGGTGATCAACAACGTGCAGAAGATCAGACTTTCGACATCTGCAGGTGGGTACATACTGTATTATGCATTCTGCAAACATCCGAGAAACTTGAGCATTTCCTGAGTGTTTCGATGAAGAGCCAGATGCTTCTTTGTCCGGGTTTTTTCAAGATCTGACCTTCTGGACCTGTGCATGTTGCAGCGATGTCGAAGCAATCACTGAGGCGATCAAAAAGATTCAGAAGCAGGCAAAGAGCAAGGATGAAGTCAGGTTTCACGAAGCAGTCGGTCTGGTGACCAAAAGCTTGCAAGATCAGTCCGCCGCCCTCGAACGGCGCATCGAGGACAAGATGTGAGTTCGCTAAGACACTCATGATCCTATGAATTATGCTAGCTTTGCTAAAGAACAGTTCAATTCAAACCTTGACAGGCCTGCAGTGAGTTATAACCTTCCTTCTGGAAGAATTTGCCAGTGGCTAATCATTTGTTTTCGTGGTTCATCTTGAATTCGATACCTTTGCAGGGAGTTTAAGCTGTCAGCTGTCGCTTCGTCCGTTGATCGCAAAGTTTCTGACATGCAAAAACAGCTTGAAGGTGGGTTTTGCAGGCCAACTCAAGGCTTTGATGAATATTATATCCCTGAAAATCTGTTAGACTCTGGTGTCTGCCACGTTGTAAAGCACTGATCCAAATGCCGAAAATGCATACTTCCCTCCTTTAATTTGTCTCTCGTTTCCACTATCCGACGCTCTGTCTTACGTTACCGTCCAGATCAAGCAAGACGTATGAAAGGAGCTCAATGGCTTATCGAAGAAGGAGACAGGCATTACGATGAGGACAGCCAACGGTTGCAAGAAGATCTCAAAAACATACAGGAAGAAAACAAAGATGTACGAAGCGTTCTAAGGGTAGTCCTGAAGGAGCAAGGTAGGCAAAAGTCGCCTGCTGAGGTTCTTTTCCTTGTCCGTACCTCCAAGCGTCAATAGTGCTGATAGGATGCGGCCAACGCTTTGACGCATAACAAATTCCGAAGTGCTGATGTACGCACTGAGCATGACATCTCAGCAGCGATTTGCAGTGCGGACGAAGAGCTTCTTCAAGGCCCTCCGCGAAGAAGTGGCTGGAATGCTCAGAACCAACATCCACCATCCGGACACGGCGTCCATAGTTGCGAAGGTACGGTTTAAGTAACAGCTGATGTAGGGACTAACGCAGATGATTAACTCTCAATGAAGGGGACGACCTACGCAGATTCTTATCTTCTTCCACTAAGTTAAGTGTGCTGAAAGCAATCATTTTCTCTTTTCGCAGTCTTTCGAAGCCGGTCTTCCTCCGCATAATAAGGCGAGCTTACGGCCAACAGCTTCTCAGGCCAACAAGATTCCAAAAGACTCTATCCGTGCCGTCCATGTCACGATGGGTGGTTCAGAGCTTCACCACCAAAACAACCACACCGGTCCAGCCTCTCTCCTGAAAAACAGTAGAAGGTCCAAAATGTCAACGGAACTATGGGAGGACGAGCTGGAAAGGCAGGAGGAAGCGCCTGAGACCTTCCCAAATCCCACAAAAGCAATTCATCTGAAATCGGCGTTGAAAGAAAATCCTTTGGCAGAAAAGACTAGCCGTTCAGTACACGTTCACTGGGATGTTGAGACGAAAGAGTCACACCAAACCCAAAAGTACTCCAAAGAACAACCGCTCATCAATGCGGAGCCTTCTATGCCGGTTGTAAGGCCGTGGGTGAAGGAAAAAGCGGAGGTCGATGAGGACCTAGCACAACTCTTCAAAGACGGCATTCGAAAGAAACTTTCAGACCACAACGAGACGGTCGAGATGGCTACGCAAACGTCCGGGGTGGACGCAGTTGACGACAATCTACCAGGCGGATCGAGAGCTGAAGGATTGGAAGCTCAGTCCTCGGAGAAAGAGAAATGTGTCGAAGTCGGGAAAGAGCAGAACGAAGAGCCTAAATCTGAGCTTTTGAACGAGAGGCAGAAAGTTTCAACCGGCACAAAGAACTCAACCCAGGATAACCTTCAAGATTCTGGTTGCAGAAAGAGGCCGATTCCTCAGGCGATTCTTATCGAAAACATAGGTAGGGCTCGGGTCATGAGGGTTCGCAAAAGGTAGAGGTCGGTGAAACTGACCTCAACAAATCTGGAACTCGTATCTCGAGAGTGAGTGCTGAATGCATTAGCACTAGGCGACATCCACTCAATACATGTTGCATCTGATAGACTTGCCTTCTGGATCCATCATCGCACATCAGGTGCTCGTTCAAAGGCTTTTTTGAATCACATAGAGGTACTGTTCACTTCAAGCTTGGCTTTGAGCTTCATGAAGCTTCGCGGTGTATCGAAGTACGCGAGTCCTGCCATATGCAGTAATTTGCGACTATTACCACCTACACTGACAGTAGGCTGTCATCGGAGTCCGCAGTCTTGAACAACGTGACTCCCATATCCTAGGCATGCTGGCATTTCAATGCGCGGCAGCGAGCCGAAAGGCTTCGCACCGTACCAGAGTTGGGCCTTACAAATCCATGTAAACTGTGCGCGGCCCTGGAGCTCACACGCAAGAGGCGAGCTTATTCGGCTCGGCGAGCCATGTCTTCATCCCGCAACTGCAAGTGGACAATTGCAAGGGGAAAATGCGCTGCATTATGGCCTCTTGCAACTGCAGTTTATCATGGCTTGTGCTGCTGGTTCGCTTTCATGCAAGTGTATGTTCCGGTGCATGTGATCATCTCAGTGAGTGAACGTAGCATGCGCCCGCATGCAGTCACGTCCCTCTTATACGCACGGCCGCCCAAAGCTTATAATGCCAGCATACCTATCCGTTAATTCCTTGCCGCATGCCTGCGGACTCCGGGATCCATGAAGAGATATCTTGATTAATAATGTGAGCAAATGCATATGGTGACTAGAACTTTCTCATATCGAAAACTATGAGACATTCCTCTGCAGCTACGCCGCGGATCCATATGTGATATGATGCTATAGGCGGTCTGGCTGCGGGCATCAACGCTTTGCTCATCTGTCAGGTAAACTATTTACGCAATACGAAGTAGGGGTTCGCCGTCATACAATCTTTGTTGCATATGCAGTTACACAAACATAGCGATGCCTCGAACCTCTTCGAACGAATCCTTTATAGCGCCACAACAAGAGTGATGGAAGGATCACGGCACATGTCGGGATTGCCACTGCACAGTACTTGGGCCAAAATCGAGAAAGGCGAGCACCCACATTAGGGCCGTGAAACGTATAATATGCCTGATATATCAAGTTCAATTTGGAACTCACAAACGTAGCATGCCACGCAGCAGGCTTCAGTTAGATACATTATAAGCACGGCCAGATGACTTTCAACGGAATCGCAGATCAAAGGCCTTGACTTAGGGCCGGGCTTCCATCGAGGTTCCTAAGCTTCCGAGTATTGCTCTTCTTCGAGAAGCAGCACTTTAACCATGTTTTTCGCTGTCGTACGTACCGAAATTCTCTCTCAATATCAGTCGTCTTTCCAGAGATCGAGCGCCAACCTGTAGATCTTCTTCTTGCGCAAACCTGAAGCTTCGACAATCTCGCGTGTGGCCTACACATAGGAGCACAATGGAATTCCATTAGATGGTACACGAGGGAAACGCATCAACGAGCCTCATCTTGCTGTAAAACAGTATCCTTGACGTCAGCCAGGAACAACGTTTTTTCAGTATCGCCCCGGGCTTGCTATCAAAGCATTCAATCCGAGAACTCACAGGTCTAGCTCGTAAAGCGAACACAAAGCACAGCTTCCCGATTGAAACGCTCTGAAGAACGAGCCACCAAATGACGAGCCCCCACGAAAGGGTTTTCACAGTAGGTTGTAAGGAGCGAAGTCCTCACGTCGGAAACCGAAGCCCCCCGTTCTCTGAGCGCCAGCAGTTGGGCAGTTATGTCATCTTCCGAGATTTCTTCCTCGTGTTCCTTCCGATGACCCTCAATGAGAAGCGTCACTTCCCCACGGACGACTGCTTCGGGTCTTTTCCTCTTTACCGCCTGGGGTGCCTCTCCCGGGTCTGGCGATCTGAAGGCGGCTGCTGCCTCGCCGAGGGGTCCTCGATAGAACTCCTCGAACACCTTCGTCATCTCCCTGTCAGCAGGAGCAGCAATATTACGTCAGCTGACAGACATAGACAGCTTGAGCCAGACATGGGCCGACTCGGCCCGCAGGCACTCCTCGACGCCAATCCCGCTTGTCGAGACGCCGATCTTAGAAAAGGGTCGGCTCTGAAAGGCAAGCCTGAAACGAAGAGCGGTTGCGAGTCCGATTACGGGTCTTAAATCAAATCTGGTTTTCAGGCTCGGCAGCGTCGTCGGTTGTTTCCATTCTTCCCGAAGCGTCCGGCATCCCACAACGACCAGAGTTTCCGCGTTTTTCTAGCGTCACCGACAATCCGGGTTTTGCCACCCTCGACAGGTGGCTCAGCAAACCAGTCCGCCTTACTTGACCTTGTTTCCCGCCAGTCAAGTGTCCACGAAACACGGAAAGCAAAACGGTTGAAACTCCTCTGCGCGACTCCTCTGCGGGACTCCCATAGCGATTCTGGCAATACACGTCTAGTGAAAGACACTGGCTGATTGTGAATATCCTACAACGGGCGCTTTCTAAGGTTTAGCTAGAGGGGCTCAGTCGAAGTCCACAACTTAACCGAGAACCTGTCTTCTCACCTTGCAACAACACACCGGCGCTCTGGGCCGATGACGTCAGCAGCATCTGCTAAGCATGCGGCTAGTTTGTGGGGCCCAACAAACATGACCTGGGTGGGCTTGCTATCCTTCATGGACGCCAAGCGTTTTCTCCTCGCAGCTTTATCGGGCGGCAGAAAACCGACTGCACGGAGAAAGAGCTCGGGCTCTGGATCCTATTCACTCGGACCTCGGATCCGAATTCCGTCTTGGACAAAGTGAGAGTTCTTGCAGTGTAGGCCTACCTAGCCTTCTCAACTGCAAACGTTTTTATTTCTCAGAAGCATGCTCAAGTAGGCAGTCAGCTCAAGGTAACCGGCCCCTGAGTTTCTCGACACATGAACGAGCTGCTCTCATCACGTGTGCTGCAGCGTCATCAGTTCAACCCGAAGCCAGGAAACGGCTAGGTCGACTTATCTGAACCTCACACAATCACAATCAGTGAAAGATGATTGTCGAATATACAGGGCATGGTAGAATCGAGCAGAGAGCAATCATGAACTAGATGGAACACGAGATTTCGTAAGGCTTCCAGGAGGGATGGCAAAGCAGGGTGACCTGACTCACGGAAAGTGAACTCGTATGTTGGCAGTCCTGAGGCCACCAAGGCCGTGATAACGGCTGATGGGCCAGGAATGGGGATTACAGGAATCTTGGCTCCCACACAAGCCTCCACCTGCGCAGCGAAAATGTGAGGTGTGCGCCCTAATGTTGCAGCTTTTAACATAATTTACTAGGATATCTCCTGTCCAAATACTGCACAAACCTTACCTTTCACAGCAATGATTTCCAATCTCCAATCAAACCCAACGCGTTTCGCTGCCCAATAAGACTTGCTGCAAGCCAAGCGCAATTCTGTTCAACACTAGCATGCTCTCACCAATTCCATCCCTGGATCGCTGATGCCTGGCATACCTGTGACGGTCAAAGAACATCGATCAGAGACTAAGTAGGCTTCTATTCGATGGCATTGATAATTTGTTGGGGGAAAACACAAAAACGATCATCTTATTGATAGGAACTGATTCTCCTTTCTCCTAAGATTCTCCTTTCTCCTAAGTTCTTGCTTAAACACTTCTGGCCTAAGCCTGAGCAACAAGCGTAATCCACGTTGATCTTCTGATGTAAAGGGACTGGTTGCAATATGAAAAGCTTTCACCCCCCTCGTTTCTTGTTTAGCCTCACCCCCGCTACCCGAGGATCCAAGGAATGGTAGAAAAACGAATCTGTCCATAATCTCTGAAGGAATGGGAAAGCTTTCACCGCAGAGCCTATCCCTGCAGGGGATTGGGATGGCTCTTCATTCGGAGGGGGAAGTGTGCAATTGGGTGCTAACGACACACACCTGCGTCCGAGACCACCGCCACCACTTTGCCCGCGCGCAGCTTTTGCAGCACCTCCCCCTCTCTAGACTGCTCGTTGTGCAGATGGAAACTAATCATCGGTGTTCTGATTTCGAAGTAGCTCAGCAGTTTGCTTGACCGCCGTGTGTCCTCCGCCAGGATGACATCAGCCAAGCTAAGCACACGTAAGGCCCTACAACCAACAAAGACAGACATTTGGAAGCTCATACAGGCTATAGTTCACCAAGGCCTTCGGTCGCGCTTGGACGCAGAAGAGTTGGGGCTTCCACAGCGGCCCTTGACCAAACACTACTGTAAATTCATGGTTTTGAAACTTCTCCGTATAGAGGGCTCGATATCAAAGAACATTCTGAATCTGAGCTTTGATCCACTTGAGTGCCCATCAAGAGGGCATGAGCAACTCATGGGGAAAATAGCTCTTCTCCTTTGGCTACTTCGGAATCCGCGCAGGTTTGCAGTAGCAGGATTCAAGCGAGTATGGTTTGCAGTAGCAGGATTGAAGCGAGTATGGTGGCAAGACACCATACGCAGTTCCCCAAGCAGACCTTACGGACGTAGCTCTGACCACCTTGGGTGGGGCACTTGTCCCCTCCAGCCACGAGAAAGTCGGTCCCTGATTTTGCAGGTTGGAAGTTGTGATGGAAGGACTTCTGGAACTGGCCCGAACACAGCTGCTACAATCATACCACCACTATGCACTGTGAGTAAGACAAACCATCCAATATAACCAAGGGTGACCATCCAATTACTGAAGATGCAGAGACTAACCTGAATGAGATGTCCTCCAGATTGCCTATCGGAGTTCCAACAAGGTACAATGCTCCCTGCTGCAATGAAGGCGGGCTGCCACCTTTGTCCTTATGAAAATTGAATGATGAGTAGAGTTCTCCAGCGCTGCTGTCAGTTGACATGTCAGGGCTTTCACTAACGCCACCTGAAGCCGCTGTCTCGACAATATCTGGCGCAGTACTTGACATACTTATGGAAGGTAAGGAGTGTCGCGCGCTTGCATGGCTCATGGAGGAACATGTCGCAAATCGGTTGGTTGTGTATCGCTGGAGTCGGCCAAGGCTTGAACTTTTTGAGCATACTTCCAAGATTCTGGTCACCTGATGCTGAAGAGGACTTGCTCGGAGCGCTTCATAGTCGGCATGTGCATTGTGACCTCTGTGCCTCTCTCTTGGGGCAGCTGGACGCTGGGGGCATTGATGAATCCGCTGGTGGCAAACGCCACCCCTAAACCTTATGTTCAAGCCCTGCAAAGAGTGCTGAATAGAGCCCAAAGCTAGTTGCCTTCCTGCCATTTCAAAAACTCCTAACAGCGCCACGAAGCTTTCAAAAGCTCTGTCTCGGATTCAGAGCCCGGCCCCAATGCTGCAAATGAATGGTCAAGTAGCAGAAACTTAGCAGCCGCATGGCGGCCGCGACATCAGCCGCCGCGCTGAGGAGTTCGCTCAATAGTTACAAAACCCGCGGCTTTAGCCGAGGTTTTGATTTGCCGCCGGGCGGCCGCCTATTACCACGGTCGCGGCCGCCCGCGCCGCGCGCAGCGCGCCGCTGCCGCCCGGGCCGCGGCTTGCTCGCGGCGGCCCACATAAAAGCCGGCCGCGTGCCCTCCGGCTCAGCGCGGCTGGCCGCTGGGTGTCAAGTGACAGACAGGCAAGAGGCACGAATAAAACTTGGGAGAATCGGACACGGACGCCTTCGGTGGACGCCGATAAAGTGCTCGGCTAACACCAAACCGCACGAAAACCCTAAGGTCAGTGGCTTAGCCGTTAGTGGGAACCCTAATCGGAGAGCATTCACAGGGAAGGGACGCGACCCTAACAAACCGTCACAGGTAGTGGCGTAACCCTAACATACCATCACTGCTTTGTGACTTAACCCTAAGGTCAGTCATAGTGCCCGGTTGCGTCTGCGCTTGGCAAAGATGGGTACCGCACGCGAAGTGACGGTTGGTACCATCCGCAGCCATTGTGCGCCCGGTACCGTCCGAACAAAATTCTCCCAAACTTTTCTCGTCATCTTTGTACATTTTGCGACAGTGACAGCTGGGGCCTATGCACACAGAGGTTTGGGTTCCGGGTTCCCCAGGCAAATTGGGAACCTGGTGCTTCAATTTGCAACCCGGTGCCGAGGAACGGCTGTGCACACAGGAGTTGGGTTCCGGGTTCTCGATCGCAACCTGGTTCCTCGAATTTGCCAAAATTCGGAACCCGGCCCTACGGCCGGGTTCCGAATAATACAATCGGGTTCTTGTGTCGTAGAAAACAGGTTGTCGAGTTGCCTGTGTGCATAGCGGGTTGCCGGGTTCCAAGTGGCCGGGTTCCGGTCCTGTGAAATTGGCTTTGGAGCCCCAAAATCGGCACCGAGACCCAACTTTGTGTGTGCATAGGCCCCTGGGGACGGTCAATCATGACCTCTAATGTTCGCAAGACGCCCGGTCGATCGATCGACGGTCGACCGACTAAGAGCTCGGGGTGATCCAACCGCACAACCTCAAAGTACCGGTAGGTCGCAGGTGTACGTCGGGGCAAATGCGCGATGTGCATGCACTGGATGTGACTGGATGGTGGACACTGTGCGACACTGGAGATCCTCTGCCGAGTAGGGATCGACCGGGTACCACCCACCGGTGGTAGGTAGATCTCCGCCATCGACAATTCGGTTTGGTCGACCCCTCCCCGAAGGTTTCGCCCTTCGCAGGGGGCTCCCTCAGCCTCCTGCAGCCTGGCCTGACACAAGTTGAACTGAGGTCTGAGCGCAGTTCGCGGGTCAGCTGCCTGACTTCATAGCTCGACAATGGGGGCGCACACCAGGATCTGTGGGCAAAACGCCCAACGACAAACTGACCGAGTCCTGAAACTGTGGGGCGTCCATTGGCCAACCTCAACCGAAAGACAGCCTCTGAGTCTTGGTGCTCCAGCATTTACCTAGTTCTGTCGTGATGGTTCGGGGTGGTGTGTCTAATGAGATGGTGCTTGTGGGAGCTCATGATCATCGGCATCTGGATGTCAGACAATCTGGTGGATAGGAAATTGTCTGGGCAGATCATGGCTCACAATTCGCAGGGACAGAGTTAAAGGAAGGCTGCACACTATCAAGTGCCGCATTAAAGAAACAGAGTGATCTGCCAGTGGTTCCCTAGTCTTCAACTAATAACAATTCTCTTAGCGCTGGCGAGGGCACCTTCTCTTCCATACACTTCGATATCAGCACTTCGAAGTTGCTCCAGCTGGCTCCTCATCGAAAGGGTTTGCGATGGTATTTGGTCTTGTGCCATGCCTCTCCACAATCAGCTGGCTGGGGAGAGGACCGCTGAGAGATGCAATCAACTATGCTTATGAGGAATCACATGACCTCACCAGCTCAAAGGTGAAGCTCATTCTATACATGCAGGCACAGTAAAAGCAGTGTAAAAGTTCTCCACATTATGTAGTGGTTGATGTCACTAGAAAGATTTCTCTGTCGATGATGGTGGTGGTGGTGCAATCTGCAGCAGGTGTGACTCGCAGATTAATTTGCGCTACCCTTTCGATATGCATAGGCTTCTCCACAAACCTGGACCAGGCACATCATCTAGATTGATTGAGGCTCGAAAGGCCCTTGATTGCAAGCTACATGAAATAGGCTTATCCAATTTGTTTTCAATGAGCAATTGTTACCAACGTCATTTCAGACTCAACCTTACCTCCTTGCAGGCTGAGGTCAGAGAGTTTGACAGCGTGCTGACATGTGCCCCTGAGCAGGCGGGGGGGTGCTGGAGGCACCTCCCATCTCTGGGGGACCATCTTGGGCGCTGCCTGCACCTCCTGTTGTCAGAGAAAAATGGGAAGAGGTGCCGAGGTTGCACGATTGAGCAAACGATTGGAGAAGCTTTGGATGGGAAGCCATCAAGGCGGCCTGCCGTGGGAGGCGATGCAGACATCTGGAGCACAGAGATGGGCGACGCTCCTTGGCCAGCATTCCAAGTGGATCATATACCATCACATTTTGGGCTCAGCAAGATCCTCCTGGTCGAAGAAGAGCTCAAAAAGGAGGTACTGAGCATCAGAAAGGTGCGTCGCCAAAGGAATGGTCATCTGCTCCAGAAGCATCTTAGATTAATTAAAAATGCTTTTTCTTCTGAGCTGGAGCCCTGCCCAACGTTGAGAAGAACAAAGAAATGGCAGTGTCTCTGAATATCACCATGCGCAACAGACAGAATGGGACATCAAGACCTATCCCTCTTACTGAAGAGTCATATGCAAGCAATAGATCCACTATCCAGTCCTGAGTTGTATTTTGCCTTTCGATTTTGCAAATCCTCTGGGCAATCCCCACTTGCTCGGCCACACTGCCAACGAAGATTGTTTGAATTCTTTGCGGTCTTCCTAACAGTTAGTTCCCGAGAAACCGGAGGCGATTGGCCGTCTATTGCCTTTCAAAATGTTGAAGAAAACGATGGAGTCATAAGTGTCAACACTCTTAGTGGGGTGCCGACCCATTCTCGTTAGTGATCTTCTTGCTCCAGTTGGGCCGTCATGTAGCCTCGGGCACGTACGGTCATGTCTTTGAGGCGGAAGTGGACGGCATCGGTCGAGCTGCTGTCAAGTTGCTGAATGAGTCGATGCTGAAAGAGGAGGGCAACCTGGAAGAAAGTTACGCAGACTTCTTGATGGAGGTGAGACTTGGTACTCGTTTCAAGCTTCAACTTTTCGAGTTCGTTTTGAGTGTCTGTTTTACATGGTTTGGACGGGCTGTGCACACCAACGTTCTCGATGCTCTTTGGATTTGCAAGCAGTCCGGACTTGTTTCTGAGGTCTGAGTACCTTTCCGCATGGAAGGAGCACCTCGTAGGATGCTCTCAACAGGCTCTTTTTCTGGCTTGCAGACAAGTCTCCATCGCCGGTGTCGACACCAGAACATTGTACATTGCTACGGATTGGCAAGCCTTGCCACTGTTCTGCAAATGGGGCACCCAGGGCAAAATGCCATGGTCATGGAGCTCATGTCACCAGACAGTACCCTGACAAACCAGCTGAGATCAAGGTGTGACTGCTTGGCTGGCATCCGGAAACAGGACAATCATACTGAAACTGTTAGTATGCAAATAGGCAACAGCTGGAGTCCCAAACTGGGACTCCGGTTGCTTGAAAGTTGTGTGTTCTGTCGAATTGTTGCCTTCTCGGACTCAGCTTCAGGCAGTATCGGTTTCTTGAGTCGTAGTAGCTCGCCACTCTGTTCACAACGGGAAGTATCAGACGATCTATAGTTCCTTTCCTGATTGCGGCTTGCAACCGACTATGAGGCATTCCTCTTTCTCCCAGGGGCGGGCTACCCTCGGACAAGCTGCTGTCCTGCGCACTGGATGTCGCCCGCGCTCTGGAGCACATGCATGCCCTAGGGATCATCCATTTCGACGTCAAAAGTCAGAACGTCATGGTGGACGCCTGGGGAGTCTATAAGGTACGCCTAACGCCAAAACGGGCCATGAGCCGCTTCGTGCTTTTCAGGTAATAATTAAGTGAGCAGTCATCAGATAGTGTTTGCGTCACGTCCCTGTCACGAACGTGCCAGAAGCTAGTTTCTAGGTTGGCAGTCAGCATGAATCCCGATCTGTTGCATCAGCAGAAGTGGTTGGCGTGTGCTTTTGACAATTAGAATGCCGCAGATTGAACGCCCTTAGCCATAAATGCGCTTCTAAAATTGTCGTTTCTGACCGGCACTCTTTGTGCTGCAGCTAACCGACTTTGGGCTGGCTTTTGAGGCGCAAGGCGAGCCCCTTGACTTCTACGGCCGTGGCAGTGTTGCGTACATGGCTCCAGAGGTTCACGACCGCTCCAAATTAGTCGATCATAAGGTACAACCTCGAACGACGTCACTTCACAGTCTCGCTCCAACATCGTGTCATACGGTCGAGTTACGAAGATTCGAACAAAAGTAGTTGTTACTAAGCATCTGTCTTTCGCCGTGCTTTGTAGTCCCTGCTCAACTTTGGTCTTTACATCGTTATCTGCGCAATTTCCCGGCTTCGAAACTGGCATTTTGCCGGCTGCTGTCGCAGTGTTGGCTGCACCGTGCTCTTGCCTCTATGGTCCAACGTTCTGCTTGCGTGTCCATGTGACCAAGATTCACCTGCCTGCAGGTAGATGTCTTCTCCTTCGGGGTTTTCATGTGGGAAATCACGACAGGGTTGGAACCGCACCGTGACCTCAGCTACGACGAGATTGTTGGTAAGCTCCTTCGACGAACCGCTCTGATTGAGGCAAGAAGACTTCGTTTTTGAAATCCCAACTTCTCGGATGCTCTAATGATCGAGTGATGGCGAAACGAGCGTGGCAACCAGAAAGACCTGGTAGCCTTCAATATGACTCAAGTGGAAGAGCCCAATTCACTCCGTTCTCGAGGGTAAGTTTGTGCACGCCGATCCTGCTATGCTGTCCTGCGACGTGTTTCCAACTCCGCCATTTCGTTGTTTACAAAGTTGTCACGAACGGAGAACCTGGTCCAATCATTGAAAGGAGATGTATCATGTTATGTTGGCTTTATCCTTAGCCAAGAGGACGAATGTTGTCTCAGTTGGCCTGACGAACTTCATTTGCTTGGCATGCAGAGGGCGTGTTGTACAGAGGCCTCCGACCGCCTCTGCCTGAAGAGGCGCCGGCTGGTCTGTCGGCCTGGATGAGCTTGATGCAGGAGTGCTGGAGAGAAGCACCTAAGACCCGGCCGTCATTTGCGACTATAGTCAAGAAGCTCGAAACTTTTCTGTGAGGTGTTTCAGAAGGGCACTGTCGTGCTTTCGATCGTGATCAGAGATCATAGTAGGCGCTGCTTCGCCAACTTGCAGCCTTCCTCGTGAAAGTGTTGCAACGCTCGTGCAGAGGTGGAGGTCTCAAGGACTAGGCCGGTCGCCTGTCGGCATAGGGCAGGTACATTGCAGCGAAATAGCGCAGCTTAGGTTAGACTAACACATAATCAGTTAGATAGCTAGTGCCTTCATAGAGTTCAGGTGTTATGTTTGGATAGACATTGTCGATCTCAACGCGCTCGTGCACTGAATGGTGTTGAATAAATCTATCGTGCAAACTGTTCCCTTGATCATGCATGTTTCAATGCTAAGCCTTTCTTAGCGCGGATGTCGGTACATCTTCATTGACCTAGTAGGTATCGTTGCATGTGCTTCAAAATCCATATGCATATCAGTACTTCCTCATTTTGAAGACGTACTAATTCTAGGATCTTGCGATGGAGACACGTTCGAGTGATTGTAGTCTAATCATGAAACGGTTGATAACTGCCACATGTGCTGGGCGCCTGCACTTCAACGGACTGCACTTAAAGCTGCCTCACTGTCACATGGTCGCCACAACTGGTAAGCGGCGGCCCAGGATGTACGCGACCAGGCGGCGCCATATGCGTTTTACTTGAGTGATGTTCTCTTTTCAAAAGGCCGTAGCCACATGGGCCATAGGCTTTTATGGCATACATGATGATCCTGTTCTTGAATCTGCAACGCTTGAATTAGGCCGTCCATGGCTGCGGCGCTTCCATAAAATCTTCCATGGCCATTCAATTGCAACTGGTCTGTTACTCGCATGTACCGAACGTGTGTCAAGCTTCGTACAAAAAATTTATGTGCCTCGCAGGCTATCCAACAGCTTGGCGACGACTGCGCATACTGATCGAGCTTCTGCTCGCGCATGTCTGTGACCGTCCGTCGAGGTGCACATGGTTTTGTATTGCAAGGCTGCTTTATGGTCGGATGCCAGGAGCCATGCCTATTGATAGCCTACCACCATGAGGGAGTCCATCTAATCAATTCCGTATTAATCATGTATGCGCATGCAATCCATGCGCGTCTTTGTCACGTATGAAGACACAGTGCCAAAAATGCATGGACGCTATATCGATCAGCATGAGAAACAGCCCGCGATTGTACCAGGTTACAGATACTGCAAGAAGCCGAGCCGACACGGTTGGTCGGCGGTCTATCGGCCAGAGTATGCAAAGGACTGCAAAATCCAGATAGAGAAACCCAACGCAACGGCTCCGTATACAAACAGCTACTCAGCAAACCCTGGATTGCAACACAGCACGTGGGCTGCCTGTCCATGCAATCATTCCGTTCAAATGACATCGTCAACCTCAATCCACATTCCTTTTGAAGTTTCTCCGCTTGTTCCGTGCCAACGTTTCGTACATTTCCGTCCCTCTTAGCGACTCTTTCAGCTTCGCCGCCGCTGCGGGTTTGCCATGCTGGTAGTACTCACTAATCAACACCGAATAAGTGACAAGGCTCGGAGGGCACCCGTCGCTCTCCATCTCCGCAAGCAGCTGCTCGGCCCTACCGAACATACCTGCGTGCGCGTACGCTGTCAGAAGCGCGTTATATGTTACCGTCGTCGTTTGTACCCCCGCCTCCCGCATCCTGTCTAGCACCTCGTTCGCCTGCCTAAACATTTCTAGCTTCGCGAACCCGCTGATCAGAGCAGTGTACGTGAATGCATTCGGCTCCAGCCCCGCAATAATCATCCGCTCCAAAACCGCCTCCGCTCTCTCCAACTGGCCCTGCCTCGCCCACGCTGCAATCAGTGTCGTGAAAGTAACCACGTCCGGACTTATCCCCTCAGCTTCCATCGTTTCCAGGACCTTCTCTCCCCCCTCCATGTTGCCCTGCTTCGCATACGCGTCCACCAACGTGTTGTACGTCACCACATCCGGTTGGCAACCATTGGCTGCCATCGTCGCCAAAACCCCGTCCGCCTTCTCCCGCAGCCCCCGCTCTGCATAGGCCGCCATGAGGATGCTGTAGAAGCGCGCGTCGGGCCGCAGCCCAGCCGCCAGCGCGTCTCGTAGCACACTTTCTGCTTCGAGAAGCAGGGCCTTCTTGGTGTAAATCCCAAGGAGAGCGCTGTAAGTTGCAATATCACGCTCCGTTCCCGTTGCTTTCATCGCATCGAGCACTTTCTCCGTCTGTCGAAGTGACCCCTTCTCCGCACAGCTCTCCAGCAGCTTGTTGTAGGCAAACGCCGTCAGCTTTAACCCCGCATCGTGGTGCTTTCGCAGCAACGCCAAACCCTCAGCTATCATGCCCCGCCGCACATATGCCAGAACCAGGCTCCGGAACTCAAAGTCATGCGGGGCATCTCCCTCCCCTTCGGCCGCCATTCCTTTGAGGATGGGCTCTAGTGCCTTCGAGTGGTAGTCCGCCTGCTTGAGGCGGCCTTCGCTCACAAGCGCAGTCAGGAGAATGTTGTACGTTGCCCCATTGGGTTCGACGCCCTTGGTTCGCATCTCCTGCACAAGCGCCTCCGCGTCCTGCAGGCGGTTTACGGAAAGAAGCAGGGACAGGAGCTTGTTGTAGCTGACCACCAACTTGTCGACGCCGTACGAATGGAGCAGGTCCAGTACCTGACAGCAGGGAGAAAACGACACTTTTGAGGTATGTTTGCCAGAAGCTCCCATTAGGATGTGGGAAACGAAGTGTTAAAAACTTTCAGAAGTAAGCGATTGACCTGTCAGAGGAGCTTGGATAGCCTAAACCAATTCACTTCTGCGTGTACTCCTACCCCAGCGATATGACGCTGAATGTGCCAGCTTGATTGACCCATGCAAACAGCCTGCTTGTCAGCAGTGCAGCGGCGCTTGCCTGGTTCTGGCTCTATTCGTCAAGTCCAGTAAGTCCTTTCGGAGCAAAGTATCCATGGGGTTGACAAGGAGCATGACATCCAGCGGAATCCAGTCTCCATTGAACAAGGATCACCTGCCTCGACAACTTCTTCCAATAGCTGTCCAGTAAGTGAGCAACTCCTCAGCAGATGCACTTTCCTTATGGGACAACACAATAGCTTAGTGTTTCGAACTGGTGGAAGTTGCTAGATTGTCTTGAAGCTTCACAAATAACCACATCTTGGCAAGAAGCAGCAGGGCTTAAGTGGTGGCAGCAACATTACCTGCTTGCTACGGTCCACATCCCCCAACTTTATCAGCTCCGCAAACATACTAACTCTCAGGCCCGTTGATCCCAATTTCTTTAAGATCTCCTCAACCTCCGTCGCGTCTGCCGCCTGCTGGATCGCCGCAATCGTTCTCTGCTTCGCCCTTCTGCCAAATTGCTGAGCTCCTTCAGCAGCGGTTCTGTCAACAGTTTGCTGAGGTTCAGGCTTCTTGTAGCCGGGCCTCACCCAGGTTGCACGCTTTTGGGCTGGCTTTTGAGGTGGCGCCTCATGCCCGTATTTCAACCATGCGTCCGTCTTCTGCTTTTCAAGCAAGCCAACCGTCTCTGTTTGAGTTGCAGAAGAAACCTCACTCGCTGACACATTGACAGCGCACTCAAAACCTTTCTTCGTCATCTTTGCCACTGCACATCTCTGGACGATGGCAATCTTTAAATCTAGCCCGGCGCTTTTCACAGAACCTGGACGACATCCGCCCAACCACCCAGGAAAGCTGACTCTAGCTCGGGCCAACATTTCCTCCGGCAAGTGATCAACACTAAGGACCCCTTGGAAACAAAAAGGTGGTGCCACTTGGCAAAGTCAACAGTATCCAGGAGGTGTTGGTCACCTATCCTGCACCTAACGTACCCTCACACAAACGGGTCTTGAAATGGGCGCTCTGAAACGACTGAGCACTACCGTAATAATGAGCGCTGCTGCCGCCTGCACGCTGGGAACTAGGGGCGAAGGAATGTACTATATTCAATAATAGTAGGATTCGGAAGAAGCAAGCTTTCTCCACCGCGGCCGCCGGCCGCGAAGTCGGTTTAGGCTACGCATGTGTGGCTCGTGATCGGACGATGTGATGCAGCCGCAAAATCGGTGCTGTGGTATCGCACCGTCGATTCGGGATTTGGTCGCGCTCAGCTGATGAGAAAGCACGGCACTGGCTGTACAGACTGCAGAGGCGACGCATGCGTCATGCAGTCTACTTCATTGCTCTGTTGCTCACATCCCCCTCACATCTATGTGAGCGGGCTGGCTTTGCGACAGGCTAGGGACGACCTTCAGGACCTTGGTTATCATTATAGTCTTACCTGTGCTTCGACTTCGCTGCTGATCAATTGCCAGAATTGCTGTCCTCTTCGCCACTGTAAAGACGGAACTCCGCGGCTACTAGGACGTCGTCAGCCGAGGATCAGCCTGATTGCCTGACTAGAGAAGTCGTGTTCTTGGAGGCCGGTTGCACGGTTGGGAGGCTGCTTTGTCTTAATCTCCTGAGAGAACGCCAAGAATTGGCCCCATTGCTGAGCCCTGCTAGTACGAGCCGACGATTTGCAAGATGTCCAAGCTGAAAGAGGAAGTGATGAAGCCCTTGAAGGAAGCAGGTACTGCTGTTAAGGAGACCTTTGCACCTTCTGAGAAGAGCAGTGGCGCCAGTTCTGCCTTCAACTATGGTGCGGACTGGCAAGGTGCAAACCTACAAACAGAATTGCAGGTATGGGGTTTTTGGTCCATTGAAACACCCATGCAACTTGAGGACGGCAGAGTATTTGAAAGTTCACATTCGGAATCTGCAACTCCATGTTTAGGTCTGTCTTAAGCGGCACGAGTATTTGTCACCAACAATTGCAGAAACTCCTGAAGCCAGGCTCACTCATTCATGCAACTAGCGGTGACTGCGCGGCCTCACCACTTGAAGTTCTTAGTGCGAATTCAGTATGCATGCATGTAAGCTCAGAGATGAACTGGACTTGCATTCAATCAGGGCCCAATTGCTGTTGCATGCATCTGTGCCTTTACTTGAAACAGTAAGAAACAATTCTACCACATTACTGATTTGTCTGACTACATCACTTCGCAAGAAAGCCTGACTAGTAAAGCAAGACTCACAATGCAGAGGTCTCATCCTGCGCCCCATCACAATGTGGACCCCCATGCTGACCAAGCAGTGAGTGCTACAAACGAAAGGGCCACCCCTGGCATGGCGTCAGTGGGCACAATTGGAAGGCAGCCCCAGCAGGGGAATGGACCTCCAAAAGCGAGGGATCCTGCTAGTGGGACAGTTGATGAGTCGGTGGAGCAGCAGACGAGCGTAGCTTCTGCTGGCGCTGACCGTGGTAAGCTTAGAAGTGATGATGAGAAGCTTGGGATTCCTGAATATATCACCTACATTCAGCTCCAGTCTGCACTCGCATATGTTTGGCATTCCCCTGAGTGCTCTGCCATGCGCCACGCTTGCTTCTCCTCATGTAGGTTGCTTAGTAACCTTGAGGGTATTTCTAAATACCTGGTGATTCCAGAGCTCAGGAAAGCTCTTGGGCAGTGGTGACGATGCACTCGCCTCAGTGCTGACTGATATTCAATGGTACTGCAGGAAGACTCTAAAACAGCTGTAATTCTGACGGTTGGGTGGGTCGTCTTGTTTCTTCCTCATCTTCGTGGCATCTAGGACATGACAAGTCGATACAATGCTAAGAGATGGAAAGCGAGATCTGCTGGTGCAAGTAGGATTATTTGCTGATTCGAAGCTGATAAAGTGGAGGGCGCTGACTATTTGCATGCAGGGGGAGGCACAATGACGAAGTTCTGAGCTGAGCACGGGCTTGAACAACCGGCACGAAGAATGGCGGTCTGAGGTGCCACTGTATGCACTTGACTACGGTTGCTTCCAAAAGTTGGAATCCAGGTCATCAGAGAACGGCTACAAGATATGCCAACCGCAGTGGGACAAGAAAAATTGAGAAACGAGGATGAACAGAGGTGTGAAAGGCTGAGCGTGGTACTTACCACCGGCCTACCATACCTCACTATATACGACTATATACGACCGATTGTATATATGAATTGTCCGACGTCTGCTTCGACCTTCATCGAGCGTTTCGAGTAGCTTGCCAATGTTCTCAGTGCGTCTCTTCTATTTTAGGACTTCGCTTTAATTGATCCGCTCAAGTCCGATGAATGTATTTGGACCCTATAACAACCATTGAGTCCACGCACAGTTCGTCGGCTAGCTCGAGCTGCATGATCTTTAGTCGAAAAGATTCGGTTGATGTATGGATATCGAGCACAACCAGTTTACAAGACATGCCTTTGATGCTAGCGCGACGTGGGTAAAGGTGTCAGTTACGAGATTGTAAATTATGCCGGGTCATGCTTACATAATGCCGCATGACACAAATTTGCATTTTTGGTGAGCGCGGTTGAGCGCGGGCTCTTGTGACTCTATTGTGCAGCTATCATGCAAGGCAGCAGGTCGCCCCGACTAGTCGAGCCACCCGACCGATCCATCGCATACCGCGTGCCATCCGACACTTGTCATTCTCAATGTTCAGAATCTCAACTAGTGACGATAGCTCATTTGAGTATCAAGCTTAAACGTCAGAAAACCTGAAACAAATTTGTAATGAGTGTGCGGGTGCTATGGCCGTGATACAGCCGGGCTCTTCAGAACAAGCATGCGCATGCATGCTATAAAATCGACAATTTGAATGCTATTACAATTACAGCTGGCATTGACTGAAAGTTGAGATCCGTTAGAATGATTGCTGAAGCTGTTAGACAGCTATGCTCGCTCTAAGCTACTCTTATGAAAATTCGAAGAGGCCTTATAGCTTCTGCAAAATGCCGGATTGGAATATTTCAAGTTTAGACTCAAAAAATATGAGTTGCAAGTTGAAGGGTTTGTTCATGGTCCAACTCGACATGTCTTGCGCTCTTCTTACGGCCGCTGCTGTGAGTATGTGGACAAGTTTTCTCAGCACTGTGACAAGAAGTGATGCAGCTCTCTGCAATCTGGAGCTCGGTCGCAACCCTTTTTGCGAGCATCTTGCTTGTATTGAGTTTATCTACAGACGTTCTTGCACGACGACATATCACTCACCACTGGTGGCACCTATAATTGGAGCCACACTAGATCTTCCCCCTCTTCCCATACGAGTCCTTCATCATTCTGACTTTCGCCATCACAGCCACAGGGTCCGTTTCGCCGGTCGCTGCCTGCAGGTGCAAGCAGAAGAGGTACGTCAAACACGAGCCCTAAAACCCCAAGTCAAACCACAGAAAGCATCAAAATTAACAACAGGGACTAGACGTAATGAAGCAGACTGACAACCCGAACGAGGACGCAACCTCTAAACAGGCTTCTCCGGCCATGTGGGATGCGAAACCAGATGGCCAAGCAATGGTTCACTTGGAATCTGGCGGGTGAGGCTAGACACCTTACCTTCAGGGCGTCCAACTCGACCCTCATGAACGGGTTGAACGCCAGCTCGTCCCCTATCGTGGACGGAACAGTCGGCAGGCCCTGCGCCCGGCTCTCTTTCACCCAAGCGGCCTTTTGCTTCAGAGCCTCGTTGTTGGGTTCGACGCTTGCGGCGAATTCTAGGTTCTTATCCGTGTACTGTGGGACAGGAAAGAGGACTTGAGTGTGTGCGGCAGGAAGGTCTTATGTAGTTCGCTATCTCGTTTTGCTGGAGCTCGGCTCTATCAGTTGCAAATGACCAATAAGAGGTGCGTGTGCATGCCATGTCGAATTCGTTAATTTACGAGTCAGCTTTAACAGCGGGCAGAAAGACGACCTTTCAGGACACGCGGACGTCTCTATGCAGGCAAAGAAGTGAAGCGGCGACTTCTCCATTAACTTTTGGGAAATAGAAACAGGGGAAATTGACGGAATACTTATTGGCACGGCCTAGTTCCCGGCCAGCTAGGCCGACCTCTCGAACGACCAAGACAAGTGTAATTCGCTTTTCAACACTGTCTAAAAGACGGCAGCTCCTGACAAACGTGCAGCCAGTCCTGTCGACGAACCAACTGAAGACGAGAGTCCCCTGGAAGATACCGAGCAGGCAAAGATTGAATCACCTGCTCCCTTCTCACAAAGATTCGGGTTAACTTGCGTACCTCAGTATTTACTCATCAAATATGCAATGAAGCCCCAGCCCTGTGCAATTCAACGAGCGAATGAGGGCTCTTAGGAGCCCCGGAGTTCACTTACGAAAGCTTCGCTGAAGCCCCAACTTGATATTATCCTGACTCCGAAACCCTGAATCGGAATATTGACGAAGTGGTGGCAGATTGAGAAATGCACATCTTTGCTGGAGTACGAAAGACTGATGATACTCTCACCGCCTTACCTCGTGGCCACAGTAGACCCTGGTCGCGGGGTCCAGACGGCCCAAGACTCCCAGCAGTGAGCGATGCATCTGCTCCGGGGTGCCCTCAAAGAAACGGCCGCAGCCGCCGATGAACAAGGTGTCCCCAGTGAAGACAGCGGGCGCTTCATCCGATGACCCCGTGGCATAGTAACTGATGTGGCCCTTGGTGTGACTGCAAGGACAGGCGCAGTGGACGGCACAGATTGCTCTCTCGCTATAGCAAGTTCGTTGTCTGACCCTCCTAGTCTGAACCCCTCTATTTGAAACATCGAGAACGAAATCGAGTTGCTTGAGCTTCTCTAAGTTGATGGAATCCTGGCGAGCTGGTCCCGTTTTGTCCCAGAGCGCCAATCTCAACATCCTGCTGTGTTGCTGCTTGAAGGTCAGCAGACTGTGTAAACTGACCAGGAAATGGCGCCAGTCTTCAAGAGTTCCAGCTTCACAAAAACACACCCCCAGGCCTTTGAAAGAATTGACGGCAGGCGGACTGCAAAAAGCTGATTTACTTACCAGGGTGTGAAAAGCGCCCTCACTTTAACCCCCTTTCCCACTGAGACCTCATCCCCTTCCTCTACTGGATGCGTGCAGGCAGCGACACGGTCGTGCGCCCCCCCAACCACCTTGATCCCGGGAATGCGCTTGACCATCTCTTCGTTGCCCCCAGCATGATCCCTGCACAGAGGAGTTAAACAACACTTTGAGGAGCTGCCTTCATTTCACCTGGTGGTTAGCGAATGAATTGTTTTGGAACATAGAGTACAGCGTTACGCACTTTGCCCATAGTGCAAGCTAAGAGAGACAATGTTATGCTCATATGGGACAATCAGTTGAAAGGCTGGTTCAACTATTGAGAAAAGTAGCTCGGAGCAATCCCCCATAACGGCGATGCAACAAGCGCCCAAGCTGAGCGAAACGGGATTTCTTGGCATCCAGTCAAGCTCCACCACTGTGCTGACCAGTGATGATGGGTGGTCAAAACTGTAGTGATGGAGACGCCCTCCCTGCTGGCTGCGCCAGTCACTTTGGAAGGCTCCACCGGGTCCACTGCAGCGGCCTCCTTGGTGGCATCGTCTATAATCCTGCAGAAGTGATCTCATTTAGCATCTCGTTTTTTCTGCTCTTGAATGTGTGGTAAGCTTCTCTTGCTACAAATCAATCTGACAAAGAAAAAATCCTGATGAGGGCGTTTCTCAGCTCTTGAGGTTCTATTTAAATAGTGGCTGGGGAACTGTGCTGGATGCCGCCCACAGACTCAAGACCAGACACCGGTGGTGATGGTTATGCCCACTTAGATGAGACCATCATCCTTTGCATGCAGTGATGCACTTGGAATCTCAGTGCGTTTCAACTCAAACAGATTTGCAAAGCTTAAGATATTGGCGGCCCAGCTCAATGTGGTGGCATTGTCAAATGCCACACAAGAAGAGCTTTCCTGCAATGAATGTTGCATCAAAGAGACATTAATGTGCCAAGGACTTGCCCAAAAGCAAATGACCAAGAGCTTTTGCGGGGACCAAGGTAGATGCAGGGGCCTGGTTAATCAGGAAGTGTCGCTTTGCATCCACAGCATTGCGAGCAACATGACTGTTTGTTGACCCCAAGCCAGACGGCCTGATGGCACAGCAAAGGACGAGAGCTGCCGCCACTCACAGGTAGCCATAGTTGTCCTCCAGCTGGGGCACTGTGACAATCCGCATCGTGGCCAGCTTCAAGAGCACGAGCTTGCTGAAGCCTGAGGAATGAATCTGCAGGAGGAGAGGAAAGGGGAGAAGAAAGCAGTAGACATGGTTTGGTGCATATAGGGTTTCGAGAAGCACGGGTTTTAGGGTTTGTTCGAAGTCGAAAACTTCGAAGTCGGAAAAGGGGCAGGACATGGCTTGGATTCCAGGAAATCCTGTTCTCCAGGATGCCAAGAGAAAATGGGCGCCTTGATGCTAGGGAGCCAATTGATGCTGCGCAGCATGGACCCAAATGAGGCTGTTTGACAGGACTTCGGTGAAAAGAGCCTCAATTTTGATGAGTTGCTGAGGCGGGCAGGTTCCAGGTGCATTTGCCCAGGGCATCAATTGGATCACCTTCCTTATGGCCCCCAAGGGCGCGATGCCACGTCTGAAGGAGCTCAGGGCAACCTGGACAGAAGTAGACAGGGAGCAGCCTATGCTGAAGCTGCTGATCCCTGTTGTGGTGCTGGCTTGGCTACTGGAGAGGTTTTTGGTCCCCTTCTCTAATTGGGTGCCCCTTGTGGCGGCAGTCTGGCTCGCATTGGAATTCAGCAGGGTCCGAACGCGTGCAGCAGTCGACCGCCTGAACCGCAAGTGGGAGCGCTTCCATTTGTCCAATGCTGTGAGAGTTGCCGTCTCCTGACTTGATATCCGAGCGGACTGTTTGGTGTGCTTCTTGTGTGCATGCAGAGTGGTTTCGATGATCTACAAACTTCGCTTGAATCCATACTCTAGGAGTTGCCAGCAACCTTCTTTGGGGACTTCACTTGCTAGCCCTTGCTCCAATTGTCAGATTGCAACACTACTCGCGCTTTACCCCCCTCATCGCATCCCTTACATGGCGAATGTGGCCATTGGCCTCTTGCATTCTCGACGCCTGCCCTCAAGCCTCCTAGAAACTGCTTGTGAACATGCCCTCATATCAGGGAATGCAGACGCCCCTGGACGTCTTTCGCTCTCGAGCCCATGATATGGTCCAGAGATTGACTGACTTGAAGGGCCCGCTGTCATTTCTGACGGCCATCGTCAGCCATAAAGAATTTTTCGCCTCAAGGGTTGCCATCGCCTCAAAATCCATGGATTGGCTGAACAAACAGTGTCTGAACATACATTTGTCATCTACTTTTGACCTTACTATGCACGCTTTGGTTTTACAGCTTGCGACCGCCCCCGAGACCACCCAGTGGCTGAACAAGCTGCTGCAGACGGTGTGGCCCAACTACTTGGAGCCCCGTCTGGTGCAGGAGTACCTGCGGATTGTGCAGAAGCAGCTGAGGGAGAAGCGCCCAAAGAGCATCGTGAGTTGCACAGCCCCCATCAAATCCCAGTCGTTTGGACTCCTTCTTTGATTCCTCCTCTCCGCCAAGGGCAATCATGAGTGAAGGGCTCAAAAGAATACCAGCATCTTGTGCGTGGGCTTTTGAAAGCTGTTCTTCCTTGCAGGCTTCTGTGCTCTCCTTGCAAACAGCGCTGCAGAAAGCCTTCAAACAATTGAGTTGTGGCCCTCAGCAGCCCTTTTGCTTGTGCTCATACAATTGTGGATGACGTTGTCGGCGGCCGATTTTGCGGTGCAAAAGCTGGTTCTTTGACTCTTGAAGAAGGTGGAGGCCAGTCAGCCAAAGCCAGTATCTGCAAAGAGTTCCTAGTTGCGGCTGCAAAGCAGGTGACTACTGTTCCGAGCAAGTCATAATTAGGAGAGAGCTTCACAGATTCTCTTCTTTCTTACTCTCGTTGGTTGACCTGGAGGTTGTCTTCCGCAGCAATCTATCGAGGTGGAGGAGTTTTCGCTTGGCACGGCGCCCCCACAGATGGGCTCCACAAAAACCTACTGGTCGAATGACGCCACAGGAAAGGTGAGGTACTGGTCTCGACAGCCCCAATCCTGAATAGTTGCCGCTGGCCAGTGGTAGTCTTGGGGCTTTTTATGCACACCTGACAAACAATGTTTACTTTGACATCCAAGTCACAAAGCTAGAACCCCTTGTTCTTTCTTTTCCTTAATACTGCTTGTTGAAGTGCGTTCAAGTACCTCACACTCACTGCAGTCTGAGAGGAGCTGCTGACAGATGATGAGTGGTGTCAGTGCAGGTTTCCTTGTACATGGACTTTCTCTTTGACACCACCGACATGAGCGTTGTTCTTGGGGCGAAGTTAGCGGGCCCGCTCAAGGGCAGGGCTGTTCGGTTGATTGTGAGCCACGTCTTTGTCAAAGGCCAGGTGAGGGGCATGCCAAAACGGATTGAGAAGGCTTGTCTTTCGACTAGAATCGGTCCCCACTCGGGCGACTGGATGATTTCCGGCAAGGTCTGCTGATACTTGTCTTCTTATGACTTTTCGAGACTTTCTTTAGCTGTAACTATTTCTGATGTTGTACATCGACTGGGAGAATGCCCGCAGGACAGTTGAGATCAGCAGGCGGACACCCTTGATGAGAACAATCTAGTTACGCTCTTCGGTTTGGAGAATGTGACTCGTTCACCTCCTGGCCAAATTGTTGAAATCCTCAAAGTTTCTGCCATAAACTGGAGCCAGAAGTCGCAGTTTAAGGGAGCCGTTTCTACGTCCGTTGTCAGGGAATCAAACGTGCCTGGCCAAGCTCTTAGAGACCCAGTGCGAGTACTTTGTCCCCTGTCCTCGTGCAGTTGAAGTTCATCCCCATCTTGGACGGCCAGGCCGTCTTGTACAGCTTTGCAGACCCGCCCGAAGTGCACGTGGGGGTGGCGGTCGCAGGCGGAAGCTCCAGCTTGTCGCTGTCCGACCTACCAGGGGTTGCCACGTGGCTGGTGAGAAGCTGACTAGAACTCGTCTTTGAAGACCGCTCTTTGCACCGCTTATAAGCAATCTGGTGACTTCCAGTATCTCTTGCCCGCAACTCCCACATTTTGCATCTTTCTGGAAAAAGTCGTGAGTTGTCAATGGTATACCGTGTCGCTTAAAACTAGACTGTGCGTGCCACAGGAGCGGCTGCTGTTGGAGGCGCTGGTGAAGACGATGCTGGAGCCGCGGCGGCGCATTCGCACCCTCCCCCTGCGGAACCTGCACAAGCACGCAGTCTCCGGAGTCCTCCAGGTGATTGTGCAAAACGTTCGGCCAGTCCGCCGGTTTGAGCGCTTGAGACAAGGCTGTGGCGCTTTGAACCCCCTTCTCCCGCTTTACCTGGTGTTCGTTCCGCTCATTCGCCCCCTCTCGGCCGTTCTTTGTGCCCTCTTCCTTCTTGTGGCTAGTTCGTAACATTGGTTGGCCGTTCCGCTATTTTACCACTGATTCCATCGTTCTTACGTGCTCGTTCCCTGACTCACTGGTCGATCGAGAGGTTTCTCATGCATCAGAAGCACGGCAGGCTGCTATAGGAAATATAGTGCACGACGGGTCTTGGTCAATGCCCAAAAGCTTCGGTGCTTTTCTTTACTGAAGCAACTTATGGGACGCCTTCACACCGAACAAGTCAGCTTGCTTAATCATGTCCAAACGGACTTTACCAGGGGTTGTTTTGCCCCTCGGAAAACAGATTTCCTCTAGCTTCTCTGAGACTGCTTTCCCCGCCAGTAAATCCAACTCACCCCGTTGCCACATCGCCCCACACACCATCAAGGCACTCGAACATGTCGGAAACTGCTACCTCAGCAAGCCCACAGTTCTCCCTGCTTCGCTCCGCAGGTCACCGTCGTTTCTGCGTCAGGGCTCCAGTCACTCACACCAGCCGGCTCCCAGGGCACGTGGCTAACAAAGAGGAAGTCGGACGCCGAGTCGCAGTCCGCTTCGGCTCCCCCAAGCCCCTACGTCGAGCTGAGCGTCGGCGGCCTGGCGCGGAAAACTAGGGTAAGCGCATCGTCAATGGCGAACTGGAAAGCTTCGCTCTGGGTTCACTATCGTGATTATCGTCGGCATACACTTCGTTGCCAAAGTGGGGGTTGCTCTTTGCTTTTTGTGTTTTCCGTTGGTGCGGGAACCATTATCAAAAGCTGTCTTTTTGTTTCTTCTTTTAGTAAACCCTATTTTCTGAAGGCGTAAGTGTAAGGGCCTAGGTCAGCGCTAGTCAAATTGGCGTGAAGTCGTTTAACGGCTCATCGGGCCGCCCCCGTGAGGAGGAACCGTCTCGTCTGAGCCTCTTCCCGTGCTCGGCTCATTGCAAATGTGCACATTTACAGAGTCTGGGAGTCTCAAAGTCCTAGAAGAACAACACAGAACGTCAACAAACTTCATCTCCCCTGGTGACTTTCAGGTCGAGCGGGCGACGTTAGAGCCCCTATGGGACGAGACGATGGAGCTGCCACTGCACGGGAGTTTGTCCACTTTGTACGTGCGCGCCTACGATGCGGGAGAGAGGAACGTGCGGCAGGCGCCCATGGGCGAGGCGGATCTCAAGGTGAGTTTTCTCAATTCTTTTGGACCATACTTATCGAACAACCGGCGGATCCAAAATTGCGCTCACAGTCCACGACGATCGAGGTGGGCTGTCGGAGTGGTGCGACACTAAGTGCAGCAAGAAGTGCTTTTCGGACGCTGCTCCGGTCCCGATATGAATACCGATTAAAAGGCTAGAGGAGGCCGACCGTAGCTGCTAGCTGCCTCAGTACGATCCCTCCATACCGTCTTCTTTCTTCCGGTCCTCCATCGCACAAACGATTCGGTGCCGTTGGAATCCAAGCTCCGTGGGCTTATGAAGTCGTGACGTCAGCCCTGCGAGAGATCACGGGTTGGGTCCTTCGCAAGCGCACATTGAGTTTATTGACTTGCGTGGGTACAAAGTGGAGGGATCCCCTTGTAAATGAAGGTCTTGGAGGCCTGCCAGGGGCCGCTGTGCGCTGCGCCGCATTCCGACAACAGACTGCTAGGTACAGGAGGTTCACGGATCTAGCTGTGAATACCCGAGCGTGGTGACCTCAGGTCGTTTATCGATGCTCCATACGGTGTGGTCTCTGCCATGTTCTGCAAACCCGCAGGGCCACTGACTGGATCACGGAGCCGCACTAAATGCTGTTTCGAATCCAAAAGTCGATGGCTCGGTCCAAGCAACGACACATCAGTGTCAAAGTCGTGCTTTTACGAGAGAGCGCTCCACGGGTCTTGACCCGCAGAATTGCGAAGCTTGTCGCCTCTTACCCGCACAATGTGGACGTGATATCGTAGTGTTTTCCTGGCAATCTTCTAGACCAATACACTAGGGCCTCAGATACTTCTGCACTAACGACTGGGCCGAATGGAGCGCCAAATGGAGCGCCAGAGAAGGTTTACGCACGTCCTTCAAGGAAACCTTTTTAAACTTGAGCGTGCAAAGCCCTAATTTGTGCTCCCCTGGTTGACTTTGCCAGATCCAGTACGTGGCAGACGACTCGACGATCTTCTATGCTGTGGGCCGAGACGAGGCCGTGATCGCCCACCGAGCGGAGTGCTGCGAGAAAGGCGTCGTCGTCACTCTTCCGCTGCTGGACAGCGCCTCCGGAGAGGTATGTGTGCTCAAAGCCTTCCACTTGCTCTCAATATAAAACTTTGATTTCTCATTTTCCGTGGTTCTGAACACATATATGCTTTGATCCCTTCGAGTCGAGCTAGTAGGGGTCGAGCTAGTACAATTGACGGAGCATCCGTCATTCGTTCAACTAGGCGGCTTTACTGGACTTTCTGAAATGCATCATAGGCAGATTGGGGGGTGGAACAACGCTTCCTGTGAGGTCATGTCAAGGTCCAAACGGATCCATCCGACAGAAGTTGAGCCCCATATCTCAACCTTCGTATCGTTTTTGGCAACCTCAGCGCACGATTTTTGGTTCTCTTCTTCGTCGCCAGGTCACGCTGCGGCTGACGATGAAAGAGTGGCATTTCGCGGAGTCGGCCCCTGCTACCGCCGTGCCTGCCGTCCCCTCCATGAGCAGAATAGACAGCGTGTCGTTACTGACGGGGCGGACCATTCGGGTGACGGTCGTCGGGGCGCGGGAGCTCAAGCCCGCCGACTACTCGGGGTTCAGCGACCCGTATGTGAAGCTGCAGTACGGCAGTATCACGCGCAAGACCAAGACGGTGAGGGGGTCCTACGTGGTGTGTTTTTGTTTGATCAAGATCTGGTGGTCCTTTGCTTCGCTGGCGTCCGTATTTGATGGGCTTCTCACGAGGTTTGGTAACGCCAGATCTGGTCAGCGACGGTAGAGTTCAAGCTCATTGACATGATTCGGTGTGAGCTTGCAAAGCTCGAGGAGGAAGCGGGCATGAGATTTTGCAGAAAGTAGCCAGCTCGCAAGTTGGTAGAGCAAACAGAGGTGCCTTAATACCCCACCATCAAATCAAGGAGAAAGGCCGCCTGGAGGTCGAGTCATTTTCCGTTCAGAAGTGTTCTCAGACCCCTGCTGCCAGTCGATATGCATGCCATACTTTGATCAATCAGCGCCTCTACCCCTTTGGCATACCACCTCCATTGTTCTCCTCCAAATTCCCTATGCGATCGTCAACCCAAACTAGTCTACCTCATTCAGGTTGCCCAGAACCTGAACCCGATCTGGAACGAGACGTTCGAGTTCAAGGAGCTCAGCGGCGGCGAGCACCTGCGGTTGCGCGTTTTCGACTCGGACAAGCTCCAAATGGACCAGAGCCTGGGAGTCGCGCGTGTCAATCTGCTGGTGAGTCATAACGGATCCCTTGGGGACGCTGCGAACCCTGCACCCTAGAATCTTGTACAACCTTTGATTCAAAATAGCTGACTGCTTCGAGTATCGGATTTCACCTCCAGCCCGAGGTCTTGTTGGCCGCATGGTAGCCTGGAACCGAAGAGGTTGGTGTTCGAAACAAGTACAAATTGCAGGTTTGAACGGTGGGCAGGATTCGAGGGAAGGATCTGCACACGGTGTGATGAGAAAGTGCGAATCCCACTTGCGCAAACGAGATTCCTCTGCGGCAACCTGCGTCCTGCGGTTCCTGCAGAATTTGGTGGAGGGCATGCAGCGCGAGGTGTGGGTTCCACTTGAGAAAGCGAACACGGGCGAGGTGCGGCTGCAACTAGAGGTGCTCGGAAAAGACTACGACCTTGCACGAGAAGCTGACGCCGTTGCGGCCAGCAACGCGCACGTGTCCACCGTCACTAAATCAGAAGGTAAGGGGCTTCGAATGTTGCCCTTTAAGAATCGGTAGACGCTACCGGAATGTCTCTTGACAATTTTGTCACAAAGGGGTTTGCAAGGAACTCCGATGACATAGCTAGTCTTAGCTATATAGTGGGATTTCCACGAGGAGTGGTCACGGTTGGAAGATCGCATTCTCAGGCTACCTAACTGCTGCAAATTGGAGGAACCGCTTTGTTCAGTGACGGTCTCCTTGGAAGTCTTTCTATTAGAATTGTCAGCTTTCGGGTCATTGCACTTCAATCCAGCAACATCCGCCTCCCATAATGCTGTCACGTGTCCAGGCCCTGCGACAATCGAGGTGACGCTGGTGGAGGCGCGCAACCTGAAGGCCGCCGACTGGAACGGCACAAGCGATCCGTACGTGAGCGTCAAGTACGGCGCAGTGAAGCAGCGGTCAAAGGTCATCTACAAGACGCTCACGCCGCAGTGGCACCAGACGCTCGAGTTCAAGGACTCCGGCGCAAAGCACCTCGCGCTGCACGTCAAGGTGAGGCAGGCGCTGCTATGGGCTGTGCTTGTGGGGTGTGCGTATCGGCTAATGTTGTGTGCGTATTGGCTATTGTTGTGTGCGTATCGGCTACAATTGTGGGCTGTGGTTATACGCGTTGTTGGGTGCGTTCATGGGCTGTACTCGTAGGGTTCCTCCTTATGGGTTCTGCTTGTGGGCTCTGCTTATGCGGGATCCCATAGGCTCTCCATATGGGCTCTCCTTGTGGTCTCTGCTTGCGGCTGGTCTTATCGGCTCTGCTTATGGGCTCCGTTTGTGCGCTCTGTTTATGAGCTGTTTCTTGCTCTGCCTTTGGCCCGCATGCCCGGGCTGTGCTTATGGCGTGTGCTTGTGGCTCTTCTTATGAACTGCCCCCGCAAGCTTCGGTGACCGTTCTGTCGGAACTGCCAGCATGCGCAAGCGAACTTGAAAGTGATGTCATGCTGTCTGTTGTGCAGGATTACAATACGGTGATGTCATCCACGTCAATCGGGCATTGTCAGGTCAGCCTAGAAGGTTTGGAGGACAATGCGACGCGAGACATTTGGGCGACCCTGACGGGGGTCAAGAAGGGGGAGATCCACCTTCAGATCACACGGCGAGTCGCCACCAAGTAAGCCACTGGGCAGAGCAGGTCCATAGCCCGGCTGGTCCATATCACAGTCCCGTTTTGAGTAGGATCAATATCTTATCAGGCTGCAACAATGAAAGTGGTCATCCGCTGAAAACGTTGGGTCGCTATCAAGAAGCTTTTTAAATCGGGGAATTGAGCGGTTTGGAAAGGAATGAGTGGGATGCTTATGACGTCAACGGGCCGTGTGCCGGTTTGCTTAAAGCGTGTTGACGTCCCGTTTCGGGGGTCTCCAAAGCCGTTCCCAGCACTGTGCAAGCTGGTACTCAGGGGTTGGCGAGAGCGAGGTCTTGTGCGAACGACGAAACTTGGTTCGCCGAGACTCATTGGAGGGTTCGTATAAAATAACTCAGCGCTTCGTAGTATCTGCAATGAACGGCGAAAGACAGAGCGGCTTTATGGTCGTACTCTAGTCGACCCATTGCAATCAATCGTTGGCTAAGCTGCTCTCAGAAGTCGAAAAGCAAGCTTTTGGTCAGGAGACGTGGTCCTAAGCGTGTGTGCCACGTAAGCACATTCATGGTGTGTTGTGCGCAGGGTGGTCTCAACAGAAGCGGTCAAGCCGCCCTTGGAGAAACTGGCGCCGGAGGTCATCGCCGCCAGCAAACTGCAAATACAGACAGATAAGGTGGGGCACCTCATCTTTCCGTGTTGAGTAAACGGCAGACTTTCTGACATGCTCGCTTCTGAAGATTCATCAATTGGGCTTACGAGGTTGCTGGCAAGGTTATTGGCAGTGCGGCTTTGCTGGTGACATCCTTAGGATTGCTTGTCATACACAAGAGTGTGCGTCCACTGCCATGTCAGATCCGAGGGTTTCTGTCAGGGTTGAATACCTTTGCTCTGCAATTTCTCCTTAGATGGATACTAACATGAGTTGGATATTACGAGAAAATCATCGCGCCTGTCTCCTCAACCACCACAATCCTGGTTGATTGGATTGTGCTGACGGATCAGACTTTGCTGTGCAGATGTACGCGCTTCTACAGCAAGCTCTCGCATTGACCAGCGACGAGGAGCTGAAGACGGTCCTGGGAGAACTAGAGCAGGCGGAGGAGGAGCGGGGGGGCATCGTCGCCCAGCTAGAAAAGGACAGAAACACGCTCGTGGCCAAAATAAAAGAGTTCGAGCAGGTCATAATTGCGCACGGGGGATTCGCCAGCGTCATGCGGGCGCAGGCGGATCGGGATGTGCTCGTGGCCAAAGTGAAGCAGCTCGAGGATGCCATGAGTGGGCTGTGAGACGTGTTCCTAGTACCCTAATACTGCAGACTGATTTTGGCGGAAACTTTGTATCTATACATAGCAGAGCGGATGAGAAGGTATGTGAACGGAGGACGCAGCGGATTGACGTCTCTGCTGCACGTGCATCCCACCTTGCTTTGTCTTGCACTACCCGTGTAAGCCAGGACAAGATGAACTGAAGCTTGTAAATTGCAGCCAAAAGCAATAAGACTTGGGCCAACCAAATCATCCAAGCACCCGTCAATATATATTTGCTCCTGGTTTTCACTGTAATGTGCCAGCACCCTGTCTTTTCGTGACCCCTCTCGTTTGAACCCGCGTGGATGATTCCAGTGTGTATCCTGTCCATCGTAACGCGACTGGAACAATGAGCTGGAGTTGTCAAACTATGCAGCCCAGGAGCGGGCCAATGCGCTTTTGTAACCCTTGCACATTCCGACGTAAGTATATAGCTAGATGCGCGTGATCGCGCTAGCTGCACGTGTGAACTTCGATCTAGCTTGCATCCGCACGTGCCCCGCGGCAATGACGCTTTACAAACTTAGCAAAACTCCGCCTTTTCATGCAGCATCATGGCACTGAGCTCCTAGGTCGGCGTATATAGAATGCACAACATACTGTGATCAGCACTGAGCAAGTTCAAAATGTGAAAGCCAACGTATCTACACCTTTCTGAATCGTCACCCCGGCCATTGTGATGACCAACCATTGTGATGCCCATTCAGCATGCGGCTTGAAAACACTGTCTGCTGCGTGCATATGCCAGCCAGGCAACATGATCGGGACTGGATATGTGCCTCGTACTCTTTACGAGGTGAAGTTCCTCCCATTTCATACTCAAGTGGACGCTCTGGAAATCATGGACAGTCAGATGGCCGAATCTCTTTGTTTGAACGGACCCGTCTCAAAGCTTCCGTTGTAAAGGAATGCGCAAAACTTCCTTTGCCCTGTGGGCATCACACCAATGACCAGCATCTACACTAATAACGGGTTACCCATAACTGTTCTGATGGCTCTGAAATGACGTTTGCGACTCGATCCGTGTATCCGTCATTCCTTCTCCTACTTGAAGTCTTGCGGCGCCGAGGACTGCCATTTGATCAGGCCTGACCTAGCGACGCCTTTTCTAGAACCAAATCTGCTTAAAGCAAAGACGTACTGTTTAGATCATACCGAAGTTGAGTAGATTTTCTGTCAAAGTTCCCGCCACTTGTGCCCACACTTACAGCAGGCGAAGAAGAGCACCATCTCGTCCTCGCCCCGACCGTTCGGCTGCAAGGCAAGGGACTGAAGCAATCGGGTCGCGGCAACAGAGTCAACGCAAAGGACGGGCTTAGGTCATATTCTACGCGACAAAATGAGTGGACAAAGTAAGGTCAGCACAGTGGGCCTTCTTTGTGCTTCAAACCGCCCCCTAAACTAGAAGGAGTCTTACTTCAAAAGACATCAGACTATCTCAGCTCCATCATTCTGAAGTACCATTCTTGGCTACGCTGTTCCTGAGCTTCGCTACTTGGTTTGGCACGGACTCATGCAACTACCACCACGGTCGCAATGATCTCGACGACCTAGGAAGAAGTTGGGTGAAGTTTCAGCCCTCATAAAATCCAAGAAGATGCTGCCCCAATGTCCCACAGACTGCCCAAATGTCCAACAGAAAACAGCTCAGGAGATCTGGGGTCATCATCATATCCCTTTCACATGCTGAGCAAAGAGCAAGCAAACTAGCGGGAGACTTGGGACAACGAGCATTGGTCGGACTTACACAGGTGTACGGGGCCCCAGAGTAGGCGACGGTACCTCTGGCGCTATACCGTCTATATGTGAAAAATTCGTGGCTCCCAAATGGCTGCCAAACGCTCGGCACTAAGCAAAGCGCCCACTTGAAGCGAAGACCGCCTCGCGTGGTTACGTCTTCCTCGCATACTGAGCGACCCTCTCACAAGAAGCGGCGAATTTGAAGATAAGCAAACGACCAGAAGGAATGGGCGAAACGGCTTCCAAAGGATCGACAGCGCCCACGCGGAAGAAGACCGCCTCGCGGTGTCCGCACTCGGGTTTCGGACAGCGGACGCTCCTGGTGCGCGGCAGCGTCGGGTCCGCCACCGCGCCCTCTTGCAGGATCTGCGTCCGCTCTCTGCACGGTTCACAGCGGAACCGGAATGAATCAAGCGTCGAGCTACCGGAGTGTTAAGTCGCGATTCTTCTTCTCTTGTTCGTACTGAACTGATCAGAAAGCTTGAACGGATTGCAGTCCGAATATGCGGACGGTAGACTCTGCGTTCCGTTGCAGCAACCTCCCTGATCCTGATACAAAATACAAGGCCACAGAATAAGCTGCTGTCAAAAATCGGTCGTCCGTGCTCACGCTAATGACAGATTTCGAAGGTGATGGCCGCTAGAGCCATCAATATAAGCAAACCGCCCGAGGACTGCTTCGCAAAATTTACAATCTCAAGGAAAGCTGACATGCCAAGGAGACCAGCGTGCAACAGGGACGCCAAAGGCGTAAAGTTGCAAGCTTGAATTGAGCCCGCGCTGGGATCTGCAGATATTCTCGTGGCCGCGGATCCGTTGAAGAAAGAGGAACAACGCGCGCGCTCACTGCTCGCTGTGCTGCAGCACGCGGCGAAAGACGCACGAAGTGTCCGGCGTCTCGCTGTACTGTCCGCAGTTGAGACACACGTATTCCAGCCGTTCCTCTTCCTTGTTCTCGCGAGGGTGCAACATGAAGTTGCTGCGAAGTGGACAAAGTTGCGTGATCAGAAGCAACACAAGGCAGCCGTCGTGGTTTTCGGTATTTCTAGATCACGAGTCCCAGTCTTCCGCTTCGACTGGAACTTTTGAGTTTTTGGACTTCGTAGTTTCTGCAATAAACCTGACCAATTTGGAATTACATACTTACAAGGTGATCGAGGGGTTACGGAGATGAAGTGAGTCGCAATACGCAGATAAGAAGAGGCTCAGTATCTGATAAAGCAGGCTGAGGAATGCGCACCTGTCAAACAATCAGTTTTCCTGATCATATCCAGAGGATTCAGGTCTTTCTTATTGCGATTCAAACGTGTCTGACTTTCCATTCTTGCGGAAGCACGGCAGCAGGGCAGCGAAATCTCAAACTTTTCATTCTTCTCCAACCCTCCGAAGGACCTCTCGCTTACGAGGGCAGACGTTTCCTTCCTGTTGAAAGACGAAACGAGACTGGAAATTCGTATCCAATAGGTAGAGGACAGCCAGGCTCATTTGTTCTGCTTAACAGGGCAAGCAGCAACCTTTGAATCAACAAGCCTGACTTGGGGGGAAAACAGATTGCCTACCACCTTAGACTGCTCAGAACTAACGAATTGAGGGTATCGTGATTGCTGTGGAGAGGCTCAAATCGAAGCTCAGAGGTCTACAGAACAAATTGATACGTATAGTTTTTCTCACCACTCCTTGCAGAATGTCATCGCCTGCATGGTTAGCCAAAGATTAGCAAATTCGATAAGATGCTTGCAAGCGTTCCCTCTAACGACTGGGTTCCTCTTTTAGGCTTTCTTCACATGAAAATGTTGTGCCCAATAGCGGCAATCGAGCTGTGGCATCTTATGGTCAGAAGCTTTGCAATTCTGAACCGGTCTTTGAGACTGAATTTCATGAGCTGGAGTACGTTGAAGAGGCGCTGGTGCGCGATCGATTGGTAAATCCCACTTTCGTAGCATGCACGACCTTGGAGAGTCCGCATAGTGTAGGACGATTCAGAGTCTTATTCATGCATATGGTTCTATACGGACTATTGACGAACAGTTCGAGTTGCAAGATTTCAGGTGCGTACCACGTGCATGGATCTCAGGCTTCTTGACATAGATCAGAGCGCCGTAATTTGTCACATTGCCAAAAGAGTTGGTCAATTTTGTGGGTCTTCTCGTCATCGGTTGCTCGACTACAGCAAGCTAAAGTTCGTGGGGTACAATCTGCAAACGAGGAAGCTGACAGCGAAGGCACAATTAGTTTTGTAACGTGCGCCAAACTTTTGTGGCAAGCTAATTCTGAGCCACGACAGCAAAAAGGAAAGGCGGCCAGCAGCACAAGCGACTGCTCATTCCTTTTGCGGAAGGGCCAATCAATGGAACAGAGTAAGGAAGTCACAATGGCCAAGGAGATCCCCTCGATATGGGAATGGGTCAAGCTCGCACCCAGGAACGGAAAGAACGGCATAGTATACCTGTCCTTAGTAACCGTAAAGCCCCTCTCTGACGGCACCAAGATGAAGTGCACGGTGTTTGACCCCGTTCTTGAGCAGCCCAAGAAAGGCGCGGTTGAGGTGTTCTTCTACGACGAACTGCATACGCACAAGGTGAGAAGGCCGGGGCGGTTCATCGACGAAGACTGGTGGGCTGCGCACGGCCCCCCGCACATGTCGTGGGAGGAATTGGGGGGCTCGTCGCGCACTTTCAGTACCACTGCGGGGCAGTGCATGGGCCTCCTGGGCGCCCAAGATCCTTACGGGGTCTGAGCACGACCTAGGCCCGATTAGGAAGACAGCGACCAGTTGTAGGCGGAAGGAGCTGAGCAAGAAGGCCATGGATGTTTGGTCAAATGTTTGTAGGGCTAGCTTCCATAGATGATAAGGGCCGCAATGTAACAAGCACCTTAGCCAGTCTCAATTTACCCCCAAATTTGCAAACCACATTCTTCATAGATCGACATTCCATGATTCAAACGAGGACCGAGAATCTCTTATATACAAAAGGTCTTTATTTGCGCCTTCCTTCGCTTTAGAGATGGTTGCTGACAGCCTGACCTTCTTGCCCAATTCCAGATTAGATGATGTTCAAGTGCAGATAATGACATTCTTCAATTGAGCCGTTCTGTTCGTGAAAGCTGCGAATCATCACCTCACATACATGATTCTCCACTACATGAACTCGTCACCGAGTCATTGCACTGAAAAAGCTTCAAAGCGTTCGATCCGAAGTAGCTCAGTCGCCCGATCCGAGATGCCGTATGACTAGGCCCTATCATACCTCACGCATGTCCGCATCCGGCTGTTAAGACAAGGGCACCTAAGGCAGCCTGGCTGTATATAGATGCGAGTCTGACGTTGCTAAAATGTAACGTGGATGCATATGATCGAACTATAGCGCATCAACTCGGACTACCATTTCACTATAAATCAGTCTGCAAGTTCGATTGACAATTCTCTTCATTCATCAATTCCCTTTATGCTTTTTATTCTGCGCATGTCTCATTGTATGTACGTGTTACTTTGCAGGCCCGGCGCCTAGCTTAGTAGCTGTGAGAGATTGCAAGTACTTACAGTTTGCACAATATTCAGCGCAACTCGATCTAATGTGCAAAGTAATATATGAGCCTCCACATCTGAATCAAACGAAACGCTGCATCTCATGAACACGTGGCTCCGCCTCATGAAATTTGCAGCATGGCTCAGCGGCTCGCATATCAATATCGTTGCAGACTGTCTGTTAGTGTTGATTTAACAGCTTGGCGAAAACCTCCATACGAGAGCAGGACAACGAGACCGCAGATGGAAACGCAAGAAGCTGGTCATTCCTCGACATGATTGACTTGAAGAAATGCAACCACCTTCACAACGCCAATACATCGGGCCCACGTAAACCTTTGAATCTTTTCCTTACGACGTCAAGAAGACAGCTCAACAATAAATTAACCCTACATTTCGTCATTGATCGAACCCCTACAAATGGTGCTCTTGATACTTGGACACTCTAGCTCTATGGTTGCGTCTTTGAGCAGGCGATTCGATGAAAGCCCTTGCTGCCGGGACCCCAAGCGACTGCAAGGTCGATAGCGGCAGCAACCTCAAACGAGAAGATGCGCTCAGCCCCCTCGCTCGCCAACTTGATAATTGCCAACTCTTCTAAGAGGCATTCCTGCCTGGCGGTCGCTTCGCTTGAGGACTCCCTATGACCGACTTTAGAGCGCTTAAGCAGTGAGTCCGCACCCTGCGTCAGATCCTGCTCGCTAGCGGGGTCTGCGGGCGGTGTCAAAGGGGGCGGGCAATCTGGCATGGCCAGACAGAGAGGCTGGGTCTGTTTGTGCGCGCTTTTGACCAGCTTTCGAGCCAACTCAGTGGCCTCTACGCAGATACTGCTTTCTTTTTGACTAGCTGGAGCATCGGGCCCGCTGCTACCCAATTCAAGCTCTGATCGTGGCGTGCTTCTAATTGTTCCAACCGAGCCCGATGACGTGGCGCTGCTGCCACGTGTCACTATTCTAAGCCGCGCTAACAACCGTGACTTTGCCTGAGGATCGTTTTGATTCGGAATCAATTGCAGCATCTGGTCGAGGACCGCATCCAACGTCACGCAGCCGCCCATTGTATCATCGTTAACGAAAAGAACAACTGATCCCTGCTCGCCTTTTGTTTGCATACCGACTTCTCCTTCCGGATCCTTCTCCCTAGATCCATCCTGTCCGGCATCGTCTTTGTTTCCGTCTATTAGCAGTGCCTTCCGCACTTTGGTTACTGCATCGGCTAACCCTTGCGCGGGCTGCAACGTTCTGTGTTTCCAACCCGGGACCCCCCCGGAGGCAAAATGGTCTCCCAACGCGGGTAGCGTGCCATTGAGATTCAGCAGCAGGTGCTTCCCCACCGCAGCCGCCAGGGGTACAACCGGGGCACCCAAGTCCCATGCCGGGGGGTCCCAAGCATACCACGCTAGACCCCCCCGAGGAAGGGGCTCAAGCACCGGGAGAGGTTGCCCGGTATTGTCCAAGTCCAGCATTCCGATCGGGTCCATACGAGCCTTGCCTTCGTCTGCCGGAGCGCTCGACATCACTTGCGGCTCATTAGGTGGGAACCGACTTGAGGATCGGCCTGCGTCGAACAATCCCTCTGATTCGACCGTTTCCCGCCTTTGTTCGACGGTAAGACTTGCTTTTGCTCCTTCTGCTTCTACAGCTTTCTTATTCTCCTCCTGACCGGAGTCATCGCCTTGCGCCGCCGTCTTTTCGACAATCTCGCGAACCGCTCCAACTTTCTCCCCATTCGCTGCGCTTTCCTTCAAACCCTCAACGAGCCGCTCAGCCGGATTTAAAATGTTGGCCCTGGCCCCAGCTTCTGAAACACCTCTCCGATTCCCCGTCTCCGCCCTCTTCCGCCCCCCCCTCTCCCCTCCCCCGTACAATGCGGCTTTTTTCGCTTCCAGCTCCCTTCGGGCCTCCACTCGCTGCAACAACTCTGCGAGCATCTTGTTCTTTCTCTGGTGATCCTCCGCGTCTACGTGCCCGGGTTCCCGCCCATCCTCGTTGCCTGGTTCACCCGGTCGCTCTTCCAACAGGACCCTCCCCCGACGCCTCCTCATGCCTCCAGAACCGGTAACACTCCTGCTGACGCCAGAAAACACGGGGCCAGACCCAGTCCGTACCTCGACGTCGCTTCGCTCGAACACGTCCTTAAACGTCAGCCCCGCGCTTGCCACGTCAGCCGGCCACCACGCGACAAGCCGCCTCCCGAGCGCGGCCGCAAAGGTGTGTGCACTGGACAGCCCGAGCAGGCGCTGCAGGGGGGATCCCCCCAGGCGCACGAGGAGCGCTCCTGGGTCCCGGCAGGCTGCTGACGTCACGCTCTCGTCCGGAGAGTCTCTTCCCGGATTGCCCATTTCGGGCTTTCTTTCCTTCCCTGGACCTAGACTTGAGTCACCCATCGTTAGGAAAGGACGAGGGACGCCCTCTTTTACTTCAAGCCCCAGTTCAGCTAAGCGTTTGCTCAGTCGATCAGCCCCCATTCCTGCTTCCGAAACCCCTTCTGCGCCTTCACTGTGACCGTTCCCATCTCCCATCTCCGCTTTTGCTCCGTCCACCTTCAACTCTTGCACTACTGCTGGCCCTGATGCCCCCTCCGCCACCCGCAGCCGCAGGAACACGTGCTTCTGGCCCGGCTCCCGCTCTGGCAGGCCCACTCCGGGTGAGGTCACCGTGTCGATGACGTCATACAGGCCGTTCGTTACCTCCCAAAGGTAAAACGCCTCTGTCACCTCGGCAGTCACGCCGCCCAGGTTGAACTCTGCGCTCGTGTCGAGCTCGGAATTGTCGGTTTCGGAATCTGAACGTGGGCCGCTGATTTGCGGCACGCGCACTGATCCGCTCGCCCCAGACACACCGGTCCGGTCAGCGCCTTCCGCCGAGCGGACAACCGACTCCCGTCCTCCAGACTCAATCTCCACGCGTTCTGAAGTCGTCCCCAACTTTCCCTCTGCTCGTTCAGCAGACTCTTCCCGCACATCCGTCCGGGTATGTTGCCGGCTGCGCAGTGTGAATAGGTCCCAGAAAGTGGCGGCGCACCCGTCGCGCTCGGACGGTTGCCACACGATGCGCAGCGGCCGGGTCCAGCGGAGAGCGAGGCGGCGTGCGATCATCAGGCCCTCCAACCGAGCTGCGCAGCAGCCCAGCAACTGCGAACAGGGTGCACGTCTGAGGGATGCAGTGGACATATAGGGCTTACATTTGGTCACAAATCCATTAATTGTTGTAGACGAGGCCACGCCGAAAGGGGGAAACACAAGAGATAGGAGAGAGGGGATATGAAGGCAGAAGCCAGACTTTGTGGGTTAAGGTTGGCAATCTGGTGGTCTCAACGTCAAGCAGAAAGAAGACCGGCAGACACTGCTGGACAAGAAACCGCTCGCTCATCCGGGATTGCTAGCGAGCTTGTGGAGAAAGACAAGCCCACTCAAGAGTCGTCATTCGCGGGAGGGGACGTAGAAAGGCGACGCATCGAGCCGAGCGTTTGCGGTTGATTCGCCAATGTTTACGTGCAGCATTCCGTACGAAAAATAATTGTGCTTCTGGCGTTCCACGCTTTCCTTAACAGAAGCGGACCCGAAAGTTCCCAGCAGCGGTGTCGAAGCCTAAAGCAAAAGCTACATGGGAAGAGTAGCAGCTCTTACCTGAGCCACGATGACAGGACTTCCAGTGTCCGCTGGATAGTGCAGCTGCAGCTGCTCGGTGAACCACTCCTCTGACTTGACGTTGGCCAACGTCGGGGCGTCGAACGCAGCTCCCGTCACCGAACGAAGCTGCGGGGCATAAAGGACATTGTCAGCCACGACTTCCTCTTGTACTTACAGATTTTGAATGCACTTGAGTTTCTTTCTTCGACGTGCCGGAACAAAATACGAAACGGGCGCATTCTTTCTGGTTTAAAAGCACGAAACGGGCGCATTCTCTCTGGTTTAAAAGCAGAATGTTCCATAATCGAGATCCCAAGGTCAGAGAGGCTCTTACAAGTGATGCCATCTGCCAGGTCAGAGAAGTTGCTACGTTAGCTTTCCAGGCCAGGCAACCACGGAGAGCTCACGAAGCTGCAACCGTCGCTGCGGTTTACGGAAGAACTCACTTCATTGGAGGATGACAAGATGAGAGACGATTGACGCCACGCTTGCTCTCAAAGCGATGAGAGGCACTCGATGACTTTATTTATCACTTCGCTGCATATCGTGCACGATAGCATGGTCGTTATAAAAGAAAGATGTACTCCTGCTTCGTTAGCCGGGCTCACCTCTCCTCCCAGGGCCGCCAGTTGCGCGAGCTGCAGTCTGTGCGGCGGAACCAGGTCTTCCAGGTGGGGAGGCACGCTGTAGACGGCGCACTCGCAGACCCAGGTCTCCTCTTGGCTGCAGTTGTATCGGGCACCCTGCATTGCGACATAGGAGGTTCTTCGCCGCAAAGAATGTTTGCTTATGTGTCTGCCGCAAGGTCTGTCGCTGCAAGGAAATCTTTTGTTACGAACCTGCTGCAGGAAGCAGGATAGTAGTCGTCTGCAGCGGCCTTGGCTGCACGCTTGATCATAAAAGCTGGCACACTCGTGTCACGTTCCGGTTTCTCACAACAGAAAACAGGGCTCGCCCTTATTTCTAACCAGCGAAAAGCCCCGGATAAGATTCCGTGTTGGGAGCGTAACCAAGCAAAATTAGGTGGCACAGGCGAGCAAGCTGACGAAGCTGGCGAAGCAGTCAGTTCCCTGATGAGTACAAGCGCCGATTGTCAATTTCTGGGCTTTCGCATCGTTCTGCTTCCGGACACGAAGCTTAGTTAACACGCTCCTAGTCAGCAGAGACGGTTTCGACTGTAGCCTCACCTCGGCGCCTTGGTCCCAGGGCGTGAGCATCCCGCTCAGAATCTTGATCATGATGATGTTCATGTGCGCCTGCCAGGGCGGGGCGCTCCCCCGGTCGCCTAGCTGCTGCTTCGCAATCCGCTGCGCGTCCCCATGCTCCAGGTGGCGCAACTTGGTGAAGTCGAAATCTTGGCGCACATTGCCGTGCATTCCCAGCCGTCGATACAGGTCCTCGTCCTCCCAGCCGTACGATACGACGCACTCGTCGTAGCCGTTGACGAGTATCCACTCGGCGCGTGGTAAGTAGACGACGCCGTTGAGGTGCTTCTCCTGCAATAAACGGCCCGGAGCGTTGTGAGAGAAGGGAATATCTGCTAGAAAGTTCTTGGATGTCGTGGGGGGTCGAGATTGAAGGAGAGACGATAGAAGGCAGCGAGAGAAGTTGATGAATATTTTTCGACTCGGATGCTTTTGCCGCTCTGCTATTTCAACAATAGCGAACTTGCACTCCTTGAGATGGACGAGAAAACCAATCTCAATGCGCGGACCTCCGTGAGCGAACGGGAGGGGAGCTTGAGAGGGTCACTGCAGTTTCACTACACCCAATGTTGTTTTCTCCGGTCCTTTAAAAGGACGTGCCAAACTCAAGATCAACACTTTTAAACCTGACTCAACATGACAAAACCTTGTCTTAACTTGCCACCCTCACGTTCTGATTCCGCGCCGTTTTCCAATTTCCCGCCCAGAACGCCTTCCCGGTCTCGTTTAACGGGTGTGCCTCCAAAAAGTCCTCTTCGAGGAAGGTGTCCGAGTCCACCTTGAGCATCCGATTGCCAGCTGTGTGGCGGGCCGCCAGGTTCATGGCACGGGAGAGGACCCACAACGTCTCGTCGGGAACCTGAACGAGACGGCTTAAATCAATTACGTTGCGGTTGTCGCTTATACTTCGTTCAAGGTATAAATGTTTTAAATCCGTGTGGCAATCTCGGAGACGAAGCGACCCAAAAGATGCGTAGAAAGACGCGTCGACTGTTTCGGCCAGAGTCCTCTGACCCCGTTTCAAAAAACAATGCTCGGCGGACTTCTTCAGCCAGAGCCCGACTAAAAACACGGACTCTTCCAAACTGGTTGAAGCACAGGAACTGTATAGGCACGCACTCCGGCTTAGCCGCTATGCCGTCTGTTGCATTCAGGGGAGGTGATCTCAGCGAGATCGTCAGCGAGATCGTCAAAGTCTTGCGGGCCACGCTTACCTCGACGACCTTGATCCTCCCGTCCTGATACGACTCGATGAACGGCCGCAGCGGAATATCAGAGCCCCAATCGACGACGACAATTTCGTCGATTCCCCGCACTCTCAACCACGACGGCAATACCTGCACAGAAGCGAAAGAGAACAGGGAGTGAGAAATGACTGAAGTAAAAGTTCAAAATAGGCCGAAAGAGCCATTCTTAGAAGACAAGGTTCTTGAGGAGCAAGCATTGGCGTCAGTGGAAGAATCAGCAAGAATGGCGGGCTGCCCTGGGCCTTGAAAACGCCATGCACAGCAAAGTGGCTCCAAAGTCGTTTCAGCAACGCTGGTGGAAGCATCTCAAGCAGCCAACCGCGATATGAAGACCTGCTGACCTTTGCTAGGGCGTCTTGCCTCCCCATCACCGCTGTGAAGAGGGAGGTCCCGTGAAAGCGGCCAGGGTGGTCCATCGAGCTGGGGTTGCACAACACCGGGGCATCCCGTGATGGCGAGGGAAGGAAGAAATCACGGCCGGCAATGCGCACGGGCACGTTGTTCAGCAGACCCGCTACCTGCGCGCATCAGGAAGTTTCAATCGAAGATTCACAGAGCATTGTTGTTCGTTAAGAAAAGCGTACCATTAAGCCTGCGTTGAAACAGGTGTCTAGTTTCGGAAAAGACGACACAATGCAGAAAAGACGTCTTTAACCATTCGCTTTGAGAAGCCCACGTCATAGAAAGTAGATCAACAACGACGGCAGGCTTCGACAACGATGAGGAATCGAACGCGGCGAACTAAATGAGAAGGTCCCGAAGACTTTTGTGTTTTCGAACCTGAAAAGCTTAAGACATGGAGAACATATAGAGACGATATCCAAGAGAGTGTGAGTGTGTACCTCCGTGAAGGAGCTCCAGAGGCTGCCTAGAATCTGGCTGCTGTGGGAGAGTATGTACATGTCTGCCAGGGCGAGTTGCTGACACTGCGGCCGCCGGTCCAGGCACCCATGTTTCTCCAGCCACGTCACCTTGTCCCTGCCAATCGCTTTCTGGATCGTTGTGTAGGCGTCCGAGTTGTCCGCCGCCAGGAAGACGCGGAGAGTGGGATCCTGCCGACGATGATACAACCGAACGTCGATGAAAGGACGAAATCCTTTTATCCTTCATATAATGAACTGATTAAGTTGTTAGGATGTTTCTAATGGGAATGAAGGCCGACAAGTAGCTGCATGCGGTGCGCAACATCAAAACGATGTAAGCCATTCTAGGGTCGTGTTTCCTTAAAATTGTTTTTCGTCTTTCCCTTCAAACGAAGGCAGGGTGTTTACAAACTCGCTTTATCTTTAGTTTCTATTCAGAATAGGTGACTACGACACCGCATCTTAGTCTGCAACCTCTGAGAGCGAACATACTTTCAACATCAGACAGGAAGATACGGACAAGAAAGAAAGGAAAGTGAGTTCCAAGACAGTCTCCGAGTCACTCACCGCTCGAAGCAGCCGCTCAATCTCCCCAGCGAAAAGATCCAGTCGAGTCAAGCTCCTCATCCGCTTTATGGTGGCCCAAGCCTCTGGCGTGTAAGCATTCTCAGGCAGATTCAATGCTGGCTCCTGGTCAGGCTGATTGCTCCGAATGTGAACTCCTATGTACGGGCTCCGCGTTTGCTCAGCAATCTGTAGTTTGTTTCTGCCAAAGCTGGCTTTGCGCAGGCTTCCGAGACTCATCTTGTCCAGAGATTGCTGGACCTGAGTGATGTGCCGCATGACGGCTTTGTTGGGACGGAGGGTCTCCAATGCGTTGCGCAAGTCCTCTGCAGAGTGAGAAGAAAGATGTTAGTAGCCTCACACAACTTAGTTGCAGCACCACAAGGGCTTAGGTGGTTAGACCCTCGAGATCTTGCCTCCATCTTCGTAAGCGGGGGCAGAGGGATGACAACTGCTTCCTGAACAACATAAGTCAGACCCCCACTGCCAAGAGTACAAGAGAGAGCAGCGCACAAACAGAGTGGTAACAACAATGATAAAAGCCAAGATCTGTAAAGAAGATTGTGCTATGCTATCCAAAAGATCAATTCAATGGGCCCAATCATGCAGGTCAATGTTATCGGACTCAACCTTGCTCAACACCAGTGAGTCTCACCTGTAACGACACGCCGGTCGCTGCGCAACCGATACGCAGACTTGACGTAGATGTGATTGGCAGACTTCGTAACCACCCCCTGGTCCTTCCTGCTTCCCTCCTCATTCTCCATGTAGTTGTACTTGTCAAAGTTGGACTCATTCACCTCCCTCTCATCGAGCTCGTCCCACACATCCAGGTCAGGGCAATCAAAGAGATCCTGAAAGCGTGCCCCGCAGTGCACATCCGGTATCCAGACCAGGCGGAAGTGGCGCCCTGAAGCGGCCGCAACTGCTTGACCTGAGCCAAGAGCTCTCAGCCTGTTCCCAAGCCCGTGCTGAGCGTTCATGATGAGAAGCCTGCTGCCGTTGGCTGCAGAGTAGCTACTGTGCATCTTGGCCAAGTAATCCGGACTAAGAGCTGAGAGCAGGTTGGTGCTGAATGTCAAGCTCAAAGATTCCAAGTTTGGCACCTCCTTACGAATGCCGGTGCCTTGATTAGTGGCCTTTTGAGGTGGCCTGCTTTGACTAGACTCCTCTGCCAGTTGAGATCTTGCCCCCATATCCACCACAGAAGCATTCCGGATATGCAGCTTGCGTCCGCTGCGCAACTTGTCCAGCATGGAGTGGTGGCCTGATGCCCCAGCCAATTCAGCTTCATTCGCGCCATGAGACCCTGTGCCGGTGAACCCAAAGCTTTCATCCCCAGCTCTCTCCGTGCCGACTTCCCCGGCTCTACCATCAAGCGACAAGACAGCAGACCTGTCGCCAGACCAGAATTCGGCTGGAGAAAGTGCAGGAAGACCAGGCAGCGACACATACATTGCGAGGATGCACAACACAAACATGGCGCCGAGAGGGACCCAAGCTTTCTCCAGCAGCCTGGTCGTGGCCCCATGGTGTCGGGGGCCTCCCCAATGGCCTGTCATCTCAGAGAACCATCTGTTACACAATACTGAAGCCCCACAGACCTGTTCACATCGCCCTCGACTGGATTTGGCAAGGGCCCAGGGTCAACAGAGGCACAGGGCCGTTCTGCACCTGAGCTGCAGGCTGTAGCAAGGGGTATCTGCCATCTGGGTTTATCCACTCAGAGTAAGACATATAAGCTGCAAATCACAGCTGGTATAAGTCGAGACAGCCCCGAATAACAAAAGCGTTGGAAGATTCTTTATTAGTCTCGAGAACCGAATCTACCCTAAACTTTTGGGTCTGCAAATGAGCCTGACTTTCGCATCTATACGGGCGCTTCCCACATCGATTTTGTCCCAAAAGGTTATTTCAAAAGATAGGAAACTCGAAGCATGCAAACGAGCTGCGTCTTCCTCATCGCTCGGCTTCATCAATGGTGCATTGAACAGGGGATGCGCAACTGAAGTTGTAGTCAGCCAGTGTTCTTTATGGTTGAGATGGAAAGCCTGATGTAGGGTGGTGCTTGAGTGGCAGCAGCCATGGCTACAGCATTGCACGTCTTTTCTGCGGCGCTGGCAAATCATGCGGCCGTTAGTTCTGTCAGAAGGCGAGACCTTCCTTGTCGCGCCCATTGCTCTCTGCCAGTCTTGCCTTCCACCTCCTACTATGCTACCACCAGCGGCAGTGGCTTTAGCAATTGCAAGTCACTAAAGCCTTTGCTGGAGGTTTACACTTTTTCGGGTCAAAAGGGAAGCGGTGCAATTGGAATAGATGAGTGGTCGCAAAGTGCTGGGATAGCAGCATCAGTGTCTGGCAGAAGAAAGAGGCAAGCTGATCATCATAGTGGCGCTCATGCAACTCGCAACTGGCCTCCCCACAGGTCGGCAGAAGCAAAAGCAGTTCTAAACCAAAGCTCGTTCGCATCGTTTGAAGGCGGTGGCAGCTCTGTAGATAGGGCCTCCTCATTTGGAAGCTCTTTGTCACAATGCTCTAACAGGAGCGCCTGTCGGAGCCAAGGGCTTTTTGATGCTGGCTGTTGCCATGCTGCGGACAGGACAAGGGGAGGCAAAATTTTGCGCGGAGTGCCTTTCGCGAACTTCCCCGAAGCTGGTCGCTGTAGGCGCACTGGCCCGGGCAGGAATGTTTCTTGGGTGGCACGTGCTGCTGGAAATGATGAAAATGACGGTGCCCCACCACCGCCAGAGGACGGTGGCGAGGGGTTCTCCGTGCCAGAGGATTTCAAATTCGATTGGGAGAAGAAAGAGCAGGAGGACGAGTTTGCAAAGCTGGAGAGGCAGAGGGAGGCCAGGCGCCAGGTACGGCGCTCTTACAATCTGCGCACTACATGCATAATTGGAAAGATGGAAGGGTGACCAATCAGACTTGCTCTAAAGCTGGGAATTGCTTTTCATTCTCCGTGTCAATGCTGAGTTTTGAGCTCCGTGAGCTACTTCACGAGAAACACCTTTCTTAAGATTCATCACTGAGAATTGAGTGTGACAGCTGAGCACTTGTCTGGTAATGGTCATGAAGGAAAACAAGCCGCAACAGGCGAGGGCTGTCAATGAGGTCGCTTCGCTGTTCTGCTAAATATGGAAGGATTTCGTGGTTGATGTTAAAGTGGTGCAAGTTCCGTGTTTCGTCACTATTCCAGCTGCATGCGATTACTTGGTCTCATTATCCTTTGTGTGTGTTTTGATGAAAAGCATTCTCAGTCGCACTTGTGGCCAAGCGCCGACGTTTCAAAAAAGCACCGCATTTACCACAGGGCTCTTCCGAGTGGATGCACCATCGGGAAGTCAATTTCTGCAGTATGGCCCAAATCTCTTTACCTTTTTCCTGTCGGCCCTTAAGTAGCACCTCAGCTGGCGCCACCTAAGCTGTACCAGTCTTTAGTCCTACTATTTTAACTACTCGCACCAGCTGTTTGATTGTCCAACCACCACCTCTGATTTCAGGCCCAAGCGAAGATGCTCCAGGATTTAGAGAAGGCAGAGAAGGAGGCCCTAGAGGAGGCCCGGCGGAAGGCCATGGAAGAGGCAGAGTCTGCCGACATTGAAAAGATCAACCTTAATCCAGAGCAAATACGAGCCGAGGCGCAGAAGCGGCTCAGGGACAGCATTGCGCAGACGCGGCAAAGCGTTCGAGAGCGGGTTGTGAGCCTCAGCCGGTGGTCGGAGAATCTCATACCGAACCTGAGAGTACTTGAAGAGAAGACGAGGGAGAGCTTTGAGCGGAGGGCCACCGAGGCAATCATAGTGGGGTTCCAGGAAGGGCGCCGGGCAGCTCAGGGGGCCGCTGAGGCAACACAGGATACGGCAGAGCACTTTGGTTTGGATAGGGAGAAGGTACAGGACTTGAAGGGGATTGTGGAGGCCCTGGTGAAGGAGCTTCCGCAGAGGGCGAGCGACGCGTTTGACACCATGGGGGACGAAGAGCAGCTGAACAGGGCCCTGATTGACCTGCGGGAAAAGGCCAAGCAAGCAGCGCACCCGGTGATAGAGGAGGTGAGCGTTGCAATCAAGTGGGATGTTCTGATCGGTTTGTCGGAAGACAAGAAAGGGCTTATGTTTCGGAGGTGGGTGTCTCACTTTATCGATGTGATGGTGGTTCTTGCTGTTCCAGTCAGGTCTGTAGTTGTGTTGCTTACCAATTGGCCACCACCAAAGACCCATTGGATGTGAACGGGCCAACTAGGATCCGGGGCCCCGCAAAACATGGTCAAGTTGTAGGCCGGATGGTGCTGAGGGGTCGTCAAGGGTCATCTGACCTCAGCTGCACGTTAGATTGAAGTCAATATCCTTTCTTTCCAGGCCCGCGAGACAGCAGCGGCTGTCCAAAAGGGGACGGTAGAGACAGTGACGGATGTAAAGGACGAGGTGCACGATTACGTGGAGGACCTGCGGCTGTGGCTGAAAGGGGGCCTCTGGCAGTACCCGCGTTACTGGAACTTTAGAGTGGCGGCCGGGGCCCTGCTTCTGCTGGGGCTGGCCATTACGGGATCAGTGTAAGGCAACAAATTTGATGGTTTTGCTTCAAGGAAAATACATAATGCATCCTCACGGGTCTTCATCGACACTCAGGGTGTTCACTGTCAAGCACTCCGTCGTCTTGCTCCTCAATCTCGTAGCTTACCTGTTCACAAGAATTTTCCCAGCCTCTTCCATCTCTGAATCATGCTGTACTGTCCCCTAGCGTAGCCCTCAGGCAATCGCACATTGTCAGACTTCGACACCGCAGCTTCCCTCTCGACACCGCAGCTTTTGCATACAGACAAACGGTTTTGCCCGGGTTCTCCAATTTGATTCGATGTTCTCTTCTGGTGCAGCTTTGCGTATAGAAAGGTGCGCGCGCCCCGGCCCCCCGACCCCACACAGTTGCAGCAGGCGCAGGGCTTTTTCATGGAGAGCATTTTGCCAGAGCCGACCAACCTGAACTTCAAGGAACTCAAGCGGGAGGAGTGGAAGCGGGTGTACCCACAGGGCTATGAGGTCAGCCATCCTCTGCCTCTCTGTCTTGGCAGTACATGCCCTGCAACCTGCTTAGCACTCGCAGGCTTTACAACTTGTGCAGTCAATATGTTGTGCATCTCTGAGTCCATCTTGCCAGGGTGCGTGTGTTCCTCTTCATCAGCTAAGCCCTAAGACGACTCGGCTTCAAAATCTTGCCCCCAGTCAGCGTGCTCAATGCGGACCCAAGTCTCTTTCAAAAGGTCCTAGAAAACTTAGGCTCGATGATGGCCTGTGATTTGAGAGCTGGTCAGTCGATCAATCAACAGATTTTATCGAAGACCTTTGGGGCTTGCCCTTCATCCTGTGCTTCGCTTCCCGCGGCTATGGCATCCTGAAGAGCCACCGTCAGCAAACGACAATCTCCTGGTTCCCTCTGCAGGCCCAGCGGTACCAGGTGTTGCCAGACGGCAGTTTGGAGCAGGTCATGACTGGCTACATGGAAGGGGACGAGGCGGACCGGTTTCTGGAGGAGCAGCGGCGCGGTGCACAGGAGCTGCAGGAGAGCTTGTCAGAGCAGGAGAGGGCGCTGACGTCAGCAGAGGACATTGGTATTCGGGACATCACAGACGAGTACGTGGACGAAGTACTGAATAATGTGGCGCTGGGGCCTGTCGAAAAGGTGAGGTTTGGAAGTTGCTAAGAAGGACGTGGTGGGATCCTAGGCCTCAGTTGGCAATTACTTGTTACGATTCGGAAGGTGGTTGAATGTTTCAGATTTGCCTACAACACTCGGGGAATATTGAGGCAGAAGCGGAGGATCTTGTGGTTCATCGCACAAAAGCACCAGGGACATAAAGGAGGAACTCTGTGGAGAGCCCTGCTTTCGAACCCACTGAAACCTGAATTTTATCATTGTCGGGCGGCGAGGCATTGGCTGGACCCTCTATTGCAGCGGGAGTTTGTCGATGGCGCAGTCCCGCTGTCCGAGGCCCTCGTGGAGCGAACCAAGGAGCTGCAGAGGTTGCTGGTTGAAGAGGCAACCGACAAAGTGCCCGGGTTTCGGGAAGACTCGGAAGAGTTGCGGGTGATTCTTAAGGAGGGCAAGGCCGTGACGCTTCAGGGGCGGACGAATGTACAGCTGTACCGGGCGGGGAAGACGGTCATATTGCGGCATCCAGACCTGGAAGAGGTGGGCTTCCGCCCTCGCGGTTGCTGTGAAGACGGCTCCTTTGTGGAGTCTGGTGAATGAGTCGGTCGGTCCTGTCTGTCATTCAGATGGTTCTTGTCCTCAAAGTCTTGGCAATTGTAACCTGGGACGCAATGTTTTGTGTTTGTCTTCTGAATAAGGATGATGTTATGGACTACATCTGCTTCTTCGCGGCTTGAGATTCCTGAAAGCAACCGTCACCAACCACACAAATATGACAGCGCCATATTGAAGAAAGAGGCGGCCTTCCCTGAGCATCGAGCTCTTCTTTACCTCTTTCGCTTAACCCAAACCGTCGACTGGAACTCCCGTGCATCAGTCGTCGAGGGTGTACTTCTTCTTGCGGAGGTTGCTTGGAAAGGCGTGTGAACCCTTCTCGACCAATACCAAAATCGGTCTTCATTTCAACAAAACAAGTGTAGAAAGATCACCTGAGACAATGCCTCGTTCTTTGCTGCCTCCGCAGACCGTCATTTGGAACTCCCCCGAGGAGGCGGCCGTGCGGCTGGCCCGGCGCAAGGGCTGGGAGTTGGTGCTCAATATGGAGGCCCTGTCGGCAGCTGCCAAGGACCAGATTGAATGGGCGCAGAGCAATGCGAATGCGCTGCTGGCGAGAATGGAGGACTTGCAGGGGCAGGAGGATCCGCAGGGGGTGTTTGGACAGCTGGCGAAGCGACGAGACGAGCAGATGGAGGAGGTCAGGCGAGAAACCGCGGACAGGGTGCGAGAGTTGGAGGCGAGACGGAGGGAAGCCTCGGAGGTGAGGTGTTGGTCCGGCCGATGCGATTCAGAATGGTTTCCGCATGTTTCTGGAGGGGGCAAACTTGCCAGAGGGGCGGATGCATGTGTTTGACTGGTTAGGGGCTGGCTGCATCAGCTCCTGTCTCAAACTGGATGAAGCTTTTCCAAGCAGGAGCCTGATTAAGGGCTAGCTGCATAAGCTTCTGGAATGAAGGGGATGTTCGAAGCCTTGCTAAGTAGGAAGATGGTCAGCAAGGTATCCTTCGGGCCTTACTTGAAAAGAACCGGGTTCCTGATTCTACCTGATTCTAAGTGACTCAGATAGACCGGATGATGGCCGATTTGAGAGAGGACATCCTTGTCAGTGTTGATCTGCTTTCTTCACCTGACTGCTGGCACGACGTTTTCCAGGGTAAATAGTTAACGTCAACCACACATTTGCAATCGCAGGCTGAGAGCAGTGGCCAATCGGAAGCAGACGTCCAAGCGGAGATCGCGGCGTTTCGCGCTTCAGAGACGGTTCGATTAGAGGAGGCGCGCGGGGAGCACGCGGAGCTGGTGCGGTTAGCGCGGGAGGCACTGGAAGAAACGGTTGAGCAGAGAACTAGAGAAGCGGAAGCGTCGCATGCGGCGGCAGTAATTCTGAGGGAGAAAGCGGTGGCAGATATCGAGGCGATGGGGCACCAGCTGCGGGTGCTGGGGCGCAAAACACAGCAGATGGTGGAGAGGCTGCGGGAGGGGCGGGCCAACGAGGGCGGCTGGCAGGAGAAGATGCGCAGGTGAGAAGCCTCTTGGTTGGGGTTGTCAGCTCGTTACAATACCTAGATTAACGCTATGTAATTTGAATGCTTTTGGGGTCTGCGTGGGACTCCGTTTTTCCAAGCGCTTTCGGCTTCCTTGAGATGTATCTAAGCGCTTCAATTGATTTTCAGGTCTTCTTTGAAAAGTGGATTTGGGAGAGGAGCCAAACGCCCTTCTCCTCAAAATGGACGAGCTTCCACCGCGAGTACAAATTTCCACACCCAACCACCTTCCCGAGCCTTAGAGGTTCCAGCTCAGATTGTATCGTTGCTGTCCGCTGTCCAGGTGGGGCGTGCTGTTTGCGCGGGACCGTGTGACGGACGTGCTGTCCAACATGGCGCACCAGCACGTGATCATCGTGCGGCAGGAGGAGATGGAGCGGCAAGCGCAGCAGAATTTGGCAGCGCACCAAGAGGAACGGGAACGCAGGGTCAGTTGTGGATTGATGCTCAGACAACGGGTTCGATTTGAGACGTCCGAGAGATGCTTGTTGACTTTTTGCCGTTCAGCCTTCGACTTCTCCAAGGGCGGTCCGAGGCTCTTTCTCTCCTTCTGCTCGCAGCAAATCTATCTAAAGCTGCTGAGGTCACTTTGTTGCAATTATTGCGGGGTTGCCCGTTTAGTATTCGGGCGGAGATGCCTGCTTTTGTGTCTGCACATGCGAGCAGCCTAATCGAGCGCCGTTGGCCATCCGAATGCTTCTCTGTCTCTTCTGATTGTCAAGATAGACTTGCGTTGCGCATCATTTATTGCCTCTTTTCGGGTTTTCGCGAGGCTTTGCTGTGTACGACGACCCCCATCCGGGACCCACAAGCGATCACCACCCATCCTTCAGCAGATAGCACCGTTTCTTTTTGTGCTCTGTGTGCTCGGCTGCCCTTCGCTACTTGATGTGCCTTTTTCATCACCTATCATCCACTGTGTCCCGCAGATCGAGGACGTGGACGAGTACGCTACAGAAATCCGTGCCAACTGGTACAAGTACCGGCCGCGCATGTCGTACGTGGGGTTCCGGACGCGGGTCGCGGAGGGTGAGGTGGACAAAGTGGTGATCATGGACAATATGTCGAAAGCGTACATCAAGATGAAGGAGGGCTTCCCCGACGAGTACGTCGTGGACCTGCCGATGGACCCGTATCTGCCCCAGTTCTTGGACGCCTACTCGGTGAGCGTGCTTTCTTCTGTGCGCGAAAAGAAGGCGAGTCTCAGGAGTAATTGAGGAAGAAAATCTGTCAGCGTTGAGAAAGGAAATTGAGGAGGAGGAGTGCAGGGTGTATCTGTCGGAGCTTTTTCCAAGTCGTGTCTCGGTAATGCTACTTAAGCAGCAATGTGTCGTCTCTCTGCCTGTGCTTTTGTGTGCTTGTTGTTGACGTATGCGCTATCACCAGACCTCCCGAAAAGCGCTGGGTCTCCAGAAAGACGAGCTCTCTTCCCTTTCGCTGTTGGAATTATCCGGAATCGGAATCCAAAGATAACGGCTCAGATTTCTGTGAGATTGCAGGAAGACGGTTGTTGCAATGCTTCAACATTTCTGCTCTTGTTCAGGACCTGGCGGTGCATTACTCCAGCTTCGACCTGCTGAGCAACACGCTGAAGAAGGCCCTGTTCATCGGGCGCTGCATGCTGGCCATCCTCGTCTTTTACGGCTGCGTCAAAACGGCGCCCCTAGTGCTGGGATCCGCTCCGGGCCAGGCGCGCCTCAATTTCCGCCAAATCGGCCAACGGAACCGGACCTGGGTCATGGGTCGGATGGCCAGCAAAGTGAAAGTGAGTCGGAACGGTCTGAGCTTTGTACGTGAGTTGAAATTTGGGTTCCAGCTTGATTCTCCGGTCCATAGTTGGGCCTGCCTTTTCTCACTGATTCCCACCGCCGCCTCCTCGTTGCTCTTTCTCTCGAAGCTTCTCTAGTCGTCCAAATACACGATGCTCCAACGTTCTCTTGGGGGTGGATATCCTGTCGCTTCCCCCCTTCGTTGCAGATTCGTGCGCATCAGACCATCTGCCGAAGATCGATCCCTTCATCGACTTGTGACCCTCCGCACACCCCCCCGAGCTTCAAGGATACGTGGCTATGGAACTGTCTGTCCGAAGACTAATCATATCCACCTGATTCTCACCCTCTTTTCCCCACCCCCTCCTCACAAGAACCGCGCATGAAACTATCTGCCGCAGATTGACCTCTTGCATCTAGTTCCGACCCTTTCGCTCCTTGCAGGACTCGCGGCTGTGGAATGATCCGCTGGCCTGTGTGCAGGAAACTGCCAAAGATTAACCTCTTTTATCTCGTTCTAACCCTCTCAACCAATTCCGTCACAGGATCCACGCGTGTGAAACCTTCTGCCAAAGTTGAATCTGGTCCTGACCTGTTCTTCTCCCTTCTGCTCCTCGCAGGACTCGCGGTTGTGGAACTATTTGCCGACGGCGCGGTGGGCGTCCATGTACCCGTGGGTGAAACGGTTCCAGCGCGGGGACGACTTATATGAGGGCTACAATTACCATCCCAAGAAGGAGGCCGACAAAGACTACCTCGGCCAGGACGTCACACTGCAGCAGGTTGCAGGTCAGGCGGCTTTCGTGTTTGTGTTTTAAGAGTTTGATTCGCTGACTCACAGCGTTTGGATTGCAGGGTTTGTGGGCTTTGGAACGTGGATAAGGTTTTCTGCTTTTTCGTAGCCTTTGTAGAAACAGCAAGAGAATGTGTCTCTGCATTGATGGCTTCAGCGGGGGAAAATTGGCATTGGTTTTGAGAGGGGAGGCGATCAATGTGCGCATCCCTCAGATGCTCGTCTTCTTTTCATTATCGGCTCCTCGGGCACGTCGTACAACACTGATGAGTAGACTTTGAAGGAATAGAACTCTCCAGCCGTTTAGCTGTGATGGTGGCATCTGGCACGTCTGAGGCAATGTCATGAGCGTCTGCAGGTATGGAGGGCGCGCTTCTGGTGCTGAACGAGCTCATCGAGATGTACGAGAACTACGCGCACTTTGTGCAAAAGGGCATCAAGCTCCCCAAGGTCAGTCAGTCCCTTGCTGACACGTGGCAGACAGCCCGCAGCTCTGATGATGATGGGCTCCTTTCCTGCCTTCAAAGCGAGGGCGATCAATCTGGTTTTGAGGTCCCGAGCAAGTTGCGGTCGCAGACAAAGTGTTTGAAGGTCTTGGAGAGCTGCTCGTGCATTCGTGATATCTCCTCCAGAAGGCAGGTCTTTGGTCTTATGACGCAAAGGTAGACCTTCTGTATCAATCGTTAGACGCGCGATTACAATCCTTCCAGTCCAATCAGCTCAGGCTTCTATGACAGACAAACGTGCAGCCATGGCCCGTATGCGCTGCGCGTTCACTCTCTCCATCCGACAGTGCTACCCCTCACTACCTCTCACTGCGGCATCCTTTGCTCACAGATAGTCAAAAAGGAATCTTCCCTTGTTTGCATAGACTGTTTGGTTAGGTCACTTTATTCTGTTTCTTGACATTAGTTTACAGCCGTGACAAGCTGTAGGGTCAATTCGCGCCCTTTCTTTCCGTCGCTTCAAGGCTCCAGATTCCGGCTATGCCGGAGACCATGCTCCATGCTTCAATCTGGCTGAGGGCGTTGGTAAACTAGAAATTGTCATTTCTTACTGCAGGGCCTCCTAATCAGCGGTCCCCCCGGCACCGGCAAAACTCTGCTGATGCGCGCGCTCTCCAACGAGTGCTCCCTCCCCTTCTTCTTCTGTTCCGGCGCCGAGTTCTTCAGCGAAGAGGGCCCACGTCGTGTCTACGACTTCTTCCATGGGGCCCGCGTTGTGGTACGGACAGCAGCCCCTCATCTCAATGCGACTTAAGCAGAACATGGGTTTTGGAAAGTCCACTCTGCTCAGAAAATTTCTGCGAGAGCTGCGAGATTGGCTTTCATGGAGTCAAGATCTTGCGCTCATGCGCGTGTCAGCAAACTTCAGCCTTGCACTTGTATTCCTCCTCGCAAAAGAATCTTACTTGCACTAGAAAACATCTCCACAAAAAGGCTCGTTTGATTTAACAGAGGCCTTGTTGTGGATTGGTAACCTGCTGGTTATCCTTCATGGAAGTTTTAGAAGGCCCTGAGGCGCTTTTCAGCAGCCATCCCGACTCTCCCAGCAGGGGGATTTCTACGCTACGAATTCTGGGTGCACTTACAGACACTGGAAAAACATTGCAACGAAGCATTCCGCCGTCTATTGCTCATGCTTTACCAATACAACACCCCCTGCTCGCTCGCTCGAAAGCATCACAGGAAAGCGCAAGGCTGATTCATCTTTCTGATCTGCACAGGGCCCGAGCGTTATCTTCATCGACGAGATCGATGCGCTGGCCGGCGGCAAGAACGTCCCGGGGGGAGTGCCCAGGATGGCGGAACCTGCGCTGATGCAGCTTTATGCTGAGCTGAACCCGCTGTGAGTCCCGCCTACCGTCTGACAGCGCTGCACCAGGCTTTCTTTTTTCTTAAGGAGCTCGAACACCTCGTGTCTCTCCTACCGTTTCCTTTATCGCCGTAAGGAGGAATCTCTCGTACTCACAGTTTACTTCGCGATTGGACGCTGACTTGATTCTACAGAATTGACGGGCGAACTTCCTTTAGAGTGCGCTTTTTAACGCCGCTTCCCAGGCTTCATAGGTCCCCAACTACGTATAAGCCATGAATTATGCAAACATGCTAGCGCTATGCACGACCCACCAAGTCATGAACTCCTGCTAGCGCCACTCACCGCTCACCCTCCCGTCTCTTCATCCAGCGAGAAGTTCAACCCGTACAATACGGCGTTGGAAGACTCGCGGCACAACCAGGTACTGGTAATCATGGCAACCAACCGGCCAGAGTCGCTGGACCCCAAACTGCGCCGACCGGGCTACACCGACCGGGAGCTCGTTATCGGACTGCCCGGGCCGGACACCCGATTGGACATCTTCAACGTGAGCGACCTTTCAATGTGCCTTTCAAACGAAATCGTGGGATAAAGTGTTGTTGTTGACCTTGTAAAATCGTACGCATTAGAAACTTGATGTCGCAGAGGGTTTGATTGAGTTTGCACTGAGTTCTTCAGAACAGAGCAATGCTCTGTTAACTTACCAAAAGCAAGGGCCCTCTTTGAGGCCGAAGCGTTTGCCTTAGAGTGATGTTTCGTTCGATGCTGGGGCACGTTATCTTGGAGTTAAATTGATCCTGGAATCCTGGATACACTGTAATCAAGCAAAATCGATAGGCTATGTGCACTCTTGGTTTGCTCTCAACAGCTGTGTTCGGCTCTGCCGAGCCCGCCATTGTTGGGGTGCCATTTCTGGGTGCACAAATGGAGCCGGGACAATAGTGCAGCGGCAGGCTTCCTTCCTCAGCTGCTTATGCTTTCCCGCTACATCCCTTCCGTCTGTTGGACTCCAGGATTGTTTGCAGTGTGCTACCTTACACATCCGACTATTGGCTCGGACTTTGGATGGAGGCCGTCTGTTGAAGCATCTTTCTACAGCCCACCTCTTAACAGGTCAAGCAATATCGTGACAGTTGTTACTATCAGCAGATGGGTTGTATCATATGCTCGGCTTCACTGAAACCCTTTAGAACCGGGAAAGGGAGGTCCAGTTCTTTGTCAGGACTTTGCTCCAAAACGGAATCCGTTGCCTGCAGATTCACCGGGGGACCACCAAGTTTTCGCCCGACGTCGACCCGTCTGCTTTCTCCTGGCGGCTCTCTGGCATGGCTGGCGGGGATATCCGTGCCCTCATCCGAGACGCGCAGTCAGTAGCGGTGAGATTGTCATCGAGATTCTGTATTCCTAGCTGCTCATACCGCATTGCTGGAGCATGCTGCCAGCTTCTTGGGGTTCTTTTGTTGAGTCTCCAAAGGGTAAGAGATTGGTTTAAGCTAGCCCGCAAATCCGTTTGAGGAGGTGCCAGCCTCGGCCTTTGTCTGACTCTTGTTTGGGCCTTGCTGCCGCGCAACGTGCTGGCACGATGCTTCGTGACCATCTCCTCTGTCTGTCTTGTTGCGGTTCGCTTGGATTAAGAAACTTGTTCAAGACGGCCTGCGGGATTGCCCTCAGGTGTTGCTTGCCAGTATTGGTCTGCTTAACTCTCTCCCCAAGTGTTCCGGCGCCTGCGAGCGGAATGAAAGCTGGGCGTTCCCCACGCTTTGAGATGCAACCAGACGTGTCTTACTCCTCCTTCCGCTGCGTTGTGAAAGGCCCCCTTTCTGCCGTGACCAGAGTCAACGTGACTGAGTGGACTCTTTCTGTGGTGTGGTGCAGATTGAGAAGGGGCGGCTTGTGGTGATGCAAGAGGACTTCTTGGATCTGCTGGGGGTCAGCCCCGGCTCGCCCATCGACCCGACGTACACCACGAACACGTGGGAAGAGTTCTGGAACGATGAGACGGTAAGTAGCTCGACGAGCCTGGTTCTACGCGTGAAAAGGTTGGACAGAGCGGGGCGCAAGCTTCTGAGGGTTCCATGCAGACCCCTGAGGTTTGGGGACTTCTGAAGGCGATGTTTGTTACTTATTGATGGAGCGGTTCGCCTATGACTGCCACTCATGCAGGCTGCTTGCGTCCGCACTCCAAAAATGCCCTCGTTTGTATCTCTTGCTAGGTGCCCCTCTTCTTCGGCAGCTTTCTTGTGAACAGAAGCAAAGCGTGCTCGGTGCTTAGTTGCAGCTTGCAGGTTTTGCTCTCTGTTATCGCTGCTAGTCGCGGATTGTGCCCAATCACAAGTTTCAACACCGTCCTGCGTTTGCAGAGTCCCCGGGACATCAACTGGAACTACGTGGTGCGGAAGACGGTCATTCTGATGCTCTGGTACCTCTTCCCCAGCCGGCCTTGGGAGGCCATGGAGATCAACTGTGAGTAGACATAGCTCCAGACTCTGCGCCTCAAGCCGCATACGTGCCCCTTAAAGCGATTCTGAAGATGGTTTTTGTGCGCTTCCTGCATGGTTTGCGAAGCTGTTGTCGAGCTTCTGGGAAGATTGCTTATGTTGCTGGGGCCAGTTTTGCTGTTTGTCAAATAAATCCTGGAACGACCGAACTTGCTTCCAACCTGAACGGCAGACTTGCGGTGTGCATCAATCAGCCCCCTCGAAGCACACTTATGCCGTCCGAAAATGCACATATGACTCGTGGCTGTTTCGAGAGACTTGTGTGTCTCGTACTCGATGCTTCCTTTACGAGTTGTTCCATCTAGCGTTCGGTCTCGTCAGCCGCTTCACAATCCCAAAGCATTCACGTACACCGTTCAATCTGTCAGCTACTTGAAAGTACTAAACCGACTCCTGTTTGCAGATAATCGCATCAGTGGCGAAGTGAAGTGGGACTACGATGCAGTGGAAGAGTTGGTAATCGAGGGGCCGACCGTGGGGCACAGGTTGATGGACCTCGTCAGCATAAGCGGGCCGAAGCTGGTCGAGAAGATCCTGTTCGGAGAAACGTCCTCGTGGTGTTTAGGGTACACCCGCGAGATCTGTGAGGTGAGCTGCGAGAACGGCTAGAGGTTCCGTTGCTTTCCGTTGCTGAGCGGCCTCCGGGATGTGAAAGGATTTTGGAGTGCAAGTGAGAACCGCCTCTACAAAGTCAATTCGTGAAATCGACGGCAAGCTAATGCGCGCATGAACGATGTATGACTGACCAGGCGCGTGTACTATATCGCTCCGTGGCCATAGGAGAGGGAACGCTCGGAGAGGCCCCACATTCGAGGCAGGTTTCTCGAAGCCTGCGGCCTCTAGGGACCTTGAAGCTGGAACCCGAATGTACGTACACCCCAGATTTTCAGAACTTTGAGTTTCTCTCTGCGGGCAAAGCGCGGCACTTCAGGAGTTTCCTCTGGACTTCTTACAAGTCATAAGTGTAGACTTGAGAACTCCAGGATCTTTCTTGACCCTGGTCTCCTCTCCCTCCTGCAGCAAGCGTGCTGGCTGGTGTCCCAAGGGTAGAGCCCCCACACTCAAAGGCCAACCCTAAAACTTTTTTATAATCCCGCAACCACATACATGAATCTCGGGCCCTCAACCCTATTCCTTTCCCCTCCCTGCAGCAAGCGCGCGTGCTGGTGTATCACGGGTGGAGCCCCCGCACGAAGCTGCTGCCGTTCGGTGTGACTCCCGTGGACCCCAAGATGGACCAGGAGTTCCCGGTGGACATCGCCGACTACTTCCCCGACCGCGGGAGCACGCACCGCGACAAGCATTGGACGATGCGCTGGATTGAGCCGTACCGCATCCGGCCCGCGCGACATGGGGTGGAGATCTCCGGGCTTTTCCAGCAGGAGATTGACAGGGTGAGGGGCGGGATGGTTTGTGGGGGAAAGGTGTTTGCCGGACTGTTTTAGTGCTGCGAAAGGTTCATCTGAACTTCGTGAGGCTGCCAATTCTCACAAAAGCCGCAGTGACGCTTGCAACTGGGGGGTTCTCAGACTTACTCAATCAAAGAGGGCGGTGTGTGAAAACGCTTCAGCGACCAACCAGACTGTCTGTCATCAGTTCGCACCGCTAAGAGCAATATCACGCGTATTCAGTGGGTGACGCGAGATCGAGGTCTGCTGCGAAGGCTGCCTCAAAACCGATTGATGAGACGTCCTCTTTGACCAATTCGCTGAAAGTGACTGCGGCTGTGTGCAGTGCATCTTTGAGGCGGAGCAGATGGCGGAGGAGGGCATTCTCAGAAACATGCGCTCGCTGTACGACATCACCGAGAAGCTGCTCAAGGACAAGTACATGACCGCTGCGGTGAGCTGTCCAAAGATTTGGCTACTCAAAGGTCGAAAGTTCTTGAATCAGGATTAGTTGAAAAGCTTGATACAATACAAGCCGGTGTCCCGAGCAAGCTCCGCAGAAGACGGGGTTTAGGCTGCGAATGTGTACATGACGCTGCGGTGAGCGCCACGCGTACACGAAGCCTGAAAGTTTGTATAATCATCCTCGAAGTCTTTGATTCGAAGTGGTTGGAAAAGTTTAGCATTTGAACCGGTGTCCTGAACAAAGTCTGCAGAGGACAGAATCTCGGCTGCACTTGTGTAGACCTTGTGTGCCACTTCTAGTAGGTTCGAGCACACCTCTCGACGGCATGCCTCGGAAAAGATCAGCTTTGACTGCAGCACGTCTGCGGCACGAGTCCACGATGTCGACCTCTTTCCCGGCCAATTCTATGCTCGCCAGTTTGTGCGAACTTGAGTGATCGCAACCGGCTCCAAGTAGTCTTGTCTGTGGAAGCTGGGGGCCTTGCTCTTACCTTCGTCCGCTGTCTTTGCCAGGACATCATCGAGATCCTGGATCACAACCAGGCCCAGATGTTCCCCGACATTGGCGGCTCCCCAGATTACAAAGACGTGAGTCGGCGTTCCTATCTCTTTCCCTTGTCTCCAATTTCCGACCGTCGGTGTCGTTATATGGTTCCTTCGCCACGACCTCTTTATGGGCGCGACATCCGGCGCAGGTTGTTGCTCTCAGCGAACCCTTCGCGCTGCTCCTTGTGCAGGTGTCCCTCAGAGAAGCATGCCACTTCTCAGTCACTTTTCAGATTGTCTTGTTATTCGTGTTCTTCTAACTGCTTAATTCTATGCTCTTGTTCCGTCGCATTTTCTCCTGCGCATTCGTTCCGACTTTTGGAGCGGATAGATTGCTTTGATTCTGGCAGTGTTTGCAGAACCTGACTCGTTTTGTCCGATGACAAAGTTCGGAAAGCGACTCCTCCGGACAGACTCCACCGGAAGAAAAGCGTTTTGCATTGCCTTGCATTGACACGTGGCATCGTTTTGCTGGTCCAGCTGGCGGATCCGACCCTTCTGAATCCTCTCATGGACCCCGAAAAGGCCGGTCTGTACCCGCCGTTGTGCATCTTCCCTGCCCCCCTCCACCGGTGCCCCCAGGACATCGACGATCTGCCCGAAACCCCCGAGCACCTACGGCCCAACTCCGCGGAAGAGAAGGCGCGCGAAGTGCTCGGGGAGCCCACTTACGCCGCTCCCCGACGAGCGTGGTAGCATTTTTGACAGACATGGAACACGAGTCGGAAGAGGTTACATTCATAGTATCTCGCTTATTCAGGCATGCCGCCAGTTCGGCGAGTATGAAGGTGTACTCAGCCCCTAGCTTGCATGAGTTAATGGTCCTCGGGGACCTGATGATCGAAGATAATTGTTGCACGTGGTCGCCTACGGTTTCAGATTGTGCTAAGGACGCCATGAAGTTGCTACTGGAAGAGCCGCCGAGCGGCCCAGGTTGCTTCGTTAACCGAGGCCTCTTTTATCTGGCAGAAGGAAAACTGCATTATCAAGCTAGGTGTTTCAAGCAATGTGCATGCTTGTCGTACCGTGTCATAAAGTAACAGTATAGCTCGGCCCATGTGGCAACTTGTTACTTGCGCATCTCACGCACGTGCAATGTGCATTTGGCTGGTGTCCCCTTGTTCCATCGCGTACGGCGGACATGCCGCATCATGCAGCTTGTATAATAGGTGACCTTTTAACTCAACCTATCTTGAAAGTACGTACGGATTCGCAATGACGCATGCCAGCTATAGCGTTTGCTACGGGGGTGAAATGGTGCCGACCGTTAAATCCGCGGCGTATGACCTCAAGGACTCCTGGAACAGACGCCGCTCTTGGCCTTTGCGGATCTGGGGCTGTAACAGAGCAGAAAAAGTCATGTAAACGTTGTGCCGTTGATGGTGTGTCACCGGGGAGAGCTGGCACCGTCGTGCTACGGAGGATCTTGAAATAATAGAAGATCATGTGCAGTGCAGCGGACAACAAGCGTCCTAGAAGTTGCCTAAATTGGACAGAGCACACGTCTGTTCGATTCATATCACGTCTTTGCAGATTGCCAGCCCCACAACGAGCTTCGACGCTGGCGCGCGGGACTCGTATCTGCATCTTTCAAGCGGCCGGCCAGGATCTGATAGGCGAAGCGCGGGCAGTGAAGCGGCTTACGGCGGACCTTCAAAATGAGGGTGTAACCACAGATGGGGCTTCACTTGATCTTGGCGCTCTTTAAGGTCCCAAGAGCCGCTCACAAATCATCCGCACAGATCGTCGCGGCAATGCATGTGCTGCATCTATCAAAACCATCAACCCAAGTGTTCAAGGTGCTGGATGCAAACGCTGACCGTTCCATGAGCGTTACGTGACTTCAAAGCCAGCTCTCTGTTACAAACAGAAAAGGTCCCGGGTTCGATGCCAGCTTCAAATAGCAGTGAAAGGAGGGTTCACTCTTGGCCTTGACCATGTATTGGAGGCGTCTCCAGTACTTCTGTGGCCACATCATCGAAACCCTAGCGACTCCCGGACATGCTGCTGCAGTGTACCCACTTGACGGGGAGTTTCCAATGAGGGGCCCGACAGAGTCCCGGAGTTCCCAACTACAAGCAAGGGACTCACGGAAGCTAGGGAATTTTGCACCTCGAAGCCCGAGTAGAGGCTTCGAGAGGGCATCCATTGAAAGTACTTATGCAGGGCCTGAAAAACCTCCTTGCGCATCAACCCCGCTTCTACATTCCTTCTCGCACGGAAGGTAGTCGCGCACGTTGTTCTGAGATTGCATCGTAGCCGTCAGATCTTTCTCGCGACACATCGAACGGCAGGTGACGTTACCATGTCACTTCGCCCACAAGGCCTCCGTTTTCTGTGACCCTACAAGAGCAGCCGATCGCTGCTTGTCTCGGCAGATAGTGAGAAGCCGCGCCGGGAAGCAAGCTCCCGCGCGCCGTGAGCCCCGGCTCTGCCGGGGTGTCTGCTCACTGGGGGTGATCCCCCGACGTCGAGGCCGCGGGCCTCCGTCTGGCAGGGGGCGCTCCCAAGGGAGCTCCCTCTGGCCGGGGCAACGCCCCAGAGGCTTAGGAACTCCCTCTGCCGTCTTCATTTCACATCACATGCCCATTCAACTCTCTTTGATACCCCTTGCAAGATGTATCGAGGGGCTGATCTTCCTCAAGTGAACAAACTCTTAAGACATCCGAAGAACATTGATAGGAGCGGGCTGCATCTTGATCGTGGCAGCGTGAGCATTAGAAGATGTGGAGGAATCTGCAGCCGGCTTTTGTTCGAGAGTCTAGCTTTCGTCGGAAATTGAGCTTTGCTGGGTTTGTTCAGAAGTAGAACTGGATGCACCTTATCATAAGCGGTTGCGCGCGCGTGAAGCGTTTGGAGGGCATATAAGCTGACTTTAGGTGAAGTTTACGAAACATAATGACAAGAGTGCGAAACTGCTGCAGAGATTGATGGGAAGGCGGCCTCAAAATCCGGACCGATGCATCTGGCTCAAGCTGAACAAAACGGATCCGCAACTAGTTGCAAACACGGGGTTTCTGCTTTCCAGAAGACCAGTGACTCTCCAATCCCCTGCAGGCAGAGAGCTGTGCCCGCAGTTGAAACGGACGAAGTCGATTAGGGGATTTGAAGCCCTGATGATTACTGCAATCGCCCCTGGGCGCTAAGAAATAGGGCCTGTGATGATAGCAGTGCACATTAGAGGCTCACAGCCTCTGCACGCTAGCTACTTATGTCTCCTACCATGAGCTTTTTCAGAAAAAAAGGCGAAGTGGCTGAAATGCATTCAAGGGCATGCCCATGTTGAGGATTGATGTATTGAGGTGAGACTGGCAGAGGATTGTGGAGACGGCAGGGGAGAGTTCCTAAGCCTCTGGGGCGTTGCCCCGGCCAGAGGGAGCTCCTTGGGGAGCCCCCCCTGCCCGACGGAGGCCTGTGGCCTCGACGTCGGGGGATCACCCCCAGTGAGCAGACACCCCGGCAGAGCCAGGGCTCACGGCGCACGAGCAGGCTGCTCGGCGCGACTTCTCACCATCTGTCAAAACAAGCCGCACCGGTCCGTATTTGTAGGGTCGCCAAGAACGGAGACCTTGTGGGCGAAGAGACATGGTAACGTCACCTGCCATTCGATATGTCATGTGGCACGATCTGACGGCTACGATGCATCGAGCGACAGTCGTTGTCCGAGGTATGTTCAGAACGGTGAGGCGCTCGAGAAAGGCGAGAGTTTCTAGGCACAGGCGGACCGAGCGAGGGGGGCGACACCAGAATAGCCGTCGAACACTTCTGTCTGCTACAATGGAACACCACTTTGCATGAGATCACTGATATCACAAGTACTTGCTTGAGCGTCTTGAATGTGAGCGAAGAGCATATGAAAGCCAGACTTTCAAAGTAACAGTATATGCGGAGAGTTCCAGGAGGCTTGCAGAGTCTGAAGTCGACAACCACGGTTCCCGCATCATAGCTTCTAGGCATGCGAGGAAACGTGCCAGATTGATCGCAATCGTCTGGACGACGCATCTCTATTCTCACCGATGAAGTGCGACTTCTATGTGTGACGATTCTTCACTATCACGTCTATATTGCATTGCCGGCGCATCCCCTGACCACCTTTTAGCCCAGCGCTATTGCTGTCACTGCCTCCAGTCTCATTTTGGATTGGAGGAAGGATCAGGAGATGGGATCTATTTTCCAGATGTCTAATTTTACATAGTTCGTTTCGCTCTGCATGTCGATCCGAATCGAGTACAGCTGTAAGTTTTGTCAAACGGAATTATACTGGTGTAAACGTGTAAGTCCTCTGCATGTTTCCTTCATGAACACCTTACAGGCCCGTCCTATAATGCACCCCCATCCCAAAGATTCGACGGTATCCCATCAGCTCGGATTTGGCCGTTGCGGAGCAACTTAACAGAGTGCCAATAGTCTCTTTGTTCTGTCTTTTGGCTTGCCTGGAAAGCACATCTGACTTGCACGGAAAGCAAATATCAGGTAACATAGCGCCTAGAGTCGTGGAAGGCGCTAGAATCTTATTTCTGATTGCCTTTGATTGCCCATAAGGGTTCCACTGGTACGAGCGTGAGGGTCGACGTAGATTTGCAGTTGTTTCATAGTCAAGCAAGGATCGACTTCCGGTGGCGGTAAGCCCACTCCTTTCACCGTGCGGTCGACTAGTTGCGTAACTCTGAAGGAGCGCGCAATAACTGACCGGCTATAGCTACCTTTCATTTAGCTTCTACCTGCATCCAACTCTGCCATGTTGTGCCGATGGATGCATGCAGATAGGACCAAGCCATGGCCAGTTGATAATCAACGGCCTCATGCCGTATACAAAGCTGTTTGTCTTGTACAGTTTGGTTTATGTCGATAACTACTCAAGCCATACACTCTTTCTTTCTACGTGGTGCAACGTACAGTTGAACCACCGCCGGAACTTCTATATCTAACAGCTCGTCCCAGCCTTATTCAACATCTCGGCCGTCGGATGCTTTAGCGTGCGAGGTTACAAATGAAAGTCTGCGTGCTATTTTCAATTCGTAAAGCGTGGCAATCAAAAGCTGGGTTGTAGGCGCTACAAAAGTGAACAACTGGGCACTTTGTCCAGGAACCGCTTCTTCCCTTTCGTCCGTTGCCGAGTGGGCTTGAGCACCAGCGCAGGGCTGCTGACTTGCGCCTCGGCCTTGGTGGGGGACACCGGGAGCTTCGCCTCAAACCCGCTGCCGATCGGGGCCTTCGACCGGTCCATCGAGCCTGCATAAAAGTAAAATTGGGTTAAGAAAATCGAACTGGGACATGCATCTGGCTGAGAGAGCATCGTCTACATGATACTTAGATGGATCCTCAGAAGGCGTCTCTAAAGGCCCAAAGACGTTACAAAGCAAGCAGACGTAACGACGCAAAGACTTTTCGGTAGGAGGTTGCATTGAAGTTCGAGGGGAATTCGCCTTCGACTCTTTCGGCTCTTACTTACTTCGACCTAGCCAGAAAGCGGACGTCCGGAGAAATTGACCGCGTCCGCATTCTGCGGTACGTTTGCGGCGCTCGCTGAGTGTACGCTCACCAATCTTCGAAGTTGGGGAGGTTGTTGGCTTGTCTTCTTCTTTCCGGTTGACAGCCAGCTCCGTAAGGTATTCGAAGACTGCAGACAAGTCGATTTCGGGTGAAACGACGTTCCCTATTTAGAAGTCCTTCGTAAGCCGGCAACCTTGGCAACTGACCGCTAGAGATTGCCGTCCTTGTGCGTACATGGGAAGTACACGGTTGAGCAGCAGATTAAAGCCGCAATGAAGTGAGGCCATTTGCCGGCTTGCTTTTGAGCAGGCTGTTGTAAGACTGGCGTCATACGGTCGATGGACAACTTGGGCTGCATGAAAAGTCTTTGGGTTCCTGATCTGGGCTCGTTTTAAAAAAGCGAATCGTGCTCCTAAAGAGATTTGCCAAGAGAAGAGGGCTTTGCTGACCTTCCCCGACGTTCAGCCCCTTCTTGACGCACATTCGATAGAACTTGAGCCCCGTTTTGTTTGCCAGCGCTTCTGCTTCCGCTCTGCACAAACGACCGATTTGCTCACATCGAGCTCCACCCAATCCCAGCGCTAACAAAGGCGAGTCACAAAGTGGACGAAGCGGGAGCTGAAAGCTACTGGGGTCAACCACAATTATGCCTGAAGAGGCACTGTAAGCACGAATTAGTCGACTTTCCTTTCATCAAAGTTTACCAGCACTTGTCCTACATAAGCCTTCATCAGCTCGTCCGAAGCACACCCTCCAAAGCAGGCAATACGAGATACGGCACGGGGCGAGGAGATCTCAGAGCCGGACGTTCTGAACCAGTCTTGGTAGAATCCGATCCCTTTCTCACTGGAAGCCCAAGTTGCACCGAACAGGACTCATCTGCACTACCGGAGCTGGTTCATCTGGCAGGCTCCGTTCCAAGTCAAGAGTCTGGTCTGACTGCCAGGCTGGTGCTCCACTCTGGGATGAATTTGTCACTACTGTGCAGCCGAAATAAAACGGTGAAAACATAGCACACCGCCCTTCAACCTCGAATGGAGGGAAACTTTAGGTTCCTCAGACTCCCGCACTCCTCATCCTGAGTCCCTGTGCACTTGGTATTGAGGGAAGGTTTGCGCCTCACTTTGTGACGACTGCCTGGTCCAGCAGATCCACCTTATTCTGCACCAGGGCCATGGGGATGCTGCCGCACTCCGCTTCCACTTTCCGCTTCCATTGGCTGATCGCTTCGAAACTCTGGCGGTCGGTGGTCGAGAATGCGAGCACGGCAGCGGCAGCCCCTGACAGTGACGACATCTCATCAGATCTGGCTGGTAAAGCTTGTAAATAGTGGCGCTGTTGGGTTTGCTCACTGCGTCAAACAAGGCCGTGTGATAGGACCCTCTCTCTGGACAGATGCAGAGCTTGAAGTCATTTGATGACCCAAGCGGAGCGAGCGGGCGGCTCATGTTCTGTGCTTGACGCAGACCAACGTGGGTCAAGCGGCCAGGTGTAACTGAACGTGTGATAATGCAGTTGCCTGTTACAAGGAAACCCTACTTTCACACCACCAATCACGTCGGGGCAAAAGACTGGTTGCAACATGAGGCAACTTCCGACAATGTGGCCTGTAAGCGGAACTGGCCTTCAAACTTTCTTCAGGGTGACCCTGAAGCTGGAGGGTGCCCGGATCGTAGTGGGCGATGCAATTGCAAATGGAAAAAAAGTGACTATGCTTCATTGACATGAGAAACCCTTTTCATGGCCATTTCTTTGCAGCGCAAACCAACTGAAGGACCAAGCTGTTCTGGCCTTTGTTGAGTCCCTGACTTGACGTTCAGAGAATATTGAAACCTTTGTGAGCTCAAAGTTTAGCTTGTTCGAACGTAGCTAGTAAGAAACTCATGTGGGTTTGTTGGCGGATCACTGACCTCGGTAGTACGTCCGCGTGATGCTGTCAAACTCTTCCTGGCCCGCAGTGTCCCACAACATCAACTTGACGTCTTCGCCGAGAGACTTTACATACCTGCACCAATCCAGGCAGGCAAGCTTGATTACTATAAGGAACCGTAGTTGCCCGTGTGCCTAAAGTGTCAGTTGCTACCTTGATAAAAGACGAATCACATAGAGCACAGAAAAGGACAACTAGCTGAGTGGTCAAGTTGACAGCAGGGTGTCTTTTCAGAGGCAAGAAGAATAAAGGAAGGCTCCTCACTGGGTTTTCTCCAAGAAGTCCACCCCAATGGTCTTCTTGTACTCGTCCGTAAACAGGTTTTTGCAAAACCGTTTGATCATGGAGGTTTTGCCAACGCCCCCATTGCCAACCACCAGCACCTTTATCTCCCCTGCATGTGGCAAGGATGCAACTTGTAAGAAACCCAGCTCAGAGGCATTGATTGTTACTTCTGAATCAGATTGGCGTAAGCACTAGAGCTAGCTTGACATGGACTCTACTTTTTCACAGGCCTGAAAACTCACGGTTAAAGCGCAACCGTCAAATGCATATTGCATTTCAGCACGCGCGATTCTGATGCAGTTTAGAACAGCAACATGCTAGTAGGACCTCATTCTGCTGGGCTTTGCTGATTGCAGATTGACGGTCTCTTACTCTCAAAATCTTCTTCCTGCATCGTTCCTGGTGGGCCCACCCCAGTTCCAGAAGTTGAAGTCTCAGAAAAATGGCGAAAGATAAAAATTCAACACAAGCAGCTCAGCCGGCTCGAAGCTGGCCTCCCCCTTTCCTTGCTCGTTGCTTTGGCTGCATTCACTTTGGATTCAGCGTTGTGCTCGTTCGCAATAGTCTTGGATTTGACCTTCTTCCCTATTTGCCTCCTCAAAACAAGTCAGCGGCCTTTGCAAAACACTGAAAAAGTAGATAGACCCAACCGCCTGCTAAGACTAGGCCCGATCTACTAGGTAATCTACTGCCTTGACAAGCTCCCTGGCAGCTGTCGAAGACCAAGAAGCTCCGCCAGTTTGAGCTCGAACAGCTGATCTGCAATCCCCAAGATCTGCTAGTAGTAAGACTCTTACTGTAGTAAACCGGGCCGGTGTCACCGGCACCTCATTCAACATCACAATCTCTTGTCAGCCAGAGTTCCTAGGCTGAGAGTCACTGGAGCTCAGTATAAGAGCTGGATTTTGAGTACGGTACCTGGAGTCCGCTGGCTTCCGCGCGCGCTCGAATAAGGCAGGTACTAGGCCGTCCGATGAAAAACAACCATCCTTATCGGACGGGTAGACAGCTTGGAAAGCCTTGCTTCTCGTCGGCGTCGAATGCAGTTGCATATGGCCAATTATTTTATTGCCGTTGCAACGACTAGCTCTCGATAATATCGTGGTCCGTGGATCTAAAATGTGTATTTTTCTACGTGCAGATTATCGCGGTCACAGGTCGTCCTTTACTGGCGATCTGGTGCCTGATGAAATGCCTTAGAGCACGCGCAGCTGGCGTAGAAGCGCGCGCAGCTACAGCAGCGAGAACTTAATCGAAGGTGGTTCCTTTGGGTATAGCCCAGGGGGCGAAGAAATAGTGTACATATGTCATGGCATAGAACATCGTTGTTGCATAAGCTCGAGATTCTCCCCATGCTAGTTGCATTCCTAGATATTTGCAGCTTGTAAGACCATCTTCACGATGCATTCGCAGCCGTTGATATTACAGTAGGAGCATCAGCAATCGTAGATT